TTTAGATACTTAATTACTAGTTTTAACTAATTCTAAACTCTTTAGTAAACTAATAATAATATTAAACTTAATAAAACTATTAAAGATTAAATTAATATCTAGTTTAATATTAGATTTATATCTTTTATTAGATCTATAATAATAAATATACTAATTAAATAAGTATAATTTTATATTATATTTTTAAAAAATTTATTTTTATTTAGCTTAATTAATATAAATAAGCTAGAGATCTATTTTAATAATTTTACTAATTATCTTATTACTTTTATTATAAATTATATATTTATAATATAATATTTTAAATACTTTTTCTTATTTTAAAATACTATATTATAAGACTTTATTTCCGAAACTTTTATTTATAACTCTTACTTTTTTATAAAAATTAAATTATAATATTTATATTATTATTTTAGTTATTTATTTATTAGTAAGCTCTAAAATATACTAGAATAAATAAACTATAATATTAATATAAAAGCCCTTAAATACCTTATAAAGTATTATAAGTAATACCAGAAATATAGCTAATTACCTAAATAATTCAAGTTTAATTTAAGAAATAATATTAGCTTTAATTATTTTATTATTATTAATATTTTTTATATTTCTAGTAAGTTTATATTTTATATTATTAATAAAAATACTCGATATTAAACTAGTTAATAGCTCTAGAATATTAGTATAATATATATCTAAAATATACTTAAATAGTATTAGATTAATAATTATTTAGGCTTTTCTAATTAGATTATAATAGATACTAGAAAGTAGTTTACTTAATTTATAAATACTATAGGAACTAAGATTAAGATTATTTCTATAAAAGCTTATAATTCTATTAGAATTATAAAATACTATTATAGCCTAATCTAATATATTTATCTTATTATTATAACTAAAGTTAATAGAATTAATAAGAATACTATATTTTAAATAGCTTTTAAGGCTATTAATAACTTTATAAGTCTTAATAATATTATTTTAATTTTTTTTAGTTTATAGTACTTTATTTTAAATAACTAAATATAATATTTTATTACTTATTATATTATAATAATTAGTAATATTTAAGAAAGTAATAATAGAAATTCAGAAGCTTTAAGCTAGATATTAAATTATAAATACTTTAAATACCCAAAATAGTTCTAGTATTACTAATATTTATAAACTATTTCTAAATTCAAATATTCTTATTTAATATAAAATAAATACTAATTAATCTAATAACTAGAATAAACTATATAAGCTAGTAGCTATTAATAGAGAGAACTATATACTAGCTTTATTATATAGTAATATTATCTTTTATTTAATTTCTATAAAGCCCTTTTATATAAGAAATATTAAAGTTATTACTAATAGCCCTAAACCTAAACCTATTCTCGAATCTAATAATAAAGTTAAAGGTAATATAAATATAATTTCTTTTATAATTCCTATTATTTTACTAAAATATAATAAAGAATACTCTTATAAGATCCCGGATATTATAGTATTTCTATAGAATAATAAACTATATAAGAATTCTTATTAAGTTAAAATTACTAGTTTCCTAAAAAAGAATATATTTAAGGTTATTTTTAAATCTTAGATATTAAAGAAAATATATATCTTTAATTCCCGGTTTATTAATAAAATTAAGAATAAAAATATAAAGAAAGAGTTTAAGAAATCGAGACTAGTTATTTAGGCTTATAATAATAGTAAGAAATATATAATATTAATATAATTACTTATTATTTAATATATTAGCTAGAGAATTATTTTTAATATTATTATTATAATAATAAATATTATAAAGCTATATTTATATAATATCTTATAAGCTTATATCTAATTAATAATCTTACTCAATTATAATTTTTATATTAATCTATTTTATAAACTTACTAGAGAACTAAATCTAAATAATAATTTAGTTCTAAAAATTATAAAACTATTATATAATATACTAGAAGCTAGGAACTACTAATTTAAGACTTATTATTCCTATTATATTAATAAGCTTTTTATAAAATAATTAATTTATAATTCTTGCCTTTTCTATAATAAGTAATTCTTTAGAATTATTAGCCTTTAAACTAATAATACCCTATTTATTAGAAATAATAATTTTATAAAAACAAAATAATTAAAGTTTTAAGAGACTAAGTTCTTGGCTAAAAAGTATAAATACCTTACTATTAATTATAATTTCAAGTTTAATAAAGATATTATTTATATAAATATTACTAGAATTATTTTTATATAAAAATACTAGTATAAAAATCTCTAAATTATTTTTATAAAAAATACTACTATTATAAATAATAGAAATACTATTTATTAGGATCTTTTTATTAAGAACTAATATATTACCTAATATACTAGAAAAATATATATTATATTAGTTTATTAACTAGAAGCTTTATATAACTTATTAATTATTATATAAGCTATTAAATTCTTAGAAACTAATATAAAGATATTTAATAATAAATTAAGAATATTACTAGAGAACTAAGATTTATAAAGCTAATAAAAAAGTTCTTATATTTAATTATTTTTATAAATACTTTATTTATAAATAATAGAGATCTCTTTTCCTAAATTAGATATATTCTAATTCTAGTAAATAGAACTAGATATACTAATATTATTTACTAGTTCTTTACTAAATATAAGAAAGTTACTAGAAGTATTCTAGCTTTATAACTTTATAATATAGCTTATAGTTTTAATATAGATATTTTAGTTAAATCTATAATTAATAAAATACTAGAAATAGAACTACTACTAATTATTTATATAAATTTAAAGTTATTATATAAATACTTTATTAAATTAGATATTACTTGAGAGAAATATTTAGTAATTAATATAATATATCTTTACTAGATATATAAATAATAAGAGATTATAGAAATTAAGTAAATTAAGAAAGAATTAAATTCTACTAATTTTATAATAAAATTAAAACTATTAAATACCTTTAAATACCTTATTAATATAAATACTATATAATTAGATATAGAGAAATAAGTTAAATATAAATAGAATAGGAAATAAATATATAAAATAAGAAAATATATATAGAGATTTCCTTAATATCTAGTATTTAAATATCTAATATCTAAATATCTAGTATCTAGTATCTAAGTATCTAGTACTAGGCCGGATTAGGAAATTGAGTATCTGGGTATCTAGTATCTAGTATCTAAATATCTAGTACTAGACTAGATTAGAGAATATAAATATATAAAATAGGAAAATATTATAAAAAGGGAAATTATATATAAAAGGCCACAGCCTTTAATATATAACTAAAACCTTAAAAGTAATATAGATATATAAAGTATTTGGGAAATCTAATATTAGGCCGAATTAGGGAATTTATATATAATTAAAGAAAAGTACTATTTTCTGTTTTTTAAGTTTTTTAGAAAGTTTCTAGTATTAGTATAGCTATAATTATTAATAGTTATATAATATAGTTATATAATATAGAAATAACTAGAAGTAATAGGATATAAGTAATAATTATATAATCTCGTATTATATTAGTAATTTAACTAGTAGCTAGTTCTTATTAAACTTAATAGATTTAGGAATTATATATTAATACTATAATACTATAATTCCTATTTCTAAATAATAACTTTACTAACTTATATAAATAGTATTTTATAATTATATAATAGTATTATATATTTTTAGTAAACTAATATTATTAAAAGCTTTAAGAATACTAAAAGCTTTTCTTAAAAGCCTTCTAATTATATATATACTTCTAGAAATTAATTTTCCTAATATTCCTTAATTACTAATAAAGCCTTAATTAATTATACTTTTCCTTTCTACTAAATTAACTATTTCCTTACTTTTAAAATAATAATCTCCTAAGAAAACTATAAGACAGAAAACAAAAAGAATAAAGAAGCTAGTTAATAAGATAATTAAGCCTCTAGAAATTATTATTACTAGAAGAAAAAGAAATAAAAGAAGGCTATTTTATAATAAGATTCTTATAAAGGCTCTAGCTAATTAGAAAAAAAATATAAGATTTACTATATAATAGCAAATTCAATTAATATTTGAGCTTTTATAATAAAAAAATCGAATAGTACCTAAATTATAATTAAATATTTAAGTAATATAAGCAATTCTTTATTTCAAGAATTAGATACTTAAATTTAGGCTTATTACTTTATTAAATACAAGTTACTACTTCTTATCCCAAAGAAAATTTAATAAGAAATATTATTATAATAATATAAAAAACCTTCTAATATACTCTCTTATATTAAGCTATATATTACTAAAGAATTTAGAATATTATATAAGATATTTAATTAATTATATAGAAATTAGTAAGAGATAGAGATAGTAGAATAAAATTTAGTAGAAAAATACTAAAAATACTACTAAATTAATGATTTTAGTAATACCATATAATTTTAAAGTAATATATAGCCATTAGGGGATTGAGAATACTATAAAGTATTAGTATTTAATAGGAATTAAGATTTTAATTTTTGGGCGGTTGAGTAGTTTGGGCGGTTGGCCAGTGAAACCTTCTACCCCCTGAGGCACCAAAAACCGCTTCCTGAGGCACCCAAAGGCACCCAGTTTTCTGTGACAACATGTCAGCCTTCCAACAAAACCTAACCTTTCTGCGCCTTCTCGTGCCACAACACAGGAACATTCCTTCGATCACGCCCTCTCCCTCGCTGAAAGCTACTTTTGTTAATCATTATTTGGCTTATAAACTCCGGCCATTCTAATAGCAACTGTCTTAAAACGGGCCATCTACATTCGACAGTCGAGTTGAAAAACGCGGCCTAAATCGATAGACCATTCCCTAGGACGTACATGCGTCCAACGCAATACAAGAAGGCTTCCACTTCAGTAGGATCACAACGTCCTCGATCCTTCGTTGGAGTCGCGACTAGCTTCTCTAAGCAAAAGCTCACTTGCTAGAAGACTGTCTCATCAGGCTCCACCCAACCTCCCAAGCCGGTTTACCATAGGACTGTCTTAGAAGAAAGGGAGGTGCGATTTTGAATATGGCTCATCTCGAAATCTCGGATTCGAGGTGTCGGACAATAAGACTGGAATCATCTGTGGCTATGACGGACACAATGGTTAGTGGTACTGAGAGGGAGAATCTCGAGATGGCCATTCAAGCTGCTAGAATAGCGGTTAACAAAACGCCAAAACGACACACAGATCGAGCCCAACGCTTGACCGAACTTGGGATTCTTCTAGCCAATCAATATTCTACGACGGACGCTATGCCTGACCTCGAAGAGGTCATTCAAGTAAAAAGTCAATCTATTGACATAACTCCTAAGGCACTACGTCAAGCTATACATTTGAGCGACCTGGCCAGTCTACTGAAGCACCGATATATCCTCACGGGGAAAATATTCGATCTCGATGAAGCCATCGAATTAGAAAGAAGTGCTCTCGATATTACTCTGAATGGTTTCGATCAAGTTGTAATTTTGGAAGAGCTGGAAGATATGCTTCACTTGCGGTACAAGAGAGCATTACTACTAGTAGATATTGAGGGAGCTATGCAAGCTAGCAAAAGAGTGGATCCTAGTTTCAAAGATCCCGATCAAGTCACACATGTTGATGAAGTGATAGATCAGCAGAGTGATCTCAGGAACCAAGTGATGGTGGACCTTGAGGAACTCATTCAAGTGTCTAGGTTAGCAGTTAGTTTATTTCCAAATGACTCGGCGGTTCGGTCAGACTGGTTGAATGCTCTGGGCGCTCGATATTACGATCGCTACTGCGAAACAGATGCCATGGACGATCTTGAAGAAGCTATTCGATCTGCTAGACAAGCACTCGATTTAGTGCTCGATGGCACGACTCCTGTCTCTCTGCTAAGAAACCTGTCAATTTTTCTTGGCAAGCGTAACCTCAAGACAAAAGCGAGAGCCGATATCGAAGAGGCTGTTCAATTAGCAAGACAAGCTGTTGGGAGAGCTTCTGAGAAGTTGAATATGCATTTGGCAAGCTTTGCGGATCTGCTGTTCAGGCTATACCAAACGAAAGAGACGTTAACTGACCTTGATGAAGCTATTCACATTGCCAGACAAGCAGTCAATGAAATAAGACAGACTCCCGAGACAAATGTTGCGGCTCCCGGGGCAAAAATTGAGAATTTAGATTTTCTTGGACATCTACTTCTCGAGCGGTACAAAAAAGCCGGATCGATGGCCGACCTCGACGAATCTATCAAAATGGCTAGTCAACAAGCTCATATTATATTCTTCAGCAATCGCAGACAGACTTCTGGAGGCTTCCGTTCACTTATGAGCACGTACTGGGCTGAAAAAACAAACGCTGTAGCCGATTCTGCCCTACTGGCTCAAACGGCTACGCAAGGAGCCATTATTCCTATTGGAAAAGGCATAAATCAAGTTGGGAGTTTGAGTAAGCTTGGAAACAGGCTGTACATCCGCTATAGAAAGGCAAGGAAACTGGATGACCTCCTGGAAGTTGTCCAAATTAAGAGGCTTTTAGTTGATATGATGCCTAATAATTCGGACTTGGCCGACTTGAGCGCCCACCTTGGTGAAGTTTATGACCAGACACAAAGCCCGACCGCGATCAACGAAGCCATCGGAATCTTAACTCAGTTAGTCGATACAACTAGCAACGACTCAGACCGAGCCACAAATCTTGTTACCCGAGCTGTTCAACTTTCCCGTCGGCACCAGATATCGGGGAACATGGCCGAGCTTGACGAGGCCATTGAGGCTAGGACGCAAGCAATTAAAATGATTCCAGATGGCGACCAGCGAAAGGTTGAATATTTACCGGATCTTGGGGCACTGTACTATCGTAAATACGGCATCACGCGAACAAGGAGCTTTCTGGATGAATCAATTGCCATCAGCAAGAAGGCAGCCAACGCGATGTCGGAAGATGATCCAGATCGAGCAAAAGCTCTAAGTAATATTTCATACGGCCTGTTACAAAAGTACAAGAGCACAAACGTTTTGACGGACCTGGAGGAGGCCATCAATCTTGGGCGGGAAGCTACGGATGCAACGCCCAATGGGTGCCTAAATTGGGAAATTATTTTGGAGAGGCTTGGAATCGGATTGTACCAACGCTATCTGAGAGTAGGTACAATGACAGATCTTGAGGAAGCCATTCGACTTGGGAGACAAGCCATGACATTGGTGCAGAAGGTGCTGCCGCTAGATCACAGCCTCTACTATTGGATCAGCCTTGCGTCGATGCTATGTGAGCGACATATAAGGACAGGGTCAAAAGCCGACTTCCAGGAGGCTATCAAACTTGTGCGTGAAGCCAGAACTCGAGCTGCAATGTTCCGGCTCTATCACTTAAACCACACCAGAATTTGTTGCTACTTGGGACTTGGTGACGGATGGGTATTCGGGTTTCCTGATGAGGACAATGCTCCCGGAATCATTGAAGATATTCGGATGACTTTGGAAGTGACGGCGGAGAATCACCCGAACAAAGCACGGTATTTGAGCAACCTCGCATTTGAACTGAATAGTACAGGATCATTGGTTGACCTCGACGAAGCTGTCCAGCTTGGACGACAAGCTATCGATATAACGCGAAAAGGTCATTCAGACCTACCATGGCATCTATGTTGTCTGGCAATGGGGCTCCTCCAACGATTCTGGAAGATAGAGCGCCCGGGCGATCTTGAGGAGGCCGTCAGTCTTGGCCAACGAGCTGTAGACACAGCGACAATTGACCATGAAGGACGGCCATTCTATCTAGTGGTGCTTGCAAAAGCACTTCACAGCCGGTATTGGGCAACCGGAAGACTGCCTGATCTCTACGAATGCATCAATCTTGGCCTTCAAGCTTTCAGTCTCTCGCTGGGGAAGTCTCTAGAAGACTACTGCAACCGGTCCTGGTGTGCTTGCAATCTTACGGCGTGGTTTGGTGATAAATATTTGAGGGAAGGAGCTATGGCCGATCTCGAGCGAGCTATAAAATATCAGCATGATTCTGAGTTAGCTCTGGATGTATTAAAGAACAACATCGCGCTGCTGTCCGCGCGGCACCAGGACGTAAGTGCCAGTTATTATAGCATGCACTTGGGAACGAGAAATGGAGTCACCCCCAGGAAAACAGACAACGAAGCCATCCACATTGTACCTCAGGACTTTCCGGATTGTCCTACTCGACTGCACTACCTTGGAGCTGAGCATTTCGAACGCTTTGAAAAGGGGGCTATCCAAAAATGGCGAGAAGTAAAGGATCTTTCAACTGCCGCATGGTTGTGTGAAAGGTCAGTTGACGCTACGCCAAATGGACACTTAATGAAACCGATTCGACTTTATTGCCTTGGAGAGTGCTATGAAGCTCTCTATCTTGAGAAAAGAAATGCAGACACTGCAGAGCGTCACCCCAACGCAAGAGCACGGAATAAATATGATCTCGACAACGGAATAAACTCATTCCAAGAGGTTGTTGATGCGGCACCACGATGTGGTTTAATATGGGTCTCTGCACTCCGCCGCCTTTGTTATTTGTATGATGAGAGGTTCTGCTTTACGGGAGACCTGGGAGATCTTAAGATGGTACTTCAGCTATATCAAGATTTAGTAGATGGCACACCGAAGAACCATCCAGACCGTGCGGCTCGACTTGAAAGGCTGGGATCACTCAAAAGGGACAGATTTGTAGCTTTCGGAAATATGGCCGATATTGAAACAGCAATCCAGCTATTCCAAGAAGCTGCCGACATCACAGATCGGAATTCTCCAATCCAGGCTGACTATCTTAAGAGCCTGGGAGCCGCCCATCACGCCAAGTATGACATCACAAAAAACCTAGTCAATCTTGAAGTTGCTTTGCAGGTGTATCAAGATGCAGTCGATATATGTCTGGATGATCGCCTCTTGGCCGCGACCCTGGGTTGCCTGGGGCAGGCATACCTTGAGAAGTATGAAATAATGGAAGCAAAAACAGATTTCGAAGGAGCAATTCAAAGCTTCCAGATTGCCCTGGATTCTGAATCGCAAGACTCACCAGGCAGGGCAATGCGACTCGCGGACCTGGCACTCTGCTACATGAAGGGGTACATAAAAGTTGGCACAACGACATATATAAACATGGCAGCTCGGCTCTTTCAGGATGCTGCTAATGCGACGCCGGCGGACCACCCAGATCATATCTCAATGTTCTCTGTCCTCGCATACTGCTATGAAGTGAAATACAACACAACAAAGTCCAACTCGGATCTTGAGGCGGCAATTGCATCCTATAGTGAAGCCTTCTGGGACTCCCCTGGGGCCACTATCGGACAAAGTTTAGATGTTGCTAAAAAGCTCGTGTCAACATTGATACTCGGCAAGAATTGGCACGAGGCTTGGTGTATTGTCTGCGAAGCCATACCAATGATTCGAGGGATGACACCGCGGTTTCTTGAGAATTCGGAGAGACAAGCCTTACTTTCACAACATTCCGGCTTCGCATCGGATGCTGCAGCTGTAACGTTAAGCGTTGGACGTGAGCCTATTGAAGCGATCCAGCATCTTGAAGAAGGCCGTGTGATTGCTGCCGTTGGCATGAATGAACTTCGTATCTCTGTATCACGGCTCTCGGACTTTCGCCCTGAAGTTGGGAAGAAATTTCTGAGCCTCCGTGATCAATTAGAGACTCCCTTGGGAGGCCGCATGACATCAACCGAGCTCTATGAGGAAGGCGAATCCGCTCTACACAAATTGACTCGTCACCTAGATGCAAGCAGAAAACTTGACTCACTGATTTCGGATTTTCGAGCAAAAACCAGAAGTCTGATATTCCCTGTAGCACCAGATGAAATCGACTACAGTCGTGCTACAAAAGGTGGTCCTATCGTTGTTATCAATGTTAGCTACCGCTGTGATGCATTTCTTTTCGTTGGAGAGGAGCTACGCGTCTTGCCGTTACCTACCATCTCGAGAGAAGGGATTGAGAAGAGGGCTAGAGAAGGCAATTTTGGGCGTCGCAGCGTTCTAGAATGGCTTTGGGAAAATATTACTGGTCCGATTCTAGACGCACTTGGATTTACTGAACCTCCGCTCCATGATCGCTGGCCACATGTGTGGTGGATTCCTACTGGACCCCTAAGCAGGTTTCCACTCCATGCAGCAGGTCGGCATACTGAAACGTCTAATGAAACTGTGATTGACAGAGTTATGTCTTCATATAGTCCTTCTATCAGATCTGTGTTGCAAGGTTACGGGCTTCGCCACCAGGAATCGACTTCCGCCAGCAAACAGGTCTTAATTGTTGCGATGGAGGATACACCAGGTAGCAAATCTCTCCCTTTCGCCACCGAAGAGGCAGCGGTAATACGGGAAGTTTTTTGCAAGTCGACGTCATTTGAGCTTATAGAGCCAGATCGACGCAAAGAAGACGTCCTATTACACCTGCGAGACTGCTATATCTTTCACTTTGCTGGCCATGGTTATACAGATGTCAAAGATCCTTCCCAAAGCCATTTACGTCTCGAGAACTGGAAAGACAATCCACTTAGAGTGGCCGACTTGCTAGAGATCAACCTTTGCGAACGCCCCCCCTTTCTTGCTTATCTGTCAGCTTGTGGAACCGGTCGAATTGAAGGGAAAGAATACCTTGACGAAAGTATTCATCTGATTACAGCATGTCAATTAGCGGGCTTTCGACATGTTATTGGTACTTTATGGGAGGTTAGGGACGAGATCTGCGTGGACATAACGAAAATTACATATGAAGGCATAAGAGATGGAGACATGACAGATGAATCAGTTTGTCGTGGACTTCATAATGCTACCCGGCAGCTTCGAGATCGTTGGCTTAGTACGCCAGTAGATACTGGACGCGCAAGTAGATTAATTAGGAAGGAAAATAAGTTCTTGGGGGAGCATGATTCGGGTGGCCGGAGCGTAAATTATAGCGATCCAAAAGATGATAGATTGTTGAGAGATATTATTTCATGCGACGAGGAGGAGGCGGAATTATTGCATTGGGTTCCTTATGTTCATTTCGGGGTATAGCTTTTATTATTTAGAGGGGTTAATTCGGAATCTATTCGATAGCGAGGTATTAAAACCCTTTATTATTCTCTGTCCCGTTGTTAATAATCGTTTAAAAACTAGTGGGATATTGCTTGAATTGCACGTTTATGCTAAAACTGGTCAGAGGCATTTTAAGCTGCCTCTACAACTGTCTCTCTGGTTCTATTACTTATGCCCCGCTCTCTTAAAACCTCTGACAAGCAACGCCTAGTCGAGGGTTTATGCTGCATCGTATTTTGGGTGGAAGTGGGCAATTCAATGATAGATGATCAGATTACGCGATGGCACAGCCGCGAGGACTGAGAATGGCTTAGAAGAACAAGACTAACATCAGCGAGACGAGATGTTCTAAAACCACAGTACTCGGCATGAGCAAAAAGCGAAGCCCATTCGTCACTGATTCAAAATCCGCGTGACAGATGTGTGTGAAGTTTGGCAAGCTATGTGTTCTTGTGAGGGAAGACGGTCCTGTGGCGATGCCTCTGCCGGAAGAAGAGCGATCGGCTAGCGTAACTCCAGTATCTGGATATTCTCGCTAATTGATAATATTGATCAGCTTAAGCGATACTATGGATCAGCTACTGGCTCGTGTAAGGGGAGAGGATTTATGGAAGGATCCATCTCGATCTGAGTCTGATCATGAATCTGGTTGGCCTTCCTCGAGCTGTGGAAGCAAGTACGCGAGAAGAAGCGGAATGGCTGCATGGATGTTCATTCATAGTGCGAGAGATACCTCCTAGAGTCTCACACTGGCAGTTGTCTGGGTGCTGGCGAGTGCCTTCTTCAATATGTCGATCCGCGTGTTGACGGCCCCTATTGTATGGAACATTCTTCAACCTCGTGTTCTTCGTCTCCAGCAAAGGCTTCGCCGTCCATGAAGCCGTGCAGATAGCATTCTCCGATGTATTCATACCCCCGTTCTTTCCGCCTCAAAACAATTGGAAACGAACAGGCTACGATCGCAATAACATCCCTTTTCTTGGCTGTCGCTGGAACCAAGGCCAGGTGACCCTTGGCCGTGTTTGCCAAGCCTCTATCAACCTGTGAAATTGCTGCTAGTCGTATGTCTTTTACAATCTTTGCGCGGTCTTTGCTCCATCTCTTCAAGTATTTCATCTCGAATTCATATTTCATCTCGAATTTATATCTCTCCTCAGCCGCCTCTTGTCGGTAGGGTCCGACACATGGCATCCATGTAGGAAAAAAGCTTTTAAGCCAATGACCACGGACTCGGAACGTCGCGTTCGCCTTGCGGAACTTGTCGAAAACGCCCAAGTAGCCTTCGAATTTCACATCCTCCCAAAATCGCGTCCAGTTCAATACTCTGAAATCGGGTTCCCCTTCTTCTGGAAACCCGGTGTGTCCCCACATTTCGGTCCAAGGGATTGCAAAGAGTGATGGGTACGGCCCGGAGCGACGTGGATGGCCCATTCGCAGAGTGTCGATGAGCGAGTTGATTAGTCTATGGTCTTCAACTACTCGAAATTCGTCTTCAACATCGTCGATATTCTCCCTTGCTATAGATCTTTCATTTAAATCCGAAGACCGGAGATGAAAATCGTTTACCGATTCAAGCGTGTCGAGCATAACCCCCTCACAAACAAGGTGCTTGCTATTATGAATTAGACGGTGATTGAAGTGCTGATTTAGGTTTGCATTTCTCCGTCTCAAGTGCTGCATATGGTTTCTAACAAACTGGCTTGACAGGTTGACACACCGCGAAGGCAAGTCCATATCTGACCCTGCGGATGACCAAGACAGGAGGTTCTCTAGGCCACATTCCTGCTGTAGCTTTTCTGAGAAGTCTTGGAAAACATCGCTGAGGGATGAGTCGTAGTCTGGCTGAAACCGCGCAGAGAGAGAGCGAGGGGCAGTAGCCCGTGAATACCATATATCTTGTCTCTCACTTTTCGAAGCCAACCGATTCCAGGGTGACTGGTGCATTTGCTTCGAATCAGTTGATGGTTGCCACGCTCTTCCCAACAATGTGCCCAGAGCAGAAGTACAGTAATTGATAACGAATCTTAATTTTTTGCTTCAAATGAAAGTCAAATACGAGACCACATTGGTGACATAGTATTCAAGCTCGTGATTGGCCGCTTATAACACACCTGTATGCCTTCAACTCCCCTAAACTCAACCAGCTTCTTACCCTCTAAAATTACAACAGATCCATATGATAGTACTTATACAATGCGTAACACTAACAACAATACAACTTCGAAACTACTTCCTAATAATCCTTATATTAGCATCTCTATTTACATCAACATTACGAATCGCCTTATCTAATACTAATACTAAATTTAAGCTTTTCCTGAACTTCTCTCGCGTGAGATTAAATAGCGATCGTTATCCTTAAGAAAGTTGATGCAGGTTTAAATCACAGTGAATGTTGGGGTGTTGAGTCTTGGCAATTCGTCCTCGGATGGGTTAAAAGTGCAGTGTATCAGGAGCCTGGTGCTGTACTGTGCTCGGCTCGGCTCGGTTACAGCAAGAGAATTGGACTAGATTAAGCGAGTTGAAAAGGGGAAACTTCGAGAAGAGACTTCCACCACTGAGAGATCGGCATAAAATTCCATTTCCATTATCATATTCCATTTTCGGGCTGCTTTTTCGCGCCAAGTATTTCCTGCCTCGGAATTACGAAGCCGAATTGCTTCCCTGAATGCCACCATTTGAATTGCCTTTCGTTAGTTGTTCCCACGTATATTTAGCTGACATGCTTACATTAGTATGGTAGATCTCGCGATACGGACCTTGTGAGACATTTCCCTTGCAGCCTTGCAGTCTCAGCCACACTAAGCTCCCACGACACCCAATAAAGCTCAGATCGCTAATTTTCAGCCTGAAATATCCACTGTGCCAAGATCGACGTGCTGTCCAATATAATGTTGGCTTTTGACGGCGCAATTGAAGGGTGGTTTAAGTACTCTCGCTCGTTTCATTGTTGTTCTTTCAAAATCTAGTTCGTTTTCGCTCCACCGACTGCAGCTGCCAAAATGGCTTCTTCTATTCAACTCTTTTCCGCGGTTGTATCTCGCCATTACGGCATCGGCATCTAGTTAACCGACTACTGGAAGTTCTCACAAACGTGGTCTTATATTTACTCCTAACGTCACGCACCCGAATTATGACAAGACCTGGACGCCGTCAGATAGTCTCAGCTGGTATTACAACTATGCATCGAACCATCACCTCAGTTTGCCAGCATTCCCCAGTCCAGGTTTAAATTTGCCCCTATGATCTGGCCTCCCAAAAACGCTTCAGACAGTGAGTTCTTCTCCAAAGTGACGGCGCTCATCAAGGGCAGGAGAAATACCACCCACGCCTTGAGCTTTAATGAGACAGATGGAAATTGGGAGCACGGGGGAGTCTCATGACTTCTAGTGATGCAGCACAGGCGTGGCCGCGGTAACTTGTACCCTTGCAGAAAATGGGCGTCAAAGTCGGAGCTCCTGCGATGGCGTCAGGAGTGGCCTGGTTGAAGGACTTCACTGAAGCATGTCCAAACGGCGAACATTAACGAGACTCTTAAATCGTGAGTTCTCCTCTCAATTTAGTGCCAAGATCCGCCGTTGACTTGAATCAGATATCCCGGCAAGAAGCTCTGGATCATCGAATTCGCGTACTGCGACGCATCACTTGCGGATAGTCAAGCCTACTTTAAATACACATAAAGCTGCTTGATGGTCGCCCTGAAGTTGAAAAATACTCACACTTTGGCGCGTTCCGAAGTAACGAGACCACGGTGGGCCCGAGTGCGGCGTTCCTTGATGCGAGCGGGAAGTTGACTGATACTGGGCGCTGGTACCTGGGAGGAGGGGCTGCACGGGAGTTCCTCAACGACCGGGACTACCCCAACGGCAGGGACTATTCCAACCACCGGGAATACCTCCCCCCCCCCCCCCAAAAAAAACTGAAGGCGTCGCATGTGCATCACCAAAGTAGACTGAATGTTGCAGTTGGTACATCGTTTCATTGGTGGGGGCTGGGTTGCTACCACAGGGCTGGTGTCTGAGGGGCTAATCCTTGCGCGTAATAATCAATTGACCTTCCTTGAGACGATTTCAATATCACACTACACCATTCACTGCTACTTGGACTTGCTTTGAATGTAAGATGAGCGTTGTAATGTTTGCTTGAGAGTGAGATTTGGGGCTCAATGTCTCTTGATTTTCCCCACTCAGAACACTTCACAATAACAATTCCTTATCAACAGCTGAGATCATTCAATTCCAAAGGTTGTGGTATTTCCCACCTCTTGATTCCACTTATTCACTTCTCTCCGTAGCAAATTTGGTGATGGTTTGAAATTGTTGAAGTGTCCAAGTGATAGGAGGCGGTTGTTGAATGCTACAATACGTAGAAAAATGAAATGCAGCAGCGGACTCAATTTGCGTATTCCTTGGATCACAATTCGTAAGAAGAAGATATCAAATTACCAGAGCCTCCGAACATCTTTCCCAAAGTTATTTCTGAATCCAGAGTGGAATAATAAGCCTCTAGTGAATGGAGGAGGAGATCTATATTTACTCATATGACTCGTAGCCAATGCTTCAAAGTTTTCTAGAACAATGAGAGCACCTCTTTTCTTTATATTTCTTTAAACCATGGGAACATTCATAAATGAATGTTGCTGAATGTTCAAGAGGCTCGTGGTTCATCTCGGCGGGAGCTCTCCTTCGAGCACGTGATAAAGTACCCCGCGGCAGAATTCTTCACCGCCCTTCACTCAACGCCGCATCTCACCCGTGATAGGCACCCCGTTCCCCATTCCTCCATTCCTCTCCAGATACTACACTCCACACTATGCCATCACTCAGCGCCTCTGCCTCACCCAACGTCGCTTTACCCCCCTCACGTTCACGCTCGCAATCCCCAATCCGACCTCCCTACTCCCCAATAACACCAACAATCTCCTCCGCGCGCCTAGCCACCACCACTCCCCCCTCTAACGCCTCTCAAACACGCCCCACCTCCACCTACACCCATGCCCAACCACCTCAAACCTCGATCCCGCAACCGGCTCCTATACCTTTCACAACCGTTACCTACGAGGAGAATCCCGATGTCCTTGCGTTAAAGAGCGCAGCGAGTATACTGCAGATACAAGCGAGGAATGCGGTTAAGGATATCCAGGCCCTGCAGAGGATTAAGGAGAGGGCTTTGAGGGATCCGGCGGCGTTTGGACAAGCGCTTGAGAGTGGCGTGGTCAGAACTCGTGCTGATCCGTTGTACAAGCCGGGAGAATTTGAGAGTGAGGAAGAGGATGATGGGGATGGGGATGTGGAGATGGGAGGGGGGAAGGGGAATGGAAATGGGAAGGAGGGGAAAGGGGAGAAAGTTAGGAAAGAAGGGAAGAGGGAGGGCCCGGGAGAGAAATGGGAGACGTTGCCTGCGCCCCAGAATATTGTGAGATGTCCGCCGGTGAACTGGAATCAGTATGCGGTTGTGGGTGACTCGTTGGATAAGATACATAAAGATCAGCTTGAGCGGCCGAGTGAGGGGGTCCCGATGAAGGTTGGCAGTGATGGGCAACTTATTAGTGGCGGGGAGGGGGCCAGGAGACAACATGATTTGGGGGTCGCCGCGCCGTATCAGCCGGGAAGGGATAAGATCGAGAAGATGAGTACGAGGAGGGGTGGGAAAAGATGAGTGGAGGGAGGGGCTTGGGTGGCGTTATGATATCACGATAGTGGAGTTTGAGCATGGCATGGTGCTAGGGTTGCTTTGGTCCTGGGATAGAATATTGTCGGAGCACAGGAGGAAATGTTCACGCTGTATGGAATACAGACGAACCTGATTACAGAAATCGGCATTTTCATAGAGGCAACAATGCATTAGATAGGTCTCCAATCCAGCGTCTACAACCTTCGTATTTGCTATTCTTTCGTCTTGTCCTCCTAACTCCTAAGACACATATCTACTAGAATCATCAAGCTGCAGAGTCATGAAAGTCAAACTCCACCGTCTTTGTGATCACACCATCTTTCTGTTGGAACTCCTGGGATTCCTCGTTGCTGTTATGAGTCCCAGCCTGTGATACCGTACTTTGGAAAATCCGCTCCTGCGAGCTGGACATTCCACCTTGGGCGTCGACTCTAGTTTCGACGTGGGAAATTGGATACATGGAGATACCGGAGAGACCGTTATTCTGTTTGCGACTCGAAGCATTGTTGAGGTTGCGGCTGCGACTTTGTGATGAGCTCTCGTGGATGTGGTTTGTGACGACGAGCTTTGAGGCTAGGATGTCGATGCTGAGAAGGTTAGCATTGTCATAAGGGCCAGTGTGGGAGAGGATTATACAATAGCATTACTGGAAACATGCACTCCAACGTATAAACGAATCTGTCAAGTTGAGAAGCGGTCGTGGTAGCGCTCTGAGCCGTCGTTTGGAACGAATATGTTATGGCTCGAGAGAAGCCAATGACCGCTAATGTCGCAAGTCTGATTTCCGTGCTCCTCATCAAGTAGCTGAAGAGTCCTGAGGTTGAAGAAGCTTCTATCGAAGTCCGGCGTGCCGAAGCGAATTTCCTCAAGAGGAAGAAGGCGCTGATACATTCGACGAGGGCTATTGAGCTGAAGTAGCCGACGTGAAGGTGATCAATCGTATTTTGGCGGTTGGTGCTTCCATCGAGGATATCTTTTGCGCGGCTCGCGAGGATGAAGATGCGGATGGTAAGGAGGACAGCCATTATTGTCCAGAAAAGACACATAAAGATGACGCGACTTCGATTTTGGAGGACTCGCGTGAGGATCAGATAACTGTAGAAGGATAGCCCCGCTTCTTGGATCTATGACTTGAATCAGCAGAGAATATGTAACCTAGATAGGGTACCAGCTACCAGCCAGCTCACGTCTGCAATCGCCGCGGCAATAACAGTACCAGTCTTGGGATAGTCTGCGTAGAAAGCATAGTAACAGAGTCCGTTTGCCAACGAACCAGCAACCGAAACGACAATCGGAACGAGTGAGACCGGTGAGAGGGAGGTGATGCCAATGACCATCAAGCCAAATAAAACATTGGTCAAACCAATACTGCTCAGTATTGCCCAGCTTTCTTCAAAATAGACTGGGACAGTAGGTGTAGACATGATCACTATGCATGCACAAGTACAGTTGGAGCGCGGGAGCCGTACTTCGACCCAACCTTATACTGCGAGCGTGGTCCCGAGACCCAGACTCCCAGAGATCTCTTCATGCAAATGCGGAGGGACCGTGAACCCACTAGAGCTTTGAATATCAACCATTGGGCGAAAGGAGCCGTGCCGCACCCAATTCTTTACCAGTAGTGTCTTGGCCAATTCTTTACCAGTAGTGTCTTGGCGGTGTCGCCGCACATGTCGACCTTGGCAAGCATCTTGATTCTGCATATTACTGTATCAACTAAACAACATCGCGACAATCCGGGGAATGAGATGGGTAGTCCCCCCCCTGTTTCACTTTCATCTCGTCCATCTGGGGTTGGAGGGGCGCGCAGCCACAATGTGCTAGCTCTGCGTTGAATATATGCGGGTTCTCAACGCAGACCAAGAAACGTTTGCGATGACTGGGGATGTCAAATCTGATTCTCACAATGTTGTCAGTTTTTTTATTTTTAACAAGCGCTTGACAGACGCCATAGCATTTGTTTTTCAAGGATTAAAAGGTTGCCTCACAGAAGCAATTTGGAGGGGAAATCTGGAGGGCTAGACGGGATGCCTCGTGCTTGCTGGGATCATCCCGAGACACTAAAGCCTAGCTTTGGAACACCTCCAATCCGAAGCCACAACAATCATGAGAAACCGTGTTGGGTTTGGAGACTGATTCGAGAGCATTCATTCGTTCCACCGGAAGGTGGTCGCATGAGAAATGGAAGCTTTCCGAATCCGAGCAGCCGACGAGGCGAAGCGGGATTCCAACAAAGAAACAGGGGGGGCAACCAATCATGATTGCTGGCTTGGATTCGCCTGGACAACTCCTTGAACGCCCCTCCACAAGAATAGCTATAGTTGAAACAGATGATTTTCTGCTGCGGGAAAGGTACTGTATCGAGACGCAATCTCTCAATCATGTCGCCATCGGGCGAGGCCCAGATTAGAATCTGACAGCCGGCAGTGAAATGGGATCGCTCCAGACCCCGAAGCATGGTTCATTACCTGCAGAGCGCCTTTCCCCGGGTCTTGCCGTGCGTTGCTGGTTATTGAGTCCACAAGCATCACCTCCGCCATCTGATTCCTAACCTCATAAGGACATGACTAATCGTTCGAAGCTGATACCCCCTCAATGAGAATCCAGAAACTCCAGTATAAGACCTATTTCCCATCTGTCAGGGCCTCTGGCACTGCCCTTTTCTGTGTAGCGAGTCTTGTACCAACCACTCATCAGGAAAAAGACAGCAGGGAGAAACGGGGCTACCCCGTCAGCAAAGATTGCAGTTTAGGGTAAGCAAGAGTCCATACCTTCAACCAGTCCAAGTATGAATCTTGACGCAGACAGCCCAGCAAAGTTCCGAGTGAAAGCTTGTGACATAGACACAATGCTCCATGCTGGAATAACGCAGCATATGTAAATCGAGGGCCGCACTTTGCGAATGATGAGATTGGACGGCAATTGCGTAATGACATTTAAGGTAACACATCAGCAAGGATCCGATGTAAAGATGGCATGTCCACTTACATCCGACATAAAAGATCATCAGACAAGTATTGTACTGAGAATTCGAGATCCCTAATGTATCTGGCAACCCAGCAATCTTCGCATTGGCAATATTATTCGGATCCAGAATGTTCAGCAGAAATAGCAGAACTACAATTGGTATCAATGTGCGGTCCAATCTTCTCATTAAATTCTTGTTGAGTTTTGAGATGTCGTCTTCGTTCAGATGCTGGAGCGCCTCTGGAAGTGGGAGGTATACTAACGGCGGGATAATCTTCTCCACTGCCTCGACATCCTGTTTTGCGGTATCGATGCGATCAATATTGTCCTTTCGACTTTAGAAGTAAGAAGGCGATAGTAATGACTTTGAGAGGTCATTGAAAACTAGATATATCTTGGGACTATGACATTCAAGTCCCAGAGTTGTGCCCAAGCTACCATCCCACACTCTGCGGAGAGACATGTGGTATGGAGAGAAGTACGGAGGACATGTTGCGGGGTATTGGTGCTGTGGAGATAATATACACTTGTTCCTGGAGTACTCCACACTTCGCGGAGAGAAGTGCGGAGGTCCCGCAACACATCGGGATGGAGCCGTACAAAGCTCACGAAGCGGACAACACCACCTTGGCTGTCGTGCAAGACATCTTCTAGGAAAATAAGAAATGAAAATCATGACAACTGGTGATATCAAGAAGAAGGTTCGTATTGAGTTAAGCAGCATTAAACGCTTTCGCATTGACAGGCGTCAACGGCTCACCGATGGACTCCCTATCTGGTCTAACAGCTAGGGCATTCTTCATAGCATTCAGCTCAAAATTGATCCTCGCATCTAGCGCACCTCCCCCAATATGCGTCGTCAGCGTAACATTCGCCATCCCCGCAAGCTCTGATGCCACCTGCGGTTCATGGTAATGCACATCCAGACCAGCGGCACTGATATGCCCGCTCTTCAACGCAGCGACAAGAGCATCTTCGTTGACGACTTGTCCGCGTGCTGTGTTGAGTACCCTAGATCCGGGCTTCATCAATGCAAGAGCTCTGGCATCTATCAGATCTTGTATATATGCATTCAGAGTTGTATGGAGGGATATGCAATCCGCGACCCTTCAGCAACTTATCCAGCGACGCATGAAACGTAGCAACAAGCCTGTGCTCCTCATCCACACTCGCCCTCACCACATCAAAATAATGTATCTCCATTCCCAGGGCCGTCCTCGCCTTATACGCGAACTTCTTACTGATATTCCCCAATCCAATAATACCCAAAATATGCCCCCTCGGATTATGGCTTATCGTAGGTATCAGCTTATGGGTGGCGTTGAAGATCTCGGGGTCCGTGGTTCGAGCAGCAAATTGCGAGCGTGTGAAGTTGCGGAAGATGGAGAGGATCATGTAGAGTGCTGTATCGGAGACTTCTTCGTCGGATGCACCTGCGCCGTTGGCGTACCAGATCTTGTGCTGGCCGAGGACGTCGGTGTCTGCCCAGTTGAAGCCTGCGCCAACTCTGGCGAAGATTCGAACGGATGGTGGGAGGAGGGGAATTAGTTTGGCGTCCCATTGTCCCATTTCTCCTTCGGTTTGGAAGTGTGGTCTGTGGGTGGCAGAAAAATCGCCATATCTTGGGTATTGTTAGCCCGGGGAGTAGATTGGTGGGAGTTCATTACTTCTTAGTTTTCAGGGCATCAATGAAGCAGACCCGATCCTTCTCCTCGCTTCGGATGACATTGAATCTGGAGAGGAACTCGCCCTCGTAAAATTTCTGGTTGTATTTGATGGATTCCCCAATGTAGAGGATGGTTGGCTTGGGCATGTCTTGGAATGCCCGGATTAGTAAGCCCCTCGATTGCTTCAGGTGCTTCCTGGCCTTTGCAACTTTCGCTCCTTTAACATCACAGATATGACAATTGTGCTGGTGTGTTGTTTTACCGATACTTTTATTCTCCTGGGAGCTTCAAAAAACGCCACCTCCAGTTTCCCCCACCTTCACAACTGGGTCGGTTCAAGGTGTGAAGTTCCACGATCATCGAATCGGATTTCTCGCCGCATGGCTCCAGCTCCTTACAATGGGGGTGCGCCCACGAAACGCATCGAAAGGCAAGCTTGAAGAACTATGAATGGCCCAATCTCTCTTCGTGAGCATGCCCCAAAGATACCAGAGCTCAAGCGAGCTGTAACAAACCCGAAAAGCCATTTTCTTGCATCCTCCTGTACGAATCGCACAATCCTCATGAACTCCTTTCGGTTGCCGCCTTGCTTCAACTGTGCGAGTCGTACAATCCGGTATATTACTCTTGGTGTAGCCTCCCTTAGTAGCTTGCTGGGGAAACAGCTTCCTGTAGTAATAATAATTAGCCCATCTTAGTATATTACCTAGTTTTATATACTAGCTATAATAGTTACGGGCCTTAGCTTAATTTTGATATAGTTGCATGTCTAATTTCAAATGGTTTGGGTTTTTTGGTGTTTTGGTGCTCGAGTGCTTTAGTGTTTTGACCTTCACCGCTTAAAACCCTGCCCTACACTAACACATAACGTCCCATGGTTCGGGTTGCCCTCTCGCCCCACAGAACGGGATGAACCCCTGTCCCCCACTCGCAGCCTAGCGCGCCGGGCCGGAAAAACAGATCGGAGAGCTTAAATCAATTCTGTGAAACATCCCTCGAGTGATCACAAATATATTTCCAGGCCGTGTGCATGACACCATCAAGTCACGTCTCCTTTGTGTGTCTGCCCTGCAAAATCGCCTGCTGTGGTGGGCCCGTCCAGGGCAAGGTTGTGTGCCGGAGAGGCAATATGTATGAATTCGCCTGTGGTTGCTGGGAGGACCGTTACTGAAGCCCAAATTCACAGCGCCGATAGTCAAGCTTCACCTTGATGCTCTCACGACTTAACGATCTTAGATGAAGACCCACACTCATCTGCCACTCTTTGAAGACACTTTCCCGCCTCTCACGATCTTTTGAATGTCTTTTCGTGTCCAGGAGCCTCCGAGTCCTCACCACTCCGTCTCCCTGTTCCTCTACCCCTCGATTAGGCACGACTCACACCCTCTAATGCTCAGACCGTTTCGATCTATGGTGAGTCGTATCTCTTGTCGGTGCTTCGAGATATGCGTCGATGCCTGGCTGAAGTTGAAGCTTAATTCGACCTCGAACTGACCCCGCCACCCCAAATAGTGAACGAGTTCTCCCCTCTTCAGATCTTCAACATCTGCAGATCTGCTGCCCGAACAACACCATCTTCCTACAACCATCCCCGAGATGGAGGAAGAAGCTACGCAGCCAGGTAATCCTTCTTCTCTTACTTTCCACTTTCTTGCTTCTTCCCCCCAAATGCTCCGCCTTGCTCCGACCGCTCACAATTCTACCACTTACCCACTGAGTTTTATAGCTACCCAGATCGTGGTCGATCCTCGGCGACTCGGTCAAGGCAACTCGGGATTGAACGAGGAAGACCTCGCAGACATCTGCTGTATCCTCCACCCTGCTTCCCTTCCCGCATACAGAGCCGCCGCTCTTATCCACGACACCACCCCGGAGCACACGATTAGCTTCGACAGCGATGTCAAGATCAGAGAGAAGGAGAACCATATAGACACTTTTGAGTTGGCGGCGCAAGGCCTGAAGTCATGCGATATCGCTCTCCGACTCTCGGCCGATCTCAAGGATCCGATGGGAGGATTTCACTTTGGCAGAAATGCTTCACGATGTGACTTCGTCATAGGCGACAAAGATCTGTCCAAGAGAATCAGCAACATCCATTTCAAGATCTACATTAATACATATGGGATAATTATGCTGGAGGACCAGTCGACCAACGGCACTGCGGTTGACGGCGCCCTTTTGCGCGGCAAGGAAAAGGAGAATGGCAAAGACTACAGACACACTCTCGAGCAGGGCTCCATCATCCATCTGACAATGACCCCACCTGAGGAAGACTATCGCTTTATTGTCAGAATTCCACAGAGGGACGAAATCTCAGAGAATGCCTACCAGCAAAACCTTACAGCCTTCTTCCTGCGCATGAACAATGTACGGCTGGATAACGAGGCCCGAGTTGCAGTTGCAGTGAAAGGCGATTTAACCAAGAAGGATCCGGTATATTGCATTCTTACAAACGTTGAAGAGTACTGACTCTTCTCAGCTTAACCTCTTTCCCACCCCTGGCCCGGCGACCCCAAATCCATCATCTTTGTCTTCCATTGGCAGATATGTCAAGGAGTGGAAAGGTGGTGCCAAATACAACAAGATATGCTGTATTGGCAAGGGTGCCTTTGCTGTGGTGTACAAGATGACCGCCAAGTTCGACGGCGTTCCATATGCAGCAAAAGAGCTTGAGAAAAGACGATTTATGAAGAACGGAATTCTGGACCAGAAGGTAGACTCTGAGATGAAAATTATGAGAAAGATCAAGCACGTGAGTTCAATCGCCCTAAGCCGACCTCAACTTTCTCTAACGCGCTTTAGCCCAACGTCGTTCAATATATTGAACATATTGATTGGGAAGATTATCTATACATCATCATGGAATATGTTCCTGGCGGTGATCTTGGCAGCTTGATCAACGAGCGTGGACACTTGTCCGAATCGAACGTCAATACAATGGCAGCCCAACTGCTCTCCGCTCTGAAGCATTTGCACCAGATTGGCATCACGCATCGAGATATTAAGCCCGACAACATTCTCATCTACAGCCGCGATCCATTCCATGTCAAACTGACGGATTTTGGTCTGTCAAAGATGATCGACAGTGAAGAGACGTTTCTCCGAACCTTCTGTGGAACTTTGCTTTATTGTGCGCCAGAGGTGTACTCGGAGTATCGGGAGTATGATCGCAATGGAAAGAGATCTCGAGTTGCTGACCGCAAATCGCTTCCACCGCAACGGTATGGCAATGCTGTAGATATCTGGTCCTTGGCCGGAGTCCTGTTCTACTCTCTTTGCGGCTCCCCACCATACCCAGTCAAGAACGGCACAAGCTACCAAGAGCTCTTGAATCAAATCATGACTCAGGCTCTTGATATTCGTCCACTTCAGCGAGCCAATATTTCCGAAAATGGTATCCGCTTTGTCCGAAGCATGCTCCACATCCGCCCCGAATACCGTGCATCCATCGAAGAGTTAGAGCACAGTTCTTGGCTGACAGGTGGTCCCGACAGTCTGGAAATGTCGATGGAAGAAGATGAAGTCGACATGATTGGCGATGGATACATAGACCCGGATCTTGAGGAGGGTACTTCGCAATTGAGCCTCAATGCTGATCGCCAGATTAATGATAGTCAGGAGGAGATTGGTAACGAAAGCGACCTCACAGAGATGGAACCACTCGAGATCCCTAATAGCTTTGACTCGAGCGACGGCAATCTGAACGAAAATGGCGAAAACTACGGCTTTATGCGAGGCAACAGCAATCCTGGCGGTCGATTATTTGGTGAAGTAAATATTTCTGCTGTGGGAAGCTCTGGCGCGATTCCTCTCGATCAGTTGAACCTTCCTGTTCCAGCGACGAATCACAGGGGCCTGCATTCAGATACCTCCGAGGAGTCGCGATACACCACACAGAGCGAGCCAGCTCACGAATATTCGCGAACTCATGGCGCATCTCTACGATCGAATACCATAGCTGGAAGCACAATGCCGAATAATTTGCCCCCACCTTCTGCACCGCATCTATCTCCAATTACTGCCAACAACCACGACGAGCGTTTTGCTAGATCCTCGAGCCTTATGGGCGCAGAGTCATACCTCGGACACTTGAATATGCACTCTCCTTCCTCTGTTGTTTCGCCAGCTGCCTCGCCAGCCGCCTCCAGCCCTGGACCACAACCAGACGAAGTTCGAGAGACACGAGAGAATGGCGTCAGCCTTCGAAGACCCCGCGAAGATGACACCGATGGCGATGAAACCTGGCGACCAGCTGATCTGCCTCCTAAGAGACAGCGTAGGTCAAAGCGAGAAATCAACATGCCTGTACCGCCCAGCATTTTCTGGGACCCGAAAGACAAGTCAACTCACCATAACAACTACCCTAGAATGTCCTCTACGGAATTTGCCCATTATCAAAAATGGGCAGAGAGCAAAGGAGAGAAGTTCGTTCCAGGTCAAAAGACATTCGAGATGACTATGGAGAGTTTCAGAAGCAGTCGAAGTCGAAGCTCCTCCCTTGAACCAGAAACTACTACTCGAGCCAATTCGGAACCTACAAAGGAGGAGGGTCGACATATGCTGATGAAGCGCGATGAGAGACCCTTGGCAGATAGTCTAAAGAATCAAGCCAACAACGTCCTCGCAGCTGATAAGAATGCTTCCAATACAATCCGACAGCCGGTAGTCGGCAACGACTTCCAACCACCTAAGCGCATTCTAGCTAAAATCTTTGCTACCCCCGATAGCGCCATGCCAACCATCGCTATAAATGTCACGGATTCACTCACGAGCTGGGGTCGGGGCCCTTTAGCTACTGTCTGCTATGCCAATGGAAATGACACTCGGATCCCCAAATATGCTTTCAAGATCCTTCTCTTCAAGCCTGGCTTCTATGATCATGGTCGGTCTGGACTTGTTCAGACATGGAGTGAGCAGGACCAAGATATGAGTTTCTACATCTCGACCAAGTCATCGCAGGGAATTTGGGTCAACAACTTCCTTCTTCACTCTAACGATCACTCGAATCCCATTACGAAGTCAAAGTACTGGGGCCAGCTACAGCATGGCGACGTGATTGATCTCCTTCGCCAAGGCAAAAAGGTAATTAGACTGAGATTCGAGTGCCTTTGGGGCAAGTCAAAGCAACCAAGAAGCGAAGGTGATGTCTTCAAACTTGTTCAGGATGAAACTTTCTTAAATGAGTTGGACGAAGTTGATCTTGTACTGCAAAAAGAGATCTTGGCAGAGCAAGACCGTCGCAGAGAAGAAGAGAAAAAGATTCTGGCACTGGAGAAGAAGAAAGAAGAGTTGGCTCAGCAAGAACCCTCCAGAAAGTCTCCTAACTTCACGCAGTCCTTCATGGGCGCGCCTCACACCGCCTGAACGAACGCCACCCATCCACGAATCTCGAGGGATCACGCGAACCTTTTACAACTCACCACACATTGTATGAATAGCATCTTTTCCTTTGTTTGTCGAGATACACACCATGAGACAATGCAACGGGGCGGAGCGCAATCTTTGAGTTTTTGTCAATTGCAGCGGGGTGGATAGCTATTCGGCATACAGTCAAAAAGCACAAAAGCACGGAGTTCACAGACATGGTTGGTGCTTGGGGGTTTGATTGCTACAGATCGTGCGCGAGCAGAGCAGAGGGTTCAAATTGTTACATGCAAGAATCGAACGAAGATACAAAATAGAGGCCCTTTTGGTCCGAACAATGACAACCGTTGCCATTTCTTTCGGCCCTCATATTGCAAGTGCCGAAGTGATCATTCCCAAGTTTTGGGAGCGAGTAAGAGGAAAGCGCTAAATTCTTCGCGGCTCCTGCGCCTTGGCTTCATGATGCGGGACCTCACCCGTTGACGGTTGCACAAAGGCTTCAACCTACCTTGCCAACCACGGCGTTAGCGGAGGGGCCAGGGTAGTAGCGCCAACCCCGCCTAAGTCAATTTCTAAATTTCTTTACGTGAGTGTAGGATCACACCCCTTTGCAAGATACAAAGCACCTCTTCTATCGCGCTTTTGGTGCTTAATCCCTTCTCTTCGTACCATTGGTCTCTTTCAACTGCGGCCAGTTTGATTTTGCAACATGAAGCTTCATTTTCTCGCACTCGCTTTCGGTCCTGTGGCGACTCTCGCAACCACGAACACAAATTCTTCAGCTTCAGTAATGTCCCGAGTATTGTTCAATCCAGCGAGTGTTGGGATCCCGAGCTTGAGTAGTGCAGAAGCGGCTCAACTTCAAGCATTAAATCACCAGAGCGGAGGATGGAATAGTTGCCAGCTTGCTGTACGTCAATTTCCATTTTATGCCCGACCCCCGGAGCTCCTCAAAGGCAACCCCAAATTTAAAATGTTGAAACTTGTACTGACGTAGTCCGAAAAGTGCTCCATACTCTCAATCATCATCCCCTTCAACGTCTCTCTCTCCAGCTCACCAACCTACACACCAATACCCTACTGGTCCGCGCAACAAGCGGCCCTCATCCCCACATGCCGGGCGGACGTCTCCTATGCCACTGAAATCTCAACCGTGCTCCAGATTGCGAAACTCACGTCCTGTCCCTTCACCGTAAAATCTGGGGGTCACGCTGCTTTTGCCGGCGGCTCCAGCATCCAAGATGGGATCCTGATTAATCTGGCGAAGATGAATGAGGTTACTTTGAGTAAGGATCGCCAGACGACGAGGGTTGGACCGGGGAATGTGTGGAGTGGTGTTTATAAGGTATTGGGTTCGTTGGGTGTTAGTGTTGTTGGGGGAAGGGAAGCTGGGGTAGGTGTAGGTGGGTTGACGCTGGGTGGTGAGTTTCCTCTTCCCTCTTAAAGCCCCAAGATTGATATTAACACTGGAATCTAGGTGGGATATCTTATTTCTCTGGCCGCTACGGTTGGGCCTGTGACAACGTTGCTAACTACGAAATCGTCCTCGCAAACGGCAGCATCGTCAACGCCTCCAGATCTTCTCACCCAGACCTCTACTGGGCACTCCGAGGAGGTGGCGGTTCCAACTTCGGCATCGTGTCAGCATTCGACCTCATGACCTTCGATCAAGGACCTCTCTGGGGCGGAAGCAGGATCTACGAAATGAAATACAACGCCTCCCTCGCCGACGCATTCTCGAATTTTGTCACAAATGCACCAAATGACGATTTCGCTCATCTGTACTTGGCATTTGCCTATGTACCGACGTTTGGAGGCTTTCTAACGATTACCGGACCGACATATGGCAAGCCAATTGCAAACGCGAGTATCTTTGCGGAGCTCGACAGGATCCCACCAGTCGACGGGGGTGATTTTACGGGGGTGCAGAACATGACAGCATTAAGCATCGCTCTGAATCAGACTACTTTTTCTAGGGAAACGTAAGCTTGATCCCTATCAGCTTCAAATATTTTTGTTGTGAGGGGAATAGAGCTGACGAGAGCAACAGGTTCAAGACCGTGACATTCAAAAATGACGCTACGCTCATCAAAGACGTGATACAGATCTTCGTCGAAGAAGCAGCGCCACTGCTGAATATATCTGGTTTCGCACCGGCATTTGCAGTCCAACCTCTTTCTTTGAATATCATTGAGAAAATGGCTATGAATGGAGGGAATGCTCTCGGTCTCTCAACCGATGAGGGACCTTTGACTAGTTCGTTCATTCCCTTTCCCACCTTTCTCCTTCCTAAATTCAAACCCACTAACCTCACATCCATCACAGTAATGAACCTAAACTGGGGTTGGAACCTCACCTCTGATGACGACGCTGTCTACGCAGCAATCGACCGCTTCGTCTCCCGCAGCGTCGAGCTCGCGAGAAAGAGAGGACTGGATAATAGGTTCATTTACATGAATTATGCGAGTCGGGAACAGGATGTTTTTAGTGGGTATGGGGAGAATAGTGAGAGGAGGTTGAGAGGCGTGAGGAGGATGTATGATGAAGAAAATGTTTTTGGGGAGTTGTGGAGAGGGTATTTTAGGTTGGATTGAGAGTAATGAGTTAGTAAATAATAAGACGCTTTTGAAACGAACGATTCTATCCTGCCTTGTTTCTGTAAGGCTGTGGCTGAAAGGTACTTCCTGTTGGGTTAGCTAGTGGGGAAGCAAAAGTAGAGGCTCGTAAAGGAATTGAAAAATGCTCCGCACCGCGCATGTAAAATAATAAACGGGAAAGCCAATGGTATTGAGTTGCCTTTGCACCACACCTGCTCGATAGAGCCTTGCCGAACCCCTGCCCGGTGGCGCCTGCGGAATGAGCCTCGCAAACTGCCTTATTGGGAGTCCTCGTACAATTCTCACACTCTTGACTCCATCTTCCTCTGTATCACGACAAAATCTTCTCAACCTCTAGTATGCGATTTTCTTCTGATATATAGTGGTCGAGCTGACTCCGAAGACATACCGACATGGAAGTCCTTGGTGTCGCTGCCAGCGTTACTGGGATCCTCAGCCTCGTCGGCAAATCGATCGAGGGAATCATCTAGCTGCAACGCATGCTGAGAAGCCCGAAAGAAACAGATGAATCTGTGACATTGCTCCAACGAGATATAGACTCATTTCAGGAGGGCTTGAACCAAGTTCAACGACTGCTCTCGCTGATCCATCAAGAGCAGCCATTCTTATTGCGAAGCACGTTAGCTCACTTGGGGGAGCAGCTTGTGCTGTGCCAGCACGATATTCTGAGTTGGATTAACCAATGCTAACTTGAGCCCGCTAAGCTTGATTTCACATGAAGTGTCTCATCCATCTTCGCCACATCCTTGTTAGGTTTTTCGAGTAAGTCCAGAAATTCCTTCGCAGCTGTCTTGTTAAAGAACAAATTCCAAAGTACCAGAGCAAAACAAAGGGTATGAATTGTGACTTGCAGAAGATTGAGGATCCACGCAGCTTGCTACTCGGACCCAATGTCAGCATTCTCAACTTCAATACATCCTGACCAGCGTCAGATTTTGGGGGGCTAGTGATTGGAACGTACATTGCTTGGACAGAGCGTGCTGGAGTTATTCACAGTTCCCTTGCCATCTGAGCAAGCCCACGTCCACAGATCTGCACTTCCTTTGTCATTTTTCGAAGATTTGAAATAGCCCGCACTTATAGCTCCAGATATTGCTTGCAGGATCCCGGTGGCGCCGCGGACTTTCTGGATCATTCGTTCCGCAGTCGCGGCTGGCCGGCCGTGGCGATGGTGCTGGTGGTAGATGTAAACCAGGATGACATCTGCAGCGACTGTAAGACACGACATGCTGAGCATTAAGACCGTGGGGCTGAGCATAGTTAGGTCGTCGTTGATATGTTTGGTCTGCGCATATATTCCGAGGGTGAGGATTGAAATGGCGATAATGGCGAGTGCACCTGAGGTTGTCAATATGTGTTGGCCTAGCACCAACATTCTTTCGTTGCGCAACTTGGATTCCTGTGCGCAGCACGTAAGTTTCTGCATCTAAGTCCTTTTATCTCAGGAAACCCGCACGTTTTTGGGAGGATCTTGGTTTTCAATGTCCGGCTGTTTGGTGCTGTTCTTCATGCTGTTGCCGCCTCCCATGCTAATCTTGATTTCTCTACGAAACAAATCGACCTCACTAGTTGAGCCATCGCTGTTCTCAATCGTGATTTTCCAGTCTGATTGTTCGACCTTAGGTGAGATCATGTATCCCGGACTCGTCAGACTCGTCGATGCCAGTGTTATAGCCTCATCTGTCCTAGTAGATGTTGGTGAAAGTGGAGCTGGTGTAGGCTTTGTTTTGGCAGATGAGGTTGAGGCTCCTGATAAATCCATCGCAAATGTAATTTATAAAGAAGGAAGTGGAGCGTAGAAAAGTGAACAAAATTGTCAGAACTGACATAATGAAAGTAAGGGATAATTGCCGTCTTTTTAACGTCTTTGAGGAAGAGCAAACGGAGCTGGAAGCGTGAAATTCCATTTTGCTGTTGTGTAACCTTGATACCAACCTTACAGACTGCAGCACCATAAATCGCCCAAGTTGCACAAGAACATAGTAATCAACAGTGAGGAGAGTCTATTCTCTCCAACTGTTTTGTGTGGACGAGTGCGTGACAGCAACCAGTCCAACGGGATCGACTCTGCAGACCATGAATTTCAAGACTCGGGCTGTATCCTCGCAGAATAGAGCAATGATACGAAAATCCTTGTGCCCTAGCGCCCAACGCTCCAAAGCATCCAATTGGATGTCTGCGACCAGTAAGGAGTGTGCTATTCCAACCGAACTTGGTGGAAGAGCACTCAGCTGGAACCACCTCAATGGAGACCCTGCTGACCATGAGTCCCCAAGCCTAAGGCTGCCTAATCCTAAAATACGATAATCGTACCATCCACCCTGGCTATGGGAAAGACCCAGGTGCCGATTCGCTTGGAGAAGGGTTGGGGCTTGATTTTTCTTCTCAGCGGCTCAGCCCTACATTCGTACGCATGTCTTGCTCGACGGAATATACTCGGCGTGACTGGCCTGTGCAGCCACATCAGCCAGAGAGATTTAATCAACTTCAGCCGCATTTCATATTTGACGATGAATGATTCGTCCTAAATATGCTGGGACAGTTTGTTGAGGCGTCGGACATGATATAGGGCTGAGAGCCGGGAATTTTCCGTTTCGTCAGAGGCGTTGAGCCATTAGGGCTTGAAGCACTTTTCTCGACAGCGTCTCGGGTATTCCCCATTACTTTCAATTGCCGAGAGTCCAAAGGACTTGCTTCCACCCATGCTGATTCTTTTGGTATTACACCCCCACTATTTCCCCACCAAGCACTCAATATTACAGACTATCTCCAATCAAATTCTCAATCTCGGCAATGAGGCGAATACTCTGCTGAATACTCGGGCTTTTCTGCGGCATGACACCAATCCAAGCGCTGAGTAAAGTCTGGAGATGGGGTCCATAATCTGCAATCTGGTGCTGGACGACACTTGGTCGTAATGCAGCGGTGCGTAGCGAGACAAGGATGATGAACATCGTGCTCGTCATTCTAGAGCAAAACCCCATAAGCAAGTTTCTTGGCAGGGGAGTACAGGTTTCTAATTCAATCGGGGAGAACTTACGATAATGAACAGATCCAAGTATCGATCAAGACCGTCTGTCCAAAAGATCTGAGATTCGAGATGTGGTTGCAGCTGGCTGTCAAACATCGGGCAGCTCCCTCGATCGTCTCGATCGAATGAGCACTATCGATTTGCTTGAGAATGATCTCGACGTATGGTCGGTAGATCACGCTTTTGCAAGCCAGATATCTCTGCCGGACGAAAGCCGCATGTTCATTAACACATTCCATCGTATCATCTTCGAACCGTAGAAAGTCGGGCAATGTGTCCCGCCAAAGGACTAGCTGATGATCCAGCTCTGCGATTAGTCCTCGTAAAGAATCGTCTCGTGAAGTAATGTAAGTTTTGTGCTTATCTTCTGCGTAGAGTAGATGGTGAACTCGGTTCAGAAGCCGCCGAATCGAGATGCAGGATAAGAAGTACAAGGCCGAAGCCTCGGTTTCGGCTTCATTGAAGTGGGTTTGAAGAGGTCCTGGTAGAGGAACTTCGGACTCTACCTCGGCGACCCCGCTTTGAGGAAGATGTGATAACTCTGAGATCAAATCGCTGTATTTTATCAGTTAATTCCGGGCTGGATAGGGCAAATGTGAGACAAGCAAACCTCTCGATGATGTAACAGGACCAGAAAATACGACGAATGCACTCTTCGTCTTCCGGGTTTCCAGATCCCGTTCCATAGGCGAGAAGAGATCGGCATTTCGCGGCAGCTGTGCTGAGATGGCCCCATGTTTGTAGAGGTCGTTGAAGAAACGAACAGTATAGCCTATTATAGTCAGAGCTTATTTTCGAAAACGAACCGCTTCACAAACGCTGCAAGAAAAACACATTGTGTTGATATGGTGCTGATTTCCATGTACGCCACGCTCAACAACTTCATAGCCTCGTCGAAACAAACAGTGGCCATTGTCATCAATTCGCTCTGATGTTGTCTCGATTCAAATCCACGAGGCTCAACACTGGAATGAACGAGTTTAATCAGCTCCGAAGCAGCTCCTAAAGCTAGTACTAGCAAAGCAGCACAATCTTCACACGAGTTGCCAATGAAACCATTTTGCATTTTCTCGAACAGAATTTGAAGTGTGGCTTTGCTGACTGTTGGATACCAAAAGTTCACATTCAGCTGGAATGACGTGAGTAGTCGTTCGGCTTCTTCTATAGTGAACACCGGTCGTATAGATCTTGGCTGAAATGGAATCGGGGGGCAGCTGCTCTCGAGTTGGAAGATGGGTCTGAACTGAGCACGAAGGGAGGGAAACGGCGCGGCCACGGAAGAATTGAGAAGATCTTCTGTGGCACTGATATGTGTTGAGGGGATAGTTGCATTAGCAACTTTGGCAAAGTCGTTGTCTGAGGATGATGGGCTCAAACTGGAATTGAATCGAGGTGTGGAGATTGATGCAGTTCGGTGACGATCACTCTGCTTCTGGTCAGCTTCCCTCTTGAGACATGAGCGGGGGCAAATAGTGCCAGATTCTCATGGATACTCCGTAGAAGGCCATCCATACGCAAGACAGTCTCGAGGATTTTGTCGCTCTTGCCTTGATTTCTGATCTTGAAGTGAGCTGACGGGTCCTGAGATGTTCTGAGGACCTGTGCTTACAAATTTGTTGGCTGCTGGTGCCCATAAAAGCAATCAACATCGTTTTCGGTGCACCAAGAGCATGGCTGCCGGCCATCACATCTGAAGGAAGTCGAATTAGCTGAGAAGGACCAGAATGGACTGGCAACGGCAACAGCTCCAGCAAGTTTGACATTTTCATCGCGGTCATACCTGGATTTTCTCAGACGGCAAGCGTCACACTATCGACGTAATCAGTTGAGACTCCATTTCTGAGAGGAAGCTCACTTACTGCATGAGCAGTCCGTTTGCGCGGACGGGCTGCATAGGGTGTAGTCAACGCATTGGAGCTGTCTGAATTGCTTCGGCCATGAGGCGGTGGCGATTGGAACGTCATTCTCCGACCCTATCCCTCATTCCCGTGTCCCAGTTGGAGCTGAAACCGTGGTGGGAATATTCATATTCGTGTTTGATGTGAATTATAGAATCACGTTTCAATGGGCGTGCTCAGTGAGGAGGCCGTGAGGACGTGAAGCGTGGTGCGACGCGACCTCGGTTAGGGCTCACGTGGTTCGGGGTAAACCCAATTCTTCCATGAAGCCGAAAAAGCAGCACAGAGTAGCGCCGGAGCTTCTATATTCTGGGGTAATTAGTGGGGTATGAACCAAATTCTTCCAGGCCGTTGTAATATTACAATCTATGAAAGATTAATAGGCCATTAGCTTGTGAACTGGTATTAAACCAGTGCAGAAAGTGCAGTTATTCAGATTCTGATGCACTGAGAACTGGCGAAGGCTTGTTTCTGAAATATGATTTGGACATTTATCTGTATGTTGCAACTTTGAAGCTATACTTTGTACCCAAGCAAAACCATGCCAGAGTTCCAGAGTCCCACAGGGGGCCAAGTGTACGAGTTCCTGACCGGGCAGCCTCCTTCCATCCCGGTTGCCAAAAATTCACGTTTTCCTAGGCCTCAACAGACTTTCCAGCCAAAGCCCCAACAGTAGCAGCAACAGTATTGACTGACCGTTTTTGAAGACTCTTTTTCACCGGATGTGGATCACTGAATACTTCCTCAAGTTCCTCCAGAGTGCGTTCTTTGGTTTCAACAAAGAAGAAGTAAATAACGACGGCCTCGATGAGATCCCAAGCCACGAAAACTAAATAGAAGTAAAACGTGAGGTGTTTGAAGGCCGGTCCGCTAGCATACTGGACGACGGTGCCCGCAACATTTGATCCAAAATTGCCCAGTGCTGTGCCTTTTGCTCGAGTCTCGGTAGGTAAGGTTTCTGCAATATACATGCTTTGTAATGGCGTCCAACCGAAGCTGAATACAATCCCGAAAAGATAGACAAAAGTGATTGTTGCATTTGTCGCCATTTTGTTGTGGTTCTCGACAGAAATCTTGGTCGTTCCTGTGATAATGGCGAAACAGATGGCTGAGAATAGGATTGAGTAGATGAGCAGGGGTCGACGTCCAATTCGATCGGTCATGCGGGCACCGAAGACGGCACCAAACCAACAGAGGACTGGGTAGATACCGTTTAATCGCAACTGCGTATGTTCGTTGTCAATTCCAGCAGTTTTCATCATCTCGGGAAGGTAATATGAGGCGATACTGTTGCCAGACCTGCGGAAACAGATTGTAAGTATAACTTGATCGGAACGCATCCAAGTCTCCGCTTTTCCATTGCTGCTGATGGGGAAGAAATACGTACCACTGCCCAAAGAAGGCCATGCCCATCACACATATAAGCCGAGAGCGAGCATTGCGGGTCTTGAACAGAGCGCTATAGTCCCACCAGCGCTTGTCTGAAGCGTCAGTCTGAATCTGATAGTACATCTCCGAGATCTGGAGGTTGACGATGGGATGATCGGCCCGACCTACAATTATCTGTCAGCCTCGACTTTAGGGGTTTAAGATGCGAGAAATATACCTTCTCCGTGGTATTTTGCGAGAATAGCACGAGCCTCGTCCACCCTATCTTGAGCGACGAGCCAGCGGGGTGATTCTGGGAGGAAGAACACTCCGACAGCGACAATAACAGATGAGACAAGTTGACACCAGATTGGAATGCGAAATGCCCAGTTTGATTTCAAGAACGCACTCCCGTAACCTGGACTTGTCAGAATGGGCTGAAGATCGGAAACTCTTTGAAAACTTACAAGTCCAGCTGGCAATAATTGAGCCAATATACCAACACGTGTTATATAGGCCAGTGATAGTTCCCCGCCATTTAGGATGGGCCATTTCACTGACGTAACATGGCGCAGAGACACAGCAGAAGCTGACTCCAAACCCAAGCAGAAATCTACCAGCGATGAACATATGCATGTTCACTGAAGGAGCTTGAATGCAAGTGCCAAGAATGATAATGACTGCACCAGTGAACATCCCTGCGCGACGGCCAAGGTAATCATTCACAGGGCCAGTAAGTACAACGGCGGGAATGGACCCAATGTTGTAGATTGCAAACACAAGCCCAGTTGACGATCCTGTGGAACCACTGCCTCAAGGTTAGCAAAACAAAAACCACATCAGTATAAAAACGAGACTGACACTCCATAATAATTTTGATAAGGTGTCATAGCATTGATAGCTCCCATTAAAGATCCATCAAATCCATTCAAACATCCACAAAGGTAGGCAATAGACAAGACGCCATACAGGCGGAACATTGGCAAGGACCATGGCGAATAAGTTGAAGTGTCAGCCGCTGTGGCGAGAAGAATTGCATCTGAAGACGCAGCATCGATATCATTGACGTGGGAGGCATCGGCGAATTCTTTCTCTGTTTCTCCCATCGTAGCGATGTCAGACTGATGATGATGGCCCACTAAAATATAAATCAAAAGCTGTAGTATACTACTAGGAACTAGGAGTCGCTTGGCAGTTGGGGCCTTTTCTCGACTCCAGAGGTAAGGATGCACTCGAATGACAAAGGATAAGAAGGGACGTTTGACCGTTTCACGGACGAGCCTGAGGAGACGGTCTCGTCTAATGTGAAGATCGTTGACTTGAGACGAACTTCTGAAGAAGGGCAGGCGAAGATATATGTCTCCTGGCTCGACGGCACAGAAATTCAAGACAAAGATAGAGACCTCCAAGAAGTGATTCTCCGGTGGAGAACACTCCAAACAGCCCCGAACGAGGCGTTTTCAACGACGCCAATACCGCCGAGATACTGCAGCAGAGCGCCATTGGCACATCCTAGCTCGTTCTCGGCTGGACTGGCTGGTGAATGGGGTGATAGGGATGCGGGATGCAAGATGCCATGTGGAGAAGTTGAACGCGGGGTAGACAGGAATGTGGGCCTTTGGGCAGAAGTACTGGCTGCAAGCATCTTGCTATCCGGGGGAGAGCGGGGCAAGTAGCAAGATGAAAGGGGACGGCCGGGGGAGGGAGGGGATGAACGGATGTTTTGTGAAGATGAGGCGAAGAAGATGTCGATCAAAGTTTGCCGGTGTCAACTCTGCCGAAAAGTCCTGGCCTCCTATTAGTGCGCTTCTTCAACCCCTGAATATAGCACAACCTCGACCAATTTTTCCGAGCGCGTCACGAGTCGCGACCAACAACACTCTGCACAGCCCATACAAGATCATATGATGATACAAACTGCACCCTTGAGGCGACCTTCCCAAGATCGGGAGCTCAGACCGAACGATCCTGGGCTTCTAGTAACAAGGTCAGCGCCCAGGAGGAGCAGCTAATTTTCAAGGGAGGTTGGATCCGTGATCTTGGAACTTGGGACTCGGATAGCAGCAGTCACCCAGCAGAAGGCAAAGCTCTGCGTCGAGAATGAAACACCTTCCTTGCCAGTTTTTTATGGTATCAAGGATACATTGTCAAGAACTCTTGAAGGGACGGTGGAGATTACATTTGTCCAGATTGGGAATCCTTGTTTTGCTGTCTTTCTCAACTTAAATGATGCAGCAAAGCTTCTGCCACGATGCGATTGACACTTCCCTATCCACGCATCTAAATTATTGCAATATTGAGTCTGAAAATGTTGTATTGATGAGTCACTCGGAGACAAGCTGACTGAAAGTCACGTGTTCATACCTTCTGCAACAACACAACCTGAAGTTATATGTCGGACTTCGACCTAGACACCTGACATGGTGATCCCAATTACATCGCTTCGGGGAACTCGCGGATGAAGTCCTATCTCGCCTGGTTGGAAAAACTAAAGCTCCAATTACTTGATTTCGTCCCTAGTCTACACATGCTATTTATCTACCAACGACCCGGCGCTAATTTATTTTCAGGTACGGCTGCCCGCTCTTAGTGCCCTGGCGCCCGGCTTTTACAGTCTGAATGCGGGGTTGAACCTTCCTCGCGTACTGCTGCAGGGCTAGTGTCACCGTTTGGGGAATGGAAATACTTTCCCATCAATCATTCTGTTTGTACAGTTAAACTTATGTGATCTGCGTTATGGTTTAAACCTTCTTTGGTGATGTCAGAGTTGGAGTTCTCGGGGAGGTGAGGTCTGGAAGTCACGGAATCATTCTCAGCGGTTAAACAATTACGTGGGCCTTTTACGATGTAGTTCCATATACGGTTCTTCAAGGAACCTTATAAAAAGGGATGTCATATCTATCCAAGTTTGGAACACTGTTCCTCCATCCGTTGCCTCTCGGATCACTTGTCAATCATGCAGCTCAAATTTTGTTCCCTGCTTGTGGTTGCATTCGGGGTCATCAGCTCCCACTGCGCCTGGCCAGATGCACCTCTCGTCGCCTCAGGTCGATGGATTCACAATTCAAAAGGTGCAAACGTCACATATGCGGGAGTAAATTGGCCTGGGGCAGCGGACGTGATGATTCCAGAGGGCTTACAATATGCTTCAATCGAAAAGATTGTGTCAGAAATTAAGAGTCTGGGAATGAATGCTATCCGCCTGACATTTGCGATTGAGATGATTGATGATATTAAGGATAATGGAGGCGATGTCAGGCTCTCAGCAGCCTTCAACAAAGCTCTAGGCACTACGAATGGTCCTGTGGTGTACAACAAAGTGCTGCAGAACAATCCTCAGTTTAGCGCGAGTACCACCAGAGTGCAGGTACGTACTCTTTCTTTTATTCGGGAATGAAAAATGGTAACATCAATGTCAGGTCTATGATGCAATTGCTGCCGAGTGCTTCAAGCAGCAAATCTACGTTCACCTTGATAATCACATGTCAAAAGGTGAATGGTGTTGTTCAACAACGGACGGGAACGCCTGGTTCGGAGATACGTATTTCGACGTCGCGAAATGGAAGAGGGGTCTGGAGTTCATGGTAACCCGAGTAAGCTCGATTCCCACCTTTCTCTTCTCTTACAAGTCTAACAACCCAGGGCGCAACATGGGGAAATCTCGTGAGTATCGGGATGCGCAACGAACTTCGAGCGCCAGAAGATAACGCCACCCTGAACTCCAATTCCTACAACTGGCCAACATGGTACACCAACATGGTCGCAGCCGCAAAAATTATCAACGCAGCTAACCCGGATATTTTAATCTTTTTCTCCGGCCTGAATTTCGACACCACCTTGTCCCCCGTCGTAGCGGGCACTGGTTCCGGCATAACCTTCAAGAAATCCGACTTCACCTTCTCAAATAAGATAGTCCTCGAACTCCACAACTACCAGAACTCAGCTACGTCCTGCAGCAGCATGCAAAGTAGCCTTCAAAGCAGTGGTTTCAGCACGCTGACTGCTGCCGCTGCAAACCAGTATCCAATGCTGTTAACAGAGTGGGGCCATGATTGGTCGAATAGTGACTACTTAGGTGTTTATGCCAGTTGCTTGCACAGTTATCTACCTGCGCAGCATGTGGGGTGGACGATTTGGGTACTAGCTGGGAGTTATTATATTCGCTCAGGGACGCAGGATTATGAGGAGACTTGGGGTATGTATCGCATCTGGAATTCGCGTGGAATAAGTTCTGACTCATGTACAGGGCTTTATAATCATAATTGGACTGCGTGGAGGAATGCAGCTGCGATTGACAATTTGAAGTTGATGGTTCAGGCAACTTTGGCATAGTCTTCCCGCCACTGTACGGCTTGTCATCTCACGGCAATCAGAAAGATACTCCTTCAGGTCCTCAAATTCGTCTAGGAGAATCAAATCCTCGAATTTCCCCACAATGTGACCTACTTAGAGCCGTTCGCAAGTATCGTATTACAATTAATGTACAAACTAGCCATTTTACTAATTCAGGGAGTTCTAAAGCTTATCTCTACTAATACTAGGAATAAAAAACTTATTATGCTTCTCGGAATTTTGATTTTTCTTAGTTTTAGAAGTATTATTAAGGATTTAATTCGCTTATTAAACCTCGCTATTACTTAATTAGGTAACGAGGCGGCGCCTGGAGCTACCCGACTAAGCTAGCCCTGTCACGTGCATATATCACGTGTGCATAACTTAAGTTATTTATAAATATTCAAGAATAACTTAATTAATATATGAATAAAATAAGACCAATAGAATTATGCTTGAATAAAATATGAGTAAGGACCATTATTCTATTTTACTCGATTCATTTGACACACCGAGCGGGACTGGAGATGGGAAGCGACCTCCGAAAGACGCCGGCTGGCCACTGGGCATCCTGATGCTCGGGGCGGGGAAGAGCCAAAAAGCAGCGTGACAGACCTCAGAATTAGAAGCGAGGTGATATAGTTGAGATGGAGAGTTGGGAGCTTCCGCAAAGGCGCCAAGATCGAGGTCGACGTCACATACGAACTCAAGTTTAAGGACTTCCTCTGGAGAGGCGCCAAAACCTTCGATCCTCCACGATGTCCTTATATATTTGGAGATCGGCCAGGCTCCGTTGCGGGGCCAGACACCGCGCTCCTAATGAACACCAGAGAAAGAGGCGATACGGCTTACGATGAGGAAGGAAGGCCGTTCGTGGGAGGAGATCCATACTGCCCTGCCTCATCGGAGTAATGGGACGACCCAGGCAGTGTGTCAAATGAGTAGAGTAGAGTAGAGTAGTGGGCCCTACTCATACTCTACTCAACCAATTATAGCGCTACTCATACTCTACTCATACTCTACTCAAGCTACTCATGAGTAGTATGAGTAGTGTAAGTAGGTACCCACGTGATAGATACACGTGATAGACTAGCCTAATCAGGTAAGCCTTACGTCTAGCGCCGCTCTAGCGCCATGTCTCTGCCTAATTAGGCAGTGGCATTACTTAGTAAGCAAGACAGAGGAAATCAAGATTCTAAAGAGCATAACTAGTTTATTATTATAGAAAAATAGTATTTAGATAGTCTTATATAAGCCCTAACTTACCTTTACTAGGGCTACTTAATAAATACCTATATTATTTAATTATTAATTTATTATTATCACGTGATGGCTACTCATAACTACTCATACTACTCATGAGTATATACTCTACTCTACTCAAAATTTTAGGACATTACGCTACTCATATTCTACTCACGCTACTCATGAATATTCATGAGTAGTATGAGTAGCATGAGTAGTTCTTTGACACACTGGACCCAGGTGCGTTATTCGACAAAGCTGAAAGGGCAGCGATGATTGCAATGTAGTAGTACTCAACAGCTTGGACGAATATTACAAGAAATCAGTGCAGTCTCTCAAAACTCCCATGGAGGTTTAGGGGGGCCGGAATTGGAACGGTCGACCGGTAGTATCATAGTATGAACCAAAGGAAGGGCTGCAGCTATGCTGACAAGAAAACATGGCCCGCACCGAGGAATGGCGACAATTATGCGATATGTACTAATAATCCAAAGTTGGCTCTGCAACTATAGGGCAAGTCAACCACCAACAGCAATGACAATCCTCCTCACTTTAACGACTTCAACATTGGGAAGATCTTTGAGCGTAGCCAAAGTGTATGTGTTATATCATGCGGCACTGGCCCAGCCGCCTTATCCTGGCTCAGTGTCTTAGTCGCCACATTCACAAATCTGATTCCTGTTCCCTCACGATACTTCAACACGAGTGCTTGCCCGTTCCCCAACGGCACTTCTACCCACCGTTCCTTCCCAAGGTCGAAAGAGTAGAGCTCGTAGTCCGACGCCTTGAATGCCGATGTGCGGAGCGGGGCGCTCATAATCACTCCTACTACAAAGTCTAAATTGCCTGTTTCCTCACTGTTCGGTTTGGACTCTGCGAGGCTTAGGAAGAAGGCTCGCGCGGGTGAGGCTGTTTCCTCATCTGAGGTTCGGTAAAAGAGTGCGAATAGTACGCACTTGGTCAGATTGCTTCCATCTGCGTTCGGAGATTCTCTCCGGATCAGGACTGAACGAGGGCGGTCAAACTCCCAGCCTGGACCACAGTCTTGGTGAACATCATAGCCAGCTGCGGATAAAGATCCTATTCTGATCTCTGACCAGAGAGATGGGTCGGCCCCGACGAATGGTGTGTCGGTGATTTTGGTAACTAGATTCGCGTACACAGTCGTCAACGATGGGAGAGAGGTTTCGGGGCCGGGTGGCATTGCTACAATGGAAGGATTGTGAAGCCGCCAGAGGATGCTTCCGTCTTTGCTGATGAAGCTCTTTGATAATATGATTCCGAGACGATGATGACCAATATGGCATCGCAGTTGAACTATGATTGCTGGTTCGTAAATATAGTTATACCACTGCTTCTCTAGGGCCACGAGTCCCTCCGACCCGAGACTCGGTGTGGGAGGAGCATCTTCCGAGGCTCCCCCCTGCATGAGGCCGAGATCATCACCCAGCCTTCTGTTCTCCGCGATCTTACTCGGATTTTCGTCAAGACGTCCCGGATTATCCAAGCTTGGGTCCGCGGGAGTGTCCTCGGTTTCAATTGTGATTATGGGCGGCGGTACTGGTCTTCCATCGTCACGAAAATGCGAGAGGTCTGCTTGCCAGCTTGCTTTCGTGTTCACTGCCGCTTCTGGCTTCTGATCTGTTGGGGACGTCCTCTCTGACACAGATAGATTGTCCTCGCTCGTTTCTATGCCTCGTTTGATCTCGATGACGTTGTAGAGGAGTGGCGTTCCCGGCAATCGCTCGAGCCTAATCGCTTCAACTTGATGCACCATGCGCTGTCGTAGTCTGATATGTCGATTCACCACCTGAAACGGGCTCTCGGCCTCCATCCCATGTTCTGGTCCTAAAAGCTCTATCTTGGATGCATCTTTGAAGTACTCAGGAGAATGAGCGAAGAGTCCAGATATCCTCGTATAAGAGTGCATCTTCACGGGATACGACCACGCGAAGATCGACGCATCGTCGAACTGTCTCAAGATCTCTTGCTGCAAGCGCAGGAAGGCTTTGCGACCCTCCCCGTACAGCAATGGCATGTTGACGTCGAACAAACCCATCAAGCAATATGCTTCGTCTTCAAGCCGCGTGGTTTTGCGACCCGCCGCCCATGACATCTTCTGGGCCACGCTATACTCACTCCAACAACACTCTTCCAAAGCCTTCTGGCTGATGCAAGTAACGCTCGACACAGTAGCGCATAGCGACCTTTTGGTTCCAATCTCGGCCCAGTCCGACCCCAAGAACACGAGCTCCCCTGGCGCTAGTAATTCCTGGAGTGTCCAGCCACGCGTAAACCAACGGCTCCGAGCAAACGAGGATTGCTCCTTCGTGGGATCCTCACAGCTTTCGACATCACTCAGATACGCGTAGCAAATCCCCGCAGCTTGGTACCACTGGAACATAGAATTGATAGCCTCAGACAGCTCAGCGCTCGACGACTTGTCGATGCAGCATGTATCGATCCAGACATATTCGAACGCCTCAGATTGGGCGACTTGGCAGCAGCGGAGAATCTTTTCGTAGCCTTGCTTGGAATGGCTCTGCTGGTTGATGTAGTCGCTGTAGGAGACCTCTTCGGCGCCCTAGGTGTGGGAGAGTATTGCGTAGGGAGGTATACCATCGCCGCCTTCGCCGATGAATTCCTCAAAGTCCAACGTTTTGACATCGAGAAGGCGCATCCTTCATGGTTTGACGTTGAGATCGCGAGGTCGCAAATCAATAAGCGAGTTCGAAAGGCTGGGGGTAGAAGTATCCACTAGCCAACCGCCCAAACCCCCATCCGCCCACCCCAAAAAATCGATTTTTAATTATACCTTCATTATAATTACAAATCCTATTATATATTAACATGACATAGTATTTTCAATATCCTGACAATTATATATTTATTTTAACCTTGTGGTGCGGCTAGAATCGCCCGTTAAAGTAGTAAATTTTTTTTTTGGTATGTGCCCGGCTTACTAAAAATTATTGGGTGCGACCGCATACCGAAAAAAAAAAAAGATATTACTCTTTTACAGGCAATTCTAGCCGCACCACAAGGTTAAAATGGGAAAATGTAAAACGACACCCCCCCGGGTGTCGATTGGGGATATCGGTAGATTTGGAGTTTTAATACTGCCTAATTAGTTACTTGAGCTTACTTAAACCTTTCACTCAAACCAGACCTCTTAATATAGTTATGAGGAAGCTTATCCCTTCGTCCGGCGAGACATAGTCCACGCTAGCAAGGGGGCCTGGCTCAGGGCGAAAAAGTGATAGATGACTAATAAGTTTATTAGCAAAGGTACGACTTTACAGTCTGAGCCAGGCCCCCTTGCTAGCGTGGACTATGTCTCGCCGGTAGGGATGCACGATTTATAATTATTACAATTATAATAATCAAGTCCGGCGTAATTATATAATAATCAAGTCGCCAATATTATAATGCATAAAATACTGCATAAAAGGGCGTATAAATCGTGCATAAAAGGGCGTATAAATCGTGCATAATTCGGCACGTGGAAAAGGGTAAATTAGTGGATTTGATTATTGGGGAGGAGCACGAAACCGCGCTAGTTAAATGGAGGCTTCTGATTGGCTATGTCTCATATGCAAGATAATATCACCATAATCAAGTCGGAGTGATTATTTTACGATATTACGTATTCAAGTCCTAAATTATATAATTTTAGCATCCCTACTCGCCGGACGAAGGGATACAGTATATAAGAGTTCTAGTTCTGGGGCGTGGGGTAGGCGAGGCGATTATTGCGCACGAAGTAAATAAGTTCAGGTGCTTATCGCTAAATTTTCAGGCGCTCTTAAGGCCTTAAAATTTTCAACTTTTCTTATCTTCTTTAATATTTTTAAAATATTACTAATTATTATATAATAAAAACTTTACATTCTATTAGTTTATAATTAGGCCTTTTATAACCTAGAAATCAATCAAATTATAACAATTATTTATATAGTAAATTAAAATTAAAGAAATTCTAGATTTTTTGGTGTTCCTCTACTTTAGGTTAGTCCAGCCCCCAATTGACACCTTGGGGGGTGTCGTTTTACTTTCCCCCCAATATTCCTCGCGAGAATGCCAAAGACCCCATGGAATCCAGACTCCGGATTCAAGAGGCTCTTCTCCTCAAATGGAAAATCCTCGCATAACTTTGGCTGAAACGGAATAGAAACCAAAGCCTATCGATCATCGCAGCTTCTTCGCCCGAGAATTCCACCACCTTCAACTTCTAGGCTGTTCGTACGCCGCTTCTTCACGTTGCTGTCGGACAGAACGTATCTGAGCCTTGCACTCGACCACTCTCATTTCGCTCTCTTGCTTGCGCTGTTTACCTTCGTCCTGAAAGGACTTACGTCCTTGCTTTTGGCAGACCCGCATTCCTTGAGAATCGGTCCTTTCGTCGATTTCTCGCGACGAGTTGATGACATACGTACAACTGGTAATCTTCAACAACTCCAGTGCAATTTCTGTTATCACCAAGTCCTATTCGGTATTTCCTAGTACAGAAAACCTCTGGTCCTTTGGTGATATTTAGGAAGGCTTGAGTCATCCGTCTCTGCGAGAAGCCTCGAAGATCCCCACGATGAGCGAGATAACATCCGAATCACGAATTTGCGGCCTCTGTCTCGCTCCTGATAGTTTTGGTCTCATCAAAAGGGAAACCTATGATAGAAAATATTCCCTTCATCTTCCTGCTAAAGACCATGGGGTCATTATCTGGGACTTAGATCAATCAATTCTACTCGCATCTGCCGAGCAAGGCTGCTATTTCTGCGACCTTCTTCACCAACTCTCGCAGCACCCTTGCTCCGGGGAGCGACAAACAACAAAGTTCAGTGTGCGGATTGGTACGGATCCTGCTTTGAGCGTTCATTTTTGGTGGGCTAGGCTCGACGATAGGAAATCCATCGTTCAGATCTATCGTCCTTTTGGTTTGTCATACTAGTCTTTCCAAATTGGTTAATCTAACGTTATTCTCAGGTCATAAGGAAGCATGGACTGGCCTTCAAGAGGCTAGACCAGTATCCCATCATTCTGGTTCAGTGCAGAGCTTTGAATTTGTAAGAAAATGCCTCCGGAACTGCATCGAAGCTCATGAGGAATGTCGCCGAAGCTACTCTGACTTCCACCCAAAACGACTCCTTGATGTGGGGTCCGAAAAATTTTCCTCCCTCAAGCTCATCGACGACCAATTCCTAGCGGCACCATACCTCGCCCTGAGTCATTGCTGGGGTGACCACCAGCCATTAACGACGACTTCCCAAACGCTAGAACAAAGAAAATATTCTATTGAGTGGTCGAGCTTGCCCCCAGTTTTCCGAGATGCGGTTACCGTGACAAGAGAACTGGGAGTGCAGTACTTGTGGATAGATTGTTTGTGCATCCTACAAGACAGCGTTCGGGACTGGGAGGAACAAGCCTCCCAAATGGGACAAATCTACAGCAATTCCTATGTCACAATTCTTGCGGCATCTTCACCTTCTAGCTTAGTACCATTTCTGACTTCACGAGAAACCATTGTCTGCGAAGGAGTTAACCTCAGATTTGGCAAAGACCACTATGTTGGAGTTCGGAAGATCGGAGGTACCGATCACCGTGATCAACGGCTTCACTATCGTGGATGGGCTTTCCAAGAAGAAATCCTCTCAACAAGGATCATACGATTCACTCGCAAGGAAGTAAAGTGGGAATGCCAGGCGCTGTCTAGTTGTGAGTGCGGGGCTCATCCTTTATATGATACGAAAAAGGCAGAGAATTTGCAACGTACGAATTCCAACATCCAGCAACATTGGCTCAATCTAGTAGAGCAGTACTCGCGCCGCAGTCTCACCTTCTCCTTTGACAAGCTACCAGCAGTCGCAGGTATTGCTGCAGCCGCACACCAAAAGTTTGGGTATAGATACCTTGCTGGTCTTTGGGAGGAGACATTGCTTCGGGATCTAGCATGGCGCAGCAAGGCAGCATCGACTCCGGAGACTCCTCGTGATATCTCTCAAAGGCTACCGACCTTCTCTTGGGTGTCTGTCGACGAGAAAATCGATTACAAATCTTCACTTATGTATTGCAGTACGCACGAAAAAGATGCTATTGTTCGCTCCACTAGCATTGAACTCACCGGCGCCAATCCCTTTGGCCAAGTTGAAGGAGGATCAGTTATTTTGGAGGCTCCAGTTGTTGAAGTAAACCTACGATATCACTTAGTGGAACGGGAGCCTATTGATGGGAGGAGGAAGTGGTTCGTGAAGACATGTGATTGTTATATCGATGACTCGCCAGACGAACTTCAAAACGTCCAGTCCGACACACTTCTGTGCCATGATTCATTCACAGACACGAATGGCGTGACGATTTTCTCTGCCCAAAGAGCTAATCGAGATGCAATATCTCAGAATTTCGAATGCAAAGTGCGCCTCCTCAGTCTTTGCCACGTCAGTTGGAAGGCAAGAACATTGCTCGTCCTCAGCATCCCAAAACCGCCTGATGGAAGTTGCGAGAGGTTAGGCCTTATGTTTTATTATGATCCCGGGAAGATCAAGCATGACTGGTTCACAAATGCCCAAGTGCTGTTGACCACAATTATATGAGCGTCTAATAGGGAATGAATCCATGCCACCCATGTAATGGTTGGCAGAACCAGGCAATGTAGCTTCTCTATCAAGCCTGACTGCTTTCCCTTGACTCTACCTTCGAAAGCCTCTAGTTTAGATATCAGATTGGTGATCGGTATTTTGTTTCACAGTGTTGATCTGGATAAGATTGATTCCAATTTCGTATCCCACGAGCCGAGGAACTTCATCAGCCTCCCTGTCAAAAATGGTTCAAGTTACACTGACGGGATCCCCCGCATTTGTCGCGGGGAGATCTCCGAGATCCCCATCTGACATGCAGGAGCGGCTTCAGGGGCTCCAGGGCGGTGCAACCAAGGCCGCAGCTACCCACGACAACCCCTCATGACGTCTCCCAGTCCCAGACCCATCCGCAATCCTCCAACGGTCCAACGTCCATCTCGCTGGGCCGAAGTCGGGCAATTCGAGTCAGGACAACAAGGCAGCCATCCAGCGCCTGGTGCTGCCAATATTTCCTTTGTGTCTATCCAGGGTTCAGATGCCAAGCAATTATTGGCAGCGTGGCTTAGTGGCCCCGTGCATAGCTCACTCGGGCTTAGCCGTTAGAATTGCATCGCCGTGATAGGAACGGTTGTGCAGGAGGCTGAGACTTCGTCCGAAGCATCGCACAAGCGGAAGCCTCACTTCCTCCTGATTTGCTTCCATGGTATCTGGGCGTTGAGAACGAGCGCAACGAGTCTCGATGCGGAAATGGTGGCACGCAGGCTTCACAGCCGCACTGGAGGGCAGGACACGCGGAGTACAAATCTGGAGGTGGTCGCTGTGAGGCTGAAGTATCTTTTTCTCTTCGCTTGAATTCCTATTTCTTGCGCATTTCCTCTGTAGTTTTCGCGCCTTAGGATTGAGATATACAGTCAATGGCAGCACCACCGCACCGATACGATGAGGGGCTCGAGATGAGCCATTACGATGGGATGGAGGTCCACCAATACCCCCAGCAGAGTTATCAGAGGCACCAGAATCACGAGTATCAGGGAATGGAAGTGCACAATTATCCTGGGAACGATACCGACGATACATCTGAGAAGCCCGCTCTTCACGACGGGCCATATGTCTACAATGAGGATCCGCGATCGCAATTGCGTCGAGACCTCAAGACGAGACAGATTGCGATGATAGCTCTTGGAGGTGCTTTGGGAACTGGGCTGCTCATCAATACGTGAGGAAGACTGTCCATTCATTCATGGAATTCAGCTCACAGCAACAGTGGCCCTTCTCTTGCCGAATCTGGCCCGGGGTCAATGTTCATTGGATATGCTCTGGTGGGCGTCCTCTGTTATGCGGTAATGAGCGCAATGGTATGCTGTCCCGCTCCAAATCCTTCGTCCATGCTAACGAATCCTAGGGGGAGATGGCTGCTTGGCTGCCGCTCGCATCCGGCTTCACAGGCTTCGCCCATCGTTTCGTTGATCCGGCTCTTGGCTTTGCTCTTGGTGAGTGGGGACGAGACCCCTCCAACCTCAACACCCTTCTGACAACTCGAAGGTTGGAATTACTGGTTCAAATACATAATCACCACCCCGAACAATCTGATTGCTTCTACTCTCATCATAAGGTTCTGGTTTGATAAGGCAGGACAACATGATAGCCCAGGCGCAAACCCGGCTCTCTATGTGACGCTTTTCCTGGCTGCAATCATCGCAATTAACTACTTCGGCGTTGGATTCTTCGGAGAGCTCGAGTTTTGGCTCAGCAGCGCTAAGGTTTTGATCATGATCGGTCTGGTCATCTTTACTTTGGTCACTGCAACAGGAGGTGCGGGCCACCACGATGCTCCAGGATTTCGTTACTGGAAAAGTGGAAATCCTGGAGCTTTCGCAGAGTACGGAGCTAGTACGTAACTCAAACCCAGCCCTTCCTTCTTTTACTGACTTTCCACAGAGGGCGCAGGAGGCCGTTTCCTCGGCTTCTGGAACGTCATGTCCAACGCCGTGTTCTCCTACCTCGGTGCAGAACTCGTAGGAATCACAGTCGGCGAAGCGCAGAACCCACGGAAAGCCATCCCGCGAGCCGTAAAACTCACATTCTTCCGAATCGTCTTCTTCTACCTGATCCTCATTCTCCTGCTCGGCATGAACGTCCCCTACAACTCGCCCATTCTGATTTCCGCCGCCAACGAATCCAAAAATACCGCCTCCGCGAAAGCCTCCCCGTTCGTCGTAGCCGCCATCTTGGCCGGTGTGCCAGCAGTGGAGACGTTGATCAATGTCTGCCTTTTAGTCTTCACCTTCTCCGCCGCAAACTCGGACTTGTACATCGCGACCCGCTCGCTCTACTCTCTCGCCATTGAGGGCAACGCCCCACGCATCTTCTCGCGTACGGATGACAGAGGGGTCCCCATCTACGCGCTTGCCCTCTCAAGTATCTGCTGTACATCAGCATACATGTCCATCCGCCTCAGCGCCTTCCGCACCTTCCAGTACTTTGTCAGTCTGGTAACAATCTTCGGAATCCTGACCTGGATCTCGATCCTCATCAGCCACATCTACTTCGTTCGTGCTCGCCGCGCCCAAGGCATCCCAGACACGGCGCTCGCATATGTGTCACCCTTCGGAATTCGCGGTTCATGGGCTGCGTTGATCTTTGCTTGTGTAATCACGTTTTTCAATGGTTGGGCAGATTTTGTGCATGGCCTAACGGAGGAAACGAAGTTCAACCACAAGAACTTCATTGTTGACTATCTGCCCGTGCCGCTTTACCTAGCGATGATCTTTGGGTATAAGTGGATCATGAAGACAGAGGGTGTCAAGGCCGCGGATGCGGATCTGCTTGGAGGGAAGAGCAAGATCGATGAGGATGAGGCGGAGTTTGTTGCGGGGGAGATGGCGCGGAGAGGAGGGGCGCCGGAGCGGAAGTGGGAGAGGGTGTATCGATTGACGTTGGGGAATTTCTTTTGATCCTGCTGCATGTACTGGTGTTCCCCTCTCCATCACGCGTTGTATCGATCATGTTGGTTAGCGTTGATATTGAGCGAAGACTGTACTTGAATTTGTAGTTGTAACGACTAACGACTCTCATTATATATGTACTGTACTCTACAGCCAGTCTAGCCCCATCACTTTGAAGTGGAATGGTCTATGCCAAAACATCGTACCGCTTCCGCTGCACACTATCCCATCCCTCCTCAATTTCTCTCCTCTCCACCTCGTCCTTAACAACCTTCTTCTTCCACTCGCCTGCTTCCCGGAGATACCATTCTTGTCCTCTCATGGCATGGTTCTGCTGATCTCTCTCTGCTTTCTGCATAGCTCGCTGATACTTGCCTGCCTTCCATTGCTTTCCTCCACAACGAAAGGAGGAGCAAGAAACAAATGACAAGGTGTGACTATCCGAAGCATTCAAAAGTGGCATCTCATCGACATGCTTGTGCTTGTGTTTGGGGGTGGCGAGTGGGGCAGGGGGAAGATGAAGCTTCCAAGCACTTTTCAATGCATGCACGATTTTCTTGGCCTTTTATTTATTAGTAGAGGTCGAGGTCGACTTTTGCGAGCTTGACTTGGTGGTGGGAGAAGAGGCCGGTGGAGGGGGAAGATGCAGCTTCCATGCGTGTCCGAGTTTGTGGGCGATTTGCTTGAGCTTTTTCTGAACGGCGGAGGGTTGTTTGGGGGAAGAGGCGATGTTGGAGTTGGAGTTGGAATTGCTTGATTGAAGAAAGTTGGGTGAGGTGGGTTTCTGCTTTGGTTGCTTTGGTTGCTTTTGTTGTCGAGGAGGTGGGGTCCATGTGTATGGTGAGGAGCTGAAGGGTGAGAAGAGTGCGCTGAACTCTAGAGTTGTTGCCATGTTGGTTGTGAAGGTATAAGTGCGGGTGTGTGGTTGGACAAGTAATTATGAGTGAGGCGTGTTTGTTGTAAGTTAGAGGATGTGATGGGGAGGGAGGTGAGATGCGTAAATATATAATGGGTAGATGGTCGGTGTCGATGTGAACTGGATAGGTGAGTTGTGACAAGACACCCACACTTTGATATCGGAACCAAGGTTCGAGATGGATTTAGAATCAAACCAGCTACTCATCAGGTGAAATATTAGACTTTGCCATTGTATCAAGCTGAGATCATTGACAAGGGATAGGTTCAATGTCCCTCGAACCTCCTGCATACCTTTATAATACGCCCTCTCCCCTTGTAGTATGTACCCTTCCTTGGCCATGCATTTTGGAAAAATTATCTCCTATTTGTTTCAAGAGACTGCGTGCTTGTAATCAACTGGGAGATCGCGATTGTGGAGCTCTAAACGGCCAGTCCAAGTCAATATGCATCCATACCTACCACCTCCCACAGATGAATTTCCCAGCACAAAACTAACTTGCATCCACCTCTTCTCCACTCGCTCAATCATTATCTCCCATCATTCCACCAACACGCTCCTCTCGTCACCCAAAATCTATCTCTCTACCCACGTCGCAGCCCATCATCCGCATCCACGGCATCAGAGTCTACCTCATCTCAAAACACATCACTTGCACCGAGCCGCCAAGAGAAAATGAAATCGTCCGCTAAACAAACTTCCTTCATGGTCACTCAATATAGAAGCTGAAGCAGCTAGTCTTAAGCCTCACATCAGAACTTCTCGTCAGCCAAAGACCCTTTGCGCCGACAAACTCCATTTCCTCACCACCGACAGCCACCCCGTCGCGTTCTTGCCTGGTGCACGAAACCAGAAACAAAACCAGAAACTCAGCAGATATGAGAAGAACATGAAGCAGGTGTAGGACGACGAGAGAGGGTCATGAATCGTGGGAAGACGGGACGGACGCATGATTTCAGTTGACTGCATAGTCGCGAGGAAGAAGTATTTGCAGAGGGAGGCGCGCAGGATTGAGGTTCGGAAAATGGCGGGGCCAGGAAGACTTGTCGGCACTTCTTCTCACGTAATAGAGAGGTGGAGTGGAAGTGGAGTGGAAGGTGGAGGGACGTTCGTGGATCAGGTGGTATTTGTGTGACCTGGATTTCGTATTAAGTATTGGTGATATTCTGACAACGATTATAACTCCCTGTCTTGTATCGAATTGCCCCATTCTGCCCTCCTCTCCCGCAATTTTTGCGAAAATTCCTTCGCCCAGAACGCCGTCTGCCTCTCGTTGAAGAAAGAATCGACCTGGTATTCCCAGCATCCATCCTCTAACATGTGGCCCTTAGTCCTACACACCTTCCCCTCATTGACGGGCATTTTCGGCCACTCTCGAAGCGCAGCACCCATTCCTTCATCTAGGAAGTTGTCATTGACAAGCTCCAGGACCTTCTTCCTCACGATATCGAAGTCCACGCCTTTCTTCAAAAAGATAGCGAGGAGCATCTCCATACCTCCTTTATCCAAGAAATCCTTGCGGATGGCAGGCTCCTTAAGGAGACCACTGATAGCTGTGACTTTCGCCTTCAATGTGTGAGGATCTTTCTCCCTGCCCAAACGGTTGCGTAAAATGGACACGAGGTCCTTCTTCCCGTGGCTCTTTGCTTCATAAAACTCTGACCCACATGTAGGGAATACGAGCATGCTCCATAGGTTCCCTACTTCTTTCAAGGCGGTGGGATTGTTTTGAACAGCGCTGGCGATGATACTGGCAGCTTTGTGGTCACGGCTCTTCTCCTTGGCGGGGAACTTCTCGGAGCCGGAGCCGATGATGAGACAGAGGAGCTTTTCCATCACGGGAGCGTCCTTTGCAATCTCGAGACCGTAATAGATATCGTGGGATAGCTCGGAGAGGTCATCCAGAGCTTTATCGAAGGCTCGAGCTTCGGTCTTGACGAATATGAGAGCTGCTTGGAAGGTGCTGATTTCGTCGCCAGAGGTTGGAGGCGGCGGGATCACTTTGCCGGCTGATTCGTATACTGGAGGTGATATAGGGACTTGGTCTCTCATCGCTGGTTTTGGCTCTTCTTGCTTTGCTTCGCCCTCGGGTTGGGGAACCACGACGATGGATTGCTCGGTAGGTAGATCTTTGAGGGCTTCTCGAAGACTATCTTCAAAAGGGATTTCCCCTTCCATTGGGACATTCAGTCGTGCTTCACGCTCCCCTGAATTGATGTCCATCCGTATATGTAGACCAGCTGGAATATCTTGTCCCTCTCTTATGATCTGGAACTCTTCCGTTGGGGTGAATGTCCGGGGATAGCAGTCATTTTCATCGGTCGATGAGCATATGAGCTCCTCGTCTGCAACTGGTGCTACCGAAGAAGGTGGGGAGTTGGCTCGTGACAAGATTGGCAGAGCGAGGCATGCCAGGCCTAGGAAATTGCGAGCTGTTAAATTAACCATGTTGGAAACTCGTAGATGTCTGCGAGGTGTGCAGTGGAATATCGATTTAAATGTCGGAAATATCTGCCACGTCTTCAAGTCTCAAGACTGGAAAGGACACGCTTGACTTTCCGCCTTAGTCTCCTCAGGGTCCGTCGCTGACTTTCCGCCACTTCGAGGTTCAGGACAGCCTTGTTAAACGCTGCGACGTCCAGAGGTTTCGATTTGCCTTCGGCCTGCTGCTGCTTCTCAACTAACCACGCATCCCAAACCTTAGGACAATCGTCGAACAATTCCCCCCCTTCCCAGCTAGACCTTAGAACCGGGCAATCCTTCCACTTGACCAAATACCATTTATTGCCGTTCTTCACAGTGATCTCAGCGATGATCTTCTCAGGAGGATGGTCTTCGCCGTCGTCGGTTTCTAACGATGCGAGCGATTCGTTGTCGTCTCCTAGGTCCGGTTCGTACTCCTCCAGGTATTGGAGATAATTCAATGAAATGTTGGAAGCCATCGTAAGGATAAGTGGCCGGGTCACCTTTTTGGAGCTGAGTTTGGATCCCATTTGCCTTGAGGCTAACTAAATTTGGCGCCTTGCTGACTAATTCCCGACCATCGAGAAGCACCTGAACGACCTCAAACGTCACATCAAGAGGCTCTCGACGGCCAATTGAACCACACCATCATGCTTGCACTCCGGCGAAAGGCAGTCGAATCTGCCGGGCGTCTTCCCACAGCTGCTGGTCGAGGAACGAGTCGCTATTCGACAGCTCAGCATGGAAAGACAGGGGATAAGGTCCACCACTTCGCGGGAGAGAGTACCGAGCATGGCCATCACACAGCGGGACCGAAGGCCGAATCATTAGGAGTCAGTAGATTGCTTGCAAGGAATTGGAGGCTATGCTGATCTTGATAGACCGCTTTCTACGTCGTGCTTGCAGCTGTCCCTATATCGATCGGAATCTATGCCGCGTCAAGAACAGGAGCAGATGGAAAGATGACTGGTCTGTCGAAGGTCATCGATAGCTATTCGCACTACAAGGAGAAATGGGCTGCACGAAACAATTTGCATGTTGCGATGGTCGAGCAGGCGGCATTTGACCGGAATCTGTTCCAGAGCACGGCAGGGAGCAAGCATGTCGACTTGAAGTTTCCAGAGCACGTTGAAACCCCCCTTTATTCCCACAGAATCTGACAAATTCAGGATCTTCAATACGGGATCGCCGTTCAATGTGGTGGCTGGCCAGGGAGCAAGGAATATGGATCAATTGGTGGCGCATTACGATAAGTTGAACGCGGATGAGGAGGCGAAGAAGGCAGAGGCATTGTCCAAGGAGAAGTAGACTGATACAATACCCATACATACAATTTTGTAATCTGCGTCCTTTTCAGGGCGTGAGTTGTCTGATTGTACAGCCACACTTGGATCATTTTCACGGAGTTGAGCTGGTCGCGCCTTCCCGACAACATAGTTGTTGCTAGTTGCGCTAGTCTTACCTTCCTTTTCTGTATGCGATCTTGCTTTTAACCAGAAATCCTTTCCTCCGTCCTCTACCGTCTTCAATCCTCCATCTTTCTTGATCTTTGATATCCACCACTGTATCAATCATCCAACTCGTTAAGAAAAGATATCGAACAAGATATTCTACCCCGCAGCCAACTTTTTGCTTGGCAACGGTGAGAGTCTGCCTGGAACGCAGCCGCAACACCTCCCCCGAAGTCTACCAACGATCGCTCAACAGTCAATGTCCAAGGATCAACCCGAACCGGTTGTCGCCGTTGCTCAGGAGGTTCGCGTCATTAGCCCTGGGCCGAATGCCCAAGTCAGAAAAACCTCGGTGCGCGAGAGAACTTCACAGAACAACCAGCCCGACAGCTCTATTCAAGAACAAGATGAGCGCGAGAATGCCCGTGGCGCGGCCCTTGTGCCGGTCATGAGAACAGGAGACCAAGACCACAAGACGCAATTGTTTCCCGTCGACCAGGTACTTTCTCCAAACCCTGGACCTTCTGATCTTGGATCTCCCGACACGACGCCTCCTAGCAAGAGGAAGGCGGGACTTTCACTAACTCAGCTTGCTAAGAGCATGAGTGATCTGGCAGTAAACCAAAAGAAGCGCCGCCTAGACCCGACACCGAAGCACAAGTGGACGAATTGGTCTAGGTTGACAAGTCCAGCTTTTATTAGCCAGCCAACCCCCAAAAATTTGGTCGCTGTTGAACAATCTCGAGACGTAGATACTCCCATGGCAGGTTGGTACAATCATCCATCATAAGGCATGGCGCTGACGTTCAAGATTCTGTTTCGATTCCAATTCCAGGTCAGTCAAAGATCCCTCCCTGAGGTCAAGACTTGGACTGCTCTGATGTATGAAATCGACTTCGTGGAATAAAGCTGATAAGGTTCAGTATACAAACCATACAAGATTCGGGAGAGCAGGCTGGGTGGGATGGGCATGTTTGCGACCACAGATATTCCCAAGGGTAAGATAATTACCGAAGAACAATCACTCATTCGATTACTGTGCTTCGACGTGTGCGCCACTGAAGACGATCCTTCCTATCGCGACATGGTCGAAACTCTTACTTATCAATTCGACCACCTAGCCTCGCCAGAAGACAGAGCTTTCACCGAAAACCTGGAGCCATTCTACGGCGAAGAATCTTTTGTCCTGAGAGTCATGCGAAAGTACGGCTTCGAGGCTTATCATTCGGAGTGCTTCCCCTGTACAGCTTTATTTCGGGACATTTGCCGAGCCAATCACTCTTGTGACAGAGCGAATGCTTATATTGTCAACTTGGGCAACGAGAACGACTCGTCAACTGGTAGGTTGACAGCGTCTCGGGCAGTTGAGATAGGAGAGGAGATTCTGATTGATTACACTGTTCTGGGATGGGCACTACTTGAGAAGGGGGAAATGCTCAAGAAGTATAGGTTCGTTTGTAGTCGGTCGTCGTGCAAGTCTTGCTATGAGGGCTTTGAGTAGGACTATTAGTAGTGGGGAAGAAGTTCATAGGCAAGATTTCGATTGCGAGAAGGATTGCTTAGTCGTGGTTCACTAGAACAATAGAATCATTGCCTTTGCATGGTCCAGAAGTCTTTGATCGAACTTTTCCCTAACATCACTCGAGCTCACATGCGTATTGAAAGTGCAAAAGAAATCATCTTTATAGATACACTCGTGGTGTTTTTGCAAACGTGCTGTAGCTAGAATGCTTCTTTGTATTCGTGATCCCTCCGCCACAATAATACGCACGTGATGCAGGCTTGCTTTCAAAGTCAAAGCAAGGAATTTGCTGAGCTGGAGCGCTCTCCGACATGTTTGTGAATGGCCACTATTGAGAGCAAGGTAGCTGTGGTTGGCCACTTAGGTAAGACGATGACAATTGTATGAACGAAACAGTGTTTAGCTGGTAATTAAGCTTCAAAGTATAAGGGTAAAGTTGATATAGATTGAGATTTCTAAAGTACAAGAAGTGCGGACTAGAAGAGGGTTGATATGCCTCTGCAGCTGAGCTAATCCTAATGGAGATGATGAGGTGAATGGCAACTGACAGATGACGAAGATTATCCACTTTAGTAGCGGGTTAAATGCCATTGGCCACTCCTAAGTCTTTTACAGGATCGATCTAAATAATACCATCCATTGTTCTTAAAGCTCATATCAGTAATAAGTTCAACCAAGATCTATTTTCATAATGCCATTTATCCCTTACCAAGTCACAATTCAAGCCAACTGTGCCAGAGATCAAGGGATATGACATCCTGAGAGTGCAAAGAAAACAACTGTATTTCTATCTTTCCCATTTTCTCTGCTTTTCAACACACTTTAAATCCTCAACGTCTACCATCTAGTGTATGTCTAATTAGTTTACCGCCTCAACTTCGGCGGCGTTAGAAAATCCCCTGTACTCCTCCTCTCCAATCCTTGCCAACACCGAATCATCAATCTTTCTCCACTTCAACCCATACAACTCCTGGAAACTCATAATCATTGGGCGCCACTTATCAGGATCAACCCGATTTTCCTTCCCATCCATCCTAATTTCTTCATGGACGTGTGTCCTCAACACCTTGACCTCCAGCGCAATAAAACCTTTTGTATCAGCATCCTGCATCATCTCATAGACCCCAACAAGCTCCGCCTCCATCTGGGCCGGACACTCCATAATCCTGGCTGGGCGAACCAAATCCGATTTGAGCGGCGTCAACTTTGCATGACCGAACTTGTCATGAACGTATGCATATCCATTCATTCTCTTGAAATATTTGTACCCTTCATCCGGTTTTGCGGTCAATATCTCCTCAGAGCCCGTTGTTCGCGCGAGAGCGTTGACGGCCCCTGTCATGCTGTCTGAAGGGAGGTTGAGAACGCACTGCTTGGTGCGGAGAAGATTTATAGTCGTCTGTGAGATGGCACCGAGGCCGAGCATGCAGCGATTTCCGAGCCACCAGGCCGAAGACATCGGGGCTATGTTGAAGCTGAGGTCAGGATTTTCGGTAGTAATAAGGACGACTGGTGTGCCCCAATAAAAGATCGCCGGGGAGATGGTGCTGTGCTTTGGGACAAGCTCGCTATCTTGGATTGATCCCATTGTATCGAATTTGAGAAGATGACTTTTGGAAGAAGGGTGATTTGGTAAGACGAGAAAGAATGAGATTCGGGTTTGGGAATGTGATAAACCATCAGGGAGAATGAACAAGTCTTATATGTCTTTCAAAAACTCTAAAGTTTCTATCCTTGTTCAATAGAAAGCCTTTTTAGTCACAAATTTTAGCAGCGACGAAGTTTAGAGATATGTGGGGCAATTGTGCTGAAATTGACCTATGAAGCCCCTTAATGCTTGTGAATTGTCCACTTCACCACTACGAAACTCCGTAGCTTAAATCACATCAGTGACCCAAGATGTGATGCAGCAGGGATAAAGTAGGAAGTGTCGAGGTTTGGTTGAAACTTGAGTAGCTGGAGTCCAATATTTAATTGGTCAGTTCAATAGCAACATGGAAATCAGTCAGTCTATAGGGGGATACTAGACGAGATGCGCCGATAAGCGAAGGCATCGAGGCACTCTAATTGGCCACTTTGAGAGCATAAACAAAGTACGATGACATTTATCCTACCGTCGACCTTCTTACTATAATATTCTCCGCGGACCAGTCCCAATTTTAGTCGAGAAATGTGACTCACAAGCAAGAAGTCTATAATGGGTTACGGAGTCGAGAATAATATCACGAGAAGCTTTATTCCCAGGCTCGTCGGAAAATGATCCAGGCATCTTGTTATCGGGGACTGACGGGTCGAGCACATGAAGGATCATTCCTTCCTTCTTGATGTGTTCCATGCGAGATGGCCTCTAATGGCTGGATGTATGGCAATTTCTTAGGTCCAAACTTGATGGTAGCATTCACATCATCCCCTGCCGATTATGACTGATCTGAGTTTGCTGCTGATGTGCTTGCAGGGTTGTCGGTTACTGGGGGAGATTCCTTCCCAGCGAGAATGAATTCAAGAAGCACTCTGAAGTTTTCAAATGCTGGGCCATTGATAAGTAAATTCTTGACCCGCTGAATATTCGATAGCTCTTCGTCATGTTCAGTCTGATCCCCAGAACCATCACTACCTTGCACGACTCTGAGTCCAGAAAAATGTTGGAGATACGTTATAACCGCCTCGTCCTTGTTAGATTTCGCGGATGTCCTTCCATCATTCTGATAGGCATATGCTCTATGTTTGGAACGCAAGGCTGCAGGCAAGGCGGACCGAAGTTCTGGTTGCATCAAGTAATAATCACGTTCTTGAATATCCATTACCTTGAACGTGGTAGGTTTGCGTATTCCGCTGTTCAAACTGTTGAGTACCCAAGCCCTCTATGATGTAAGTGTGAAAATTTTAAATGACCTGTTAAGACCGAGTAGTTAATTTGCGCAAGAATCACTCGTGAGAGTGATAGGTTAGAGAGGTAACACGATGCATTCGCGCATGTTAACCGGAGCTTTGTACAAGTATGAAGTCTCACTTGAGGACTCGAGCAGGATGCAGTGACTCCTAACTGCCATCTCCCTCGGTCTGGGCCGATCTATTGAATCGCTTTTGGTAATCTCAGGTGCAATTGCACCTCACAGCTCAAGATGAGATTCCATCGTTCCCACCATAATCGTTTCCCCCGCGAACAACGGTTTAATGTCTCTCCCCTCTCCCGTTCCTGTTCGTCTCATAAGCAGTGAGCGAGAAAATTTCCTTTGACGGTACTCACAATTCATTGCTATTCGCCGGATCCTCAAACTGCCTCCTCCGCCTCATAATTTCTCTCTCAGCCCTTCGCCATTGCCAAAAGAATACAGCCGCCGCTATCGCTGCTATTCCAAACCCAACGCCCAACCCAGCACCTACACCTATGATTGTAGTTTTCTCCGATCCACAATTAGTAGCGGTTATAGTCGATGTCGCAGTAGCGGTTATAGTCGAGCTTATGGTAATCGAAGGAGCGTCAGGGCTGGTGCCGATTAATGCCCCCGCAGACCCGGCTTGAATGCTGAAGGAACCGTTTCCTGAAGTGCAGGAATTGCGTGCTGCCTGGTCCGTTCCACAAGCAAAAATGTAGGGCGCATCGCAGGGCGTCAATACCACATCTCCACGAAACTTGTCGCCTAATATCGATTTAGTGAATGAAATTTGGGGTTCTTGACTCGCCATAACGTACCGATCGTGCACTGTTGGGGACAACCTACAGTGCCGTTGAATTTTTGATCAGTGCAGCCTCGCCGGACCAGCGCGCTCAATCCGGTAGAGAAACAGTACCCGTTCTTGACACAAAGATCTCCAGCACGGCAGCAGTGCGAGACTGCAGCAGTGGTGTTGCAAGGAATCAGACCTTCGCCGGGTTGGCCATCAGGATAATAGCATGTCATTATGATCTTAACGCGTCGACATGTTTGTAACGGTGAGATGTGTCTGTGTTTATGTATGGGGAAGGCTGGGCTTGAGGTGGAGTCGTGGCGCTCTCGCCCGTGTGTGGCGCGCCTGGACTGGCTTGGAATATTGGTGTCCAGGACGAATGTGGAGGAGGCTGCGGGATCGTGACACCATTATTTGCATGTGAGTGGACAAGATAATCGAGGCGCTCGCCCGCTGCTCAGTGAGCCTTATTCTAGGCTGAGTTGCCCCTGTATTCCCTAAATGAAGGTCTTGACAGTTTCAGATCCAAATTGAATGTGCCACGATCTTCCAAGAAATACTGCATATCTGATACTGTAGATAGAACCGATATCTTCGGATTGCAATCAGCCTTCTAGCTCGACAAATAGAGGTAGGGGTGAGTCGCTGTTGATCCCAGGTTGCGCTCCATGGCGAAGGAGCATGTCCTTCGTTTTCAGATATTTGCCAGCTTCTGCGAGATCAAGAGCGGTTCTCCCACTTTTGTCTTTCGCATTGAGGAACTGCTGAGACTGTGGATGTTTCAAGAGAAGTTCGGTAGCTCTCCATGCGCCATTCGCTGCTGCCCAGGCTAGAGGCGTCCGCAAGACTTTCCCATCTCTTCCGTCTAGCCTAGCATTCTTGGCGAGTAGAAGCTGGATAATAGATTCATGGCCGTTTAAAACAGCCCAAATTAGAGGCGTGCGTTGGTGTTTTGAGTCTCTGCAGTCGAGGTAAGGATCACACTCTTTAAGGAGAATCTCAACTGCTCCTACTCGTCGCTTCTCTTTCTTTGGATTCATGGATAATTCGATCAATGCCGTGTTGATCGTATCTGGATCCAATAAAGACCTTACATGAGGGAGTCTGCTCCACGATGAGAGATTTTTCAAGTCGTCTTTCTCTGCCGAAATAGCTGCTTGAATGAATTCATGATTTGCGGCCGCTCGCTTTGCTGTAGAGCCTGTGCGGAGTAGTGTATCACTACTACCACTTGATATTGTTGTCCGGCTTCTGGAACTGAGTTGGCTGAAACGAGTTGTAGAGGCTGATGTAGATTCCAAATCACCGTTTGTATTGATGGATAAACGTTGAAATGCATTGCGTGGGGATTGTGGGGAGGAATATGGTGAGGTTAACTCCAAATTATCATTGGACGGGCCCATTTGGCTTCCCGGTGATGTTGGGAAATTGGGAACTGAGACTGAGGTAATGTCAAAGCCTTGATGAAGAACTGTAGGTGGTTCTTGCACTGCGACTGCTGCGCCGACGATCGGATCTTGCAAAGAAGGAGATGCATCAGTGATAGCCTCTTGACGAGATAGTTGCAATGGAGATGGCCAAAGGGCTCCGGCAGTAGAGTTTGTCCTGTCTAGATTTCGTAAACCTAAATCTGGCTGGGGGCTAGCCCCGATGGGCTGGCTAGTTGTCGATTGTCTGATTCTTTGACCATCTTGCAAACCGCCGAAACATCCTCCCTCGAATACATAACCAGCCGATCGAGAATGAGCAGGCGATTGGTGTGTTTGCGGCCAAGACGACTGAGCGCGTTCCCCCAGACTGGCGATTTCAGCCAAATGACTAGAGTCACCTATGTCATCCATATGTTCTGTTCCCTGCAGGAAGACATCTCCCTCATCGCCTCTCAAAGAGGGGAGTTGTTTAGGTCTCGCACTGAGTAGCGCGTTGACCTGGGAGATAGAGTCGGTTGGTAAGCAGGAGTTATCAGAATCATATGGCTCTTCAGCAAGGTCGAATGATTTCCTAGCATATTGGCCATGAAGATCTCCGGCGGCTGGCTGAGAAGCTAAGATTTGACGACGCCTTCCGGATAAGGGGGATGTGCCACCACTATATGGTGAAGAGAACTCTCCTTGGGAGGCAATTCGTAGATCGCTTGTAGTAGCCGGCGGTTGTTTTCCGTTTTGAATTCGCTGCAACAACGCCGCCTTGATCCAGTCTTTATGCCCCTCGATTTCAACCTTCGAAAATCCTTCTTCTGCCAATTCTTTCTTCCACAGATTCCATTGTACCTCCGACTCATTGTCATCTTCCGCTAGGGTAAGGACTGTCTCTGCTCTCCGCCCGGCTCGCACGTCGGCAATCAGCTCGTCCAATTTCTTTTCGATCCTCCCCAAAGATCCCGTATTCAGAGTTGTCAGATATAGTGTAAGATACGATTTGTGTACCATCAAATCATTCCTTATATCCTGCAAGTTTCCCGCAGCAAATTTAATCCTATCCCATGTCCGTTTGGAGTCCGTCCCGAGGGATCCGTGCTTGATGAGGAGTTTGTTCAGCGATAGTAATACACTTTGGCAGTTCTCCCCTAGCAGGCCCAGCTCCTGCCTCTTCACTGCTCCCGTTCGGTTGAATACAGAGTCCGGGTTATCGACTTCGTCTTCGAGTTCTTTGAGAACGGTATGCAACGCAATGACTACCGTTCCAATTAGCAGTTGTCCCAACGCGTTTGGAACACCCAGAGAGCATACCTTCGTGTGAAATCTCTTCAAATGCCCCCCCTGCTCCCTTGCCTGTACAACACCATCAGTAAGGATCCACGCTCCGATGGCCCTTTTTCCACTAACATGATTTATAGACTTTCCAGGCCAGCTTCCCCACCGCGATGAAGTCACCGACCGAAAACCCGAGGCTCATCGTCGCACTTTGCTATATTTCGTACTTCTCGCTCTTGCGCATCCTTTATACTGACAGGTGCCATCGCGCCAGCGATCAAGCGGGGTGTGGGCGCAACTGGGCGTGCCGTGTTGTGTGGGTGGACAAGGCTGTGAAGTTGGGCGGAGCCAGCGCCTCAGAACGCCAAGCGCTCGCTTCAGCAAGTCAACGGCAGGCACAGCCAGGCCGGGCGTCGTCTGAACCTCTTGTTGTATCTTCACACTATTTCTAATTTTCTTTATATTCCCAAATTAACAGCAACAATCGTCAGGGCCACCTAGTTGTCTCTGGCAGCTGTCCCCAGAATCTTGCTAGCCAAAGTGCTGCTCTCGACTCCTCAAATCTAGCTCATCGAATGCGGCTGAAGATGTGAATCAGCGGGGCTGTCATTGCGACTGTGATCCGAGCTGAACAACTACCAGCTTGTTATTCTCCATGACACCTTCAAGTATTCAATACCCACCAGGCCCATTGGATCATTCTATGTCTCAGTGTTACAGATCCACCCGCAGCAGGACAAAGCTGGCTAAGACCCTTCAAAGCAGTATCAAATGTAGTCTACATTTGTATTTGTATTGAGCCAAGTCTAGCTATTACGTTTTGTGGCGTACGGAGTATGGCTAAGTCCACTAGAAAGATGGCGCTGAGTAAGCTCTAGGCAATTCTCGAACGCCCCCAATGGTACTGGTTCCGGTATCTGACTTGATGCGCCACATTCTATCAGATCGACGCCTGGGGATTTTCTGAATGGCTTCATAAACCTTCAGTTTTGGGAAGTTTGTGTATTTAGCATCTTCATAATTATGTAATCGGCAATCCTTTGATCGATGGGGATCATTGAGTTGGTCCATTGTTTGCTTCTTGTCACCAAGTACTTCACCCCTCTTCATTTATGTGGCTTCTCCTTTTGTTGCAAGCCAAAAAATATCCACCTTCTGACTTCTTCACCGCTTCTGACAGACTTAGCAAGGCTACAATAGCCCCAATCTTACTCAAATGTGCGATTGTTGCTCCGCTTTTGGTCGCTGTAATGTCTCAGCCAACGCGTAACCCGTTGCCTTTTCCTGTATTATTCGGACTTCGCAATCAGCTTCAGCCTACCCGGTGAACATACTGAAATGATGGAAGCCTTTCATGCCATAAGAATTCGCTGTCTTGAACTTTCTCATGAGCGACATATCTTGATATTGTATAGCATTAATCATACTCTCTGTCACAGCTATCAAGGCGCAGTCGATATCTTCAGACTGTATCAGTAAGCGTGACCACGTCTCTGGCAATTACTTGTCCCAAATACTTACACAAGTATATACTTATATGAACCCAACTGCCTGGACCATCCGCGTCAGGGCCAGCACAGCTCGGCAGCGGTAGGAATCGATCCATAATCAGTTACGACAGTATCCGCTTTGGAATCGGGAAGCGATCCTCGAAATTGGGGTGTCGAGCATTTTAAAACTGGAACCTCGTTAGATTTCCATCACCACGGCAAATATGTGGTTGATTTCACATTCGGTTTGTCCCTGATGTTCTCCCCACACCGATCCACTTTCTTCGTTGGATTTACCGGAATCAACCGTTGCACTCGAGAAAGATTCGAATTTTGGACCACCTGGTGTAGTGACAGTCGCCATTGCAAATAGTGTTCGGAGTACTGCTCTGGAGAATAATGGTTTAGTGGAGCACCCGGAATTTCCAAGAGGCAGGTTGAGGAACTAGGTCCAGTTTTAGGTGCGGTAAGGCATGCCAATTTGAGTCAAGATTCAATTTCTGGTCGCAAGTCGAAAAGGTTCTGCTCCAGAGAGCGACTAAACAGCACACTAGAAATTCTTAAACTGTCCATGGGCCTTTTTCGGGCAACTTCGGCGAGGCAAACAGAATGGACTCTTCGGTGTCAACAGTACTTGCCAGAACACGGACTGGTCTGAGGTTTCCGAGGCAAAACAAGACTTTCCAAACTTCAGCGAAGACACGACTTTTCCGTTTGACGAGCTCAGTTTCTTGCATGGCGTCGAGATGAGCCCAAAATTTCCTCCAATGGATCCTAAAATGAGCTTCAGTATCTCAGACAGCGCTCTATCATCTAGCCAAGAAAATTTGTTCTCGTCCACTTCTTCCTCGTCCTCCCACGAGTTCAATATCTCAGATAGCCCTCCAATATCCAGTCAAGAAAGCTGTTCTCCTCGTCGAATCCTACAATCTTTGCCCCCCCCCCCAGCACCGTCACCACCAACAACTCGCCGGACCGCCCCTTTTGTTACATCCGCAGCAAGTCGTTCAAGAGAACAGGCAATCTGAAACGCCATGAAGGCGTGCATTTACCAGAGCAGTGGAAATATTATTGTAAGCAGCCGGATTGTGTGAGGAAGGGACGCAAAGGATTCTATGGAAGGAATAAGTTGAGAGCGCATGAAGAGCAGGTGCAGGGGTTGGACTTGTAGCTTGCAGTTGAGGTGACAAGACGGAGTAGTCTTTTGGGTATTTTTGGGATTTCGGCGTAAGAGAGGGTGAAGAAAGAGTTTAGAAGAGGAAGTTTTGGCTTGGCTCGAACTCGAGTGAAGAGCTTGAAGCGTGTAATTGGGGATGAAAAGCACTAGCTCCGGATGGTTGGAGAACTTCCTGCCTTTCTACTATGTTATACAATGAATCTTGATCAGTGCAATAAAAGTATAACAAACTTGTGAGACTTGCTAGAATATTTGGCGAGATGCTCGGGAAACTTCCTGTGCTTGGACATAACGGGCCAGGAGCCGGTATCGAGATTTTGGCCTTGTGTGCAAATCAATGGATACTATTGATTGATGAATACTAACAAAGCATTTCACAACTGCATGAAGGAAAACGCCTTCAATGCATATGACCCCGTGACGCCATATCGCTAATAAACTGAAAAGGGATGTTCAACGTTCTACGCTCATGAAGCAATGCAAAAGCATCTCCTATCCGGCCAAACGTCATCCAAGCATCATTATGTTGTTCTCGTAGCCACATTATCGTCGTGCCTTGGCCATAGCAGTTAATCTTCTCCGCTTCTCTTCTTTTTCTCGCTTGTGTTGATTCTCCTCAGCCAGGGCTTCGGCATCCTCACGACGAGCAATGCGAGCAGCTTCTTCTTCCTCCTCGTCAACTTCGAAGGCAGCGGCTTCCATGTCGGAAGAGACATCAGAGGCGTAATCCTCTTCTTCCTCTTCTTCCTCTTCCTCGTCCTCACTACGGTAGAATTGGTGTTTGGATGAGGAGTCGTATCTATCATCGCGGTATCTGTCAGGACCTCGATCATACCGAGAAGAACCAGATGCAGATGGTCGAGAAGAAACTTTTGCACCAAGTTTAGGTCGGGCTGTTCCAGTATACCCTGTTGTTGCCGTAGCAGCTTTCTTGACCTTCTTCTCTTCCAAAGCTTCCGCAGACTTCTTTCCAGTGCCAACCTTTCCGTTCGAGACCGTCCGCTCACTGCCCTCAGCACCATTCCGTCCATCCTTGAGCAGTTGCTGTCCTGCTTTTCGAAATTTGCCATTCGGGCCCAGATTCTTCTGCAGATTGTGTGCCTTCGTTGCCTTCATCTCTTCCCTCTCCCGCTTGCTGGGAAGCTTCTCAATCTTCTTATGCTGAATCTTGCCAACCTGTCCCAGCGTTGCCTGTGCTGCCTTGCCTCGCGCCATAATTTCTGCATATGAGCCCTTCTTAGGAGGCTTTGCCGATTCGCTTTGCGGAGGTGGTGTTGGTTGCCCATTTTTGAAAGTGGTCGAAGGACTCTGCAAAGACGGCCGACCATTCTGACTCAACTTCATTTTTGCCATTGAGGAATCGGCTGCCGGCCGCTTGGATACTTGTGTAGTCGGATTTGAAGAGCCACCCGTTGGCGGTCCGGTCCTCTGTATCTTGTCTACGGGCTTCCGGAGCTGCTCATCGGGTTTGCGCTTTGGGAGTGGAGGTATGGTATGTGTTGTCGCCGTGGGACTCGGCTCCCCTGTAATCTGGGCTAAGATATCACCGATCTGGGCCATCTTCTCAGTATATTTTGCAAGCTGGTACCCAGAGAGTTAGGCTTACCGGCATCGTGGTGTCATGTACAACGTGGCAAAGAGTAGAAGAAGGAAATGGACATTAAGGAACCTCCAACGCGAGTCGCGTGGTCTGCGGGCATAGGAGCGTCCGTCAAAACATCTGGAGGGTAAGTTTGTACAAACAGAGTAGACGTGTTATGTTCATGAGTGATGACTGTGCCCCCGGGTGAAATAAATTGTTTGTGGTAGTTTCGGAAGTCGTGGTTGAGGCGCGAATTTAGTTCCGCAGGTAGGCCGATAAGAGAACACCCGAGGATTAGCGAAATTGTCACGTGCACATGGCTTGAACAAAGGGGTGACAAGCTGTGCGGGGAAGATTAATGTTTATAATAGCTTTTTAGTTGAGGTGTATATAGATAGAGCTATTGTGGTTTTGCATTAGAGCATTAGCCTGACATGGAACTGGTGCTTTGTTCTAAGCATGCAGCAGAACCGGATCGCAGAAAGCCAAACAGGATGCGGGAGACTTCTCTGAGGTATTCTTCATAGCTATTTCTTTCACGTATCGTCAAAAGTTAGAATCTGGATTTCTATGACCACAAGTCTTCATTATTTTGGGTATTTCTCGCTGTAGACTTTACTTTTGAGGCAGACCGCAATATCCTGCCAGTCTAAGCCTTTTGCGAGGTTGCAAACCATGGATATGCTCACTTCCGGTGTGGTATCGAAGGGTGAGAGGTATGGATGCCTCTTGACCATTCATGGGGACCTTCCCAGCCAAGCTTCACTCAGGCAATATCTTCCATGGTTTCAGCAGCCCTTTAACCATTGTTCCCATTCAATTCAGAACCCCATCCAACTCAGATCATCTCAACTATGCATATCATTTCGCTTTCGACGCCTGATTCGCGGCTTCTCTCCTTGTTGCTATTGAAAAGAAATTAGCAGTTGGTGGAGAGAAGAGGAACTGGGTCAACAAACCATCCTCCAGCAGCGCTGTATCTACCGCACTACCAGGCAAATGCACGTATCTGACCACACTACCTCTGATGAAAACATTCTTGACCGAGGACTATGAACAAAAGCAATCAGCATGCGCTTCAAAGCCAGGATACCAGGGGTTTTTGAGGCTCTACCCCGCCAAAGCTTTGTACTGACCAAATGAGGATACTTCAGCTCTTCCACCACTTGTATATCATCGAGCTTGATGTTGAGGTACTGGTCGACCGATTTCAAGGTCCCACGTATCTGAATATCGTTCTTGAGCTCGACGGTGACTTCGTGGTCAACCAATGTCTTGAAGAAGCTGTTTATTGAAGGTGAAGATCAGCACACGGTCAACTAGGGAGACGAGGAGTGGCTTGGATCGCACTAACCTGAAAAAGAGCATCTTGAGACAGTGAAGGAGTACGCAAGGATCCAAGGTCTTTGGCCGTTGCGTGATGCTGTGTTGAGGTCGTTGATGTCACGGATGTCGTCGAATTTGAAGGGGTGCCTGACGAAGTTCAGGCACCAAACGCCTAAACGATGACGAGACAGGGGGCATGACCTCTGAATAGAAAATGCCCGGACTCGATCATCTTGGACCGCGCCAATTGTATATTTCAGCGGATGAGAGATACAACTACCTCAGAATGCTTGAAGTTACGAAATAAATGCATATTGTACCGCCTGCGAAAGGTCTGAAAGTACGAGGTAAGCACATCAACTCTGCATCGTGCTTTTTAACCCAGACGAATCAGATAGTTTTCTGAGTCTCTAACCTTACAGGAACTTCACGGGTTAGCACCCCTGCGTCGTAGTTGTAGAGATATGCAGGATTCCGCACAGGCCGGAGATTTACATTTTTGTATTCCCTCAAACATTTCTATCCCATGCGCTTTTCGGCAAAGCCGTCTTTGTTTACCTAGAGGGGTTCGGAGTGCGCGATTAATTGTACAACTCTGGCAAGGCTAGCAAGACAGCATCATGGCTTTGAAATGGACACCCTCTTGACTTTGAGCCAAGGCTGAAAGTATTGGAAGTTGCACCGGTCAAGAGAACGCGACCTCGTCTACCCTCAACAGCAAGCACACCCCATGGCATTGAGCCGTTCCACAACCCACATGGACCCCTTTTCCTCTTGTTCCGCCCAAAGTATAACCGAATGACTGGGACTCACTGTGTTCTTTCAAGCTTTATTTCGTCTCCAAGGCTCTGGATTTGGTTCGGAGAAGGGCCGAATGCCATCAGATATTAATGGGAGACAAATCGTCCACGTCTTCTTGTGTTTGGAGGAGATGTTTCCAGACAACCACTAAGAGTCGGGAGATTTGTATCTCCTCCAAGCATCCTTTCAGGAACACGTTTCATTGTCTCGGGACCAAGACACGGCATGAATAAATCCGTGGTTGAGATGATGGGGCAGGTAGTTTATCTCTCACTCAGACTCGGATAATCATCATGCTATGTAAGTTATAACTATTCCCTCTGTTAGGTGTCGCAATTCCTCTACACATATTCAATCAGCAAGTCCTTCAGCCTACGTGCTCTGAGAATATATAATGTGGGGGTCATCTTCCCACCTTCTGGACACAGAAAGCTTTGTCTATGGTGGTGGCGAGGGACATCCCTGCATGACTCCCTGGCACTTCCTGGTGGTCTTGAATTACGGCGCTAGCTCCTTGGGATGCATTCTGCACGGATCGTACTCGACATATTTTGTATTATGTTCCTGGAGTCTGTTCGGGGAAACATCCTTGCTTACTTTGGAGGCACAAACTTCCATTGGACGAAGCCCCTACCCCCCTCACCTCTTGCCCAGGGCTCACATGCCAACAGCTGCAGGTAAGAAATTCAACGGGTAAAGTCCACCTCCCAAAACTGACTGCCATGCAGATATACCCTTCGAATCTATGGGCCCGACAACCAATGAGCAGTAGCTTGAAACGTGGCATATCAGTTTGTGTTCAGCGTGCGGATGGCCTGATTTCTCTAAAACATTTCTTCCAGGCTGCTCGATATATCTTGACCCAAGGCACAAAACTCATCCCCGTGCGCATTTCGAGATGCGAACGCGATGACGGAGGACCAAAGTCGGGGTCATGGGGCTGGTAAGGTTCCCATTCTCTCGGACCAAGAACCTCGATCATTTGTAGATTGGCGGTCTGAGAAACATACTGAAGTCATTTCTCTCTTCGCCAAGTAATTGGGGGCGGGACGAACCGCCGGGGTGCAAGCGAAGCAAGTAGGTTCTGGGATGATTCGTGCTCACCTTCCCTGTATTCGCAGTTGGCAATATGCAAGATCTTACACATGCAACCTTTGTTGCTTCAAATAGTGTCAGACGGACATACTTCCAACTTTTGAGGTCTAATTTGGTCTTGCATTCTCAATCGGCTCAGATGGGCGCCAATACCCATAGATAAGCATCTGTTCCAGCCCTATTTTCTCACAGACACACTATTTAGAATCTCATTCCCTGCGCCCTCTCCCTCCGATACCTTTACTTTCTAGCACCCATTTTCAACATCATTTCTTTCCAGAATGGCTGCCACTGCAGTCGAGCCAGCAACAGTCGAGGTTCCAGGTCTTCCAGATTACGTTCTTGACCCCAATGCTACCTTGAAGGATGCTACTGCCACCTGGAGACATGGCAGAGCTCCCGACTATTCACAGACCCGCAAGGTCTACGAAGAGAGTACGTCAATCTCAAGTTACCTCGGGATCACATCAAACTGCTTCCATATTCTGGTTCACGCTGGCCAGACCGCCTCTCTATCCTTCCTACTAATGATTCCTAGCCAAAACGAAGAGCCATGAGGCAGCAAGTCTTCCCAACCTAGTCGAGAATCTCGTCAAGAACTGGGAGGTTGAGGCAAGCTTCAAAAGCGATATTAGTGACTGGCGAACCATCGATCGGCCCAACTACACCTTTTCGATCAACGGAGGCCCTCCCCAGTCAGCTGAACATATGCTCAAAGTAGGAACTTACAACGCCATCATCTCGCCCAACGATTTCTACAGCCCCGAGAACTCAGACTTCTCCTCCAGCCACAAGACCTTTAAACGCATGATGCCGACATTCGCATGGGAGGTCTTGGGTGTTTACAGTGGACCGCCGGTAGTGGCGTTCAAGTGGAGGCACTGGGGAACCATGAAGAATGACTACGTCGGATTAAATGAGTGGGTTGCTCTTCGAGGAGTGCTGCTTATGCTGACAATGACTTAGCAAAGGAGAGAAGGTCACAGCGAAAGCCCACGGGGGACTCATCGAGATCTACGGCATTTCCGTCGCTAAAGTCGACGAAAAACTTCGCATTCAGAGTGTGGAGACATGGTTCGACCCGATGGAGATGTTCCGTCAAATCGCACCGAATGGCATCGTCAACAGAACACCACACGTCCCAGTCGCTGGGGAAGACCTAACCTCACAGCTCTTTGGCGACGAGGGTGAGGATGTTGCGCATGGGCTTGAGCATTCGCATCTCAGTGCAACAGATGGTGCATGTCCCTTTGTTGGGAAGCAGTAAAGGCTCCATGGATTCGTGTCGTGAGTTTGATTTCCGATTTGGCGGCGCGCAAAATAGTACAAGGATTCTCAGAATTCTGTGTTTTGGATGTTTCAGATTTGGTGGGAAAGTCTTCACCCTGCTGCAGTCTCTTATCTGAGATCCTCTGGGACGCTGCTCCTGGCCCGTCCCAGAAAAGTAGGTTGGGTGGAAAGGTTCGTAGGATTGAAGTCTGTCAGAGAGTGCCTATATACATATAGATGCCTAAGGCCATTACGGTCCGTGTGTCAGCATATCAGCGCCTGCAAGCTAACCATAATATTCTAGCATATACTTGGCAGCGGCTGAATCTTTAAATTTTATGAATGTCAATTGGCTGGCGCCTTCTTCGCGTTCACCACATCAACTGACAATGCTCCCCACACCCATCCCTGCTTCTGCCCTGAAACATCTTCCTCTGCACTTAGGTGGGATTTTTCTTGCAAATCACGTGCACAACACCTGGTCTTTTCCATGGCCCAACGATAAGATCTTATCGCGATAAGAAAAAGTTCAACCATACGGAGTATATCTCGTGGCCAACTCCTAGCCACAGAAATGAAGGCAGTTCCTCATATTTTGTTTGCAACCCTCGACTTCGAGTCTCCACCTCAAGGCAGTCCAATTCAACCTTGAGTTTTTCATGGATCCAGGACCTCGTCAGGCGATCATTTTTCGAGGGCAAATTCACTCAACTTCTGCCTTTTCTGAACTCCCCTCTACACATTCTTGGGACTTGGGACTTCAACTACAACCTCCCAATTACTTGTACTTTGGACTTCCATGTCCTATACGATGGCCGCGTCACCTGGGGACTTTCTAGAGTCACTCTTCAACCATATTGCGCTGCCTCCCCGTCTCCCAGGCCGACAAGATACAAGCCTCGGCCGAGTCGAGCGTGGCCTCGTCGAACGCCTGCTAGATGCAACTGTCAAATTGTCACGTCTTCCACACAATGATTCTGCTGACGAGTGGGAATCACTTCGTCGTTCTCTTGAGACTTGTAGGCGAGTCAATTCGGGTGGCAGGCTCACCAAAATCTCGCTTTTGACGGCCCTGCGAGAACTGCAAGGTCGAGATTTCATCGCTCTTTATATTACAGAGCAAAATGCCGCCCTCATCATCCGACTACAAGAAGAGTAAGTTGCATATCATTATCTACTAGCCCCCCTCCCCCTTTGGCCCTGACTAATGTTTTCCTCTTCTACTAGTGGTGATTCGGTTTTATTCGAGGCATTTGAAGCTTCCCCTCTGTCCGAAGATGTGCTTGCTTCCAAGAACGCCCTACAGTGGGACTTCCCTGGTTCCGCCGTCGCGATTCCAATCTCCGAATACGAAAAGACCTCGTTCCAAGATGAGCTGGCGACATTCCTGGAGAGGGCAAGCACCGAGTCGATCAAAAGATTCGCTGCGCATACGAACAAAGCTGGATCCTTCGCATTTGAGAGCCGGGATACTGTCGACCCCGCGCTCATCACACAGATGCTGATGACACTACTGGAAGTCAATGGCAGCCGAGCATTTCCTCCACTACTTCAAAAACGCGTACGGGATGATGTTTGCTGGAGCGACGGAGGCGAAAAGCCCTGGAGACGATGCCCTTTCTGGCTGGTGCTTCGCGTCGCCGTGCACAGACACCTGTCCATTACCCTTGGTGGTGACGTTGGAAGAATACAATACAAATTTCTGATTTGCCTCGTCCTCTCACGCTTTCTTGACGAGTGCCTTGGTCAGATAGGCCTTGATCTCGCGGTCTTTCTGAAAACCAAGCTGTGCCGCCGTCTTGTCAAACTTGAGGTTGACAAAGAAAGAGCCCCAGCCAACCTCTCCATTCATTACGAATACTGGTTCACGGCTCTTGGGCCAGACTTCCGCAGATATACCAACACTGCTGCAGAACAGATTAGTGTGGCTTGGGAACCCTTTAAGAAGCGTATACAGCGCCCCATCCTCACCCTGCCAAAATATGCCGACCCACGGCACCTTCTCTTATCGCTGCCCAGCAGCAAAGATTATATCCAGCGAGTTCTAAACGAGCCTTTTTATCGATATACTGCACCTCCGTTTGTTTCTCTCTACAAGCTGCCGCAGGATTATCAACTCTCCTCCACAGTTCCAAAACCTGGGACAGCCTTCGCTAATCGATATTTCAGACTCTCTGAGATCGAGACCGAGATCGAGCTTAGAGAATCGTTCGATGTGTCCGCCCTGGCCACGGATATTCTCTGTGAGCAACGTTGCATAGAGCTTGCTACGGAGATTGAGAATTATCTAAGCACTGTTGGGGATGCTTACGATAGCAACCCCGAGCAGAAGAGTGTTATGCTCATCACGGTCATGGAACTTTGGGTAGGAATGGACGCATGTGCTGCAAAGATGTTCAGTTTGCTGAAGGACTATAATCCAGGTATTCCCTCTGATATTTTGGACGACCTGCAGATAGCTCGCCTTAAAGATATTCAGCGTATTCACATGATCCGAGAATATCTATCATAGCGACGTCGCATCTTGTGAAGAGGGCGAATATCCCACACTTTCTTCATTTCATTATGGGGGGCAAGCCCCCCAAACCCCCCGGGCCTCGCTGCGCTCGAAAAAATCTCACTTTTGGCACCACCACCACACCAGAAAGGCCCGCCACCACGGCAGTGGCCCCCGGAGGGCCAGCGGAGCGTCACCAACGCCCTTTTGCCTCGCCTATATTAGTCTCGAGCTCCCCGCTCCTTCAGCTGTTTCCCACGAGAACACCACCTCTAGAGTCATGATAGAATCCGATCGACGACAGCACTGAGGAGATTTGGTCCGCAAAGACGTTAAACTACGATGACAATACCCAGCGCGGGGAGGTCGCGTCCTCGAAAAGCTGGAAGAGTACCATTGCGTTCCTCGTACTACTTAATTACCAAAGTGAAACTTTTAGTACCAGCGCCCTCTACGGCAGTACCACAGCCCCACGTGACGCTCCAAGGGCCACGAGAGACAGAAAGCCCCTTTTCTCGAGATGGATGAGAGCAAAGCCATCTACGGTAGATGGAGAGAATCGTATTGATTTCAGGCTACGATTCCCGAGCTACAGGTTAGGTTCGCTGGCATAGTGTCGCGACTTTGAAAAGTACTTTCAGATTAGAGCTCATTAATGCGTTTGAAAGGAGAGATGCACTGGCACCTTCGAATCGATCGTGCCGATTCGCATAGGTGGTAGGTGGTGCGTCGTGGGGTCGCTCCTTCCTCGTCGGGCTTCACGTTTGCGACTGCACCTTTTACCTGCTTCGTCGCTTGCTTCTTCAATCCCCAACCCAACCTTTTCTCTCTCCTTACAACATCTCGTCTCAAGGCATCAAAGCTTGCGATCTTCGCGTTGTCGCGCGATACTTCCCTTCACCATCGTCACCACCTCCTCCTGATTCTCGGCGAAGAGATGGAGGCCCTAGCGGATCAGTTCCTCAATCTCCCCGAGGGTTATGACTCTGATGGAGCAGCCTCGGAGGATGAGCAGCCTATCGCCTTCAGGCAGGGAATGCGCCAGATCAGGGTCATCTTCGAGAACGCATTGGAGAATAGGACGACGTCCAAGAAAGCCTTGAAGAATCACCGTCCAATTTCAGCAGCTCCCGGCACGCAAGAGCACAGAGAACGCTGGTATAACATCTTCATGGCCTTCTTCAAGACCCTCAATCTTCCGTAAGTCCTTTTCTCGAGACCTACCCTGCCTGGGACGGGACACCAGCTGACTTCTATCCCTTCGCTTAGACCAGCAGCAAAACCTCATGCTGACCATGTTTACCGCTTTATGGACGTCGCAGCCCGGACCCTCATCAAGAGCTCAATCGGCAATAAGGATCTCCCTTCACTATCCACGCTCCAAACAGGCCTGCGGTACGTGCTGGGTATGCTTGTTGAGATACACGGCTTCACCGCCACCAAGCAAGACTCCAAGCGAATGGAGTCGCTCTTTAACAAGTTGGTCAAGGACAAAGTACTTTTCAAGGGCAAGTGGAGGAAGCCCAATCGCGTAGGCTTCCAGACAATCCTGTATCTGGTTGATGCATGGATGAGCTCGGGTTTGAAGGATGGTGTTCTGTCTTGGGACGTCCACATCTCCAAACAGCTCAGCATCGTCCTCATTGGATCCTTTGGTTCTCGCTGTGGGGACGTGGTCCGCTCGAGAATGTATGCCGGCATGCAGTGCTTGTGCTATAAAGACCTCGCTCTCTCCTTCTCTGGTGGTGATGATACCCAGGACTTGATCTTGAATGTTACCCTGCGTTTCGTCAAGGGTTACAAGTAAGTCCGACAAATCCTCTCGGATCGGCAGTACCGATTTACTGACTTGATGCAGGGATATGGACAACGTCGATCGTTGCTTTCGAGTCGATGCGCTTCACAGCAACGCCCACAATGCCACGTGTGCCGTGAAGATGCTGCTCATTCAAGCTCTCCGAGTTGGTGCTGTTGCAGCAAAGTCTTGGTCGGAGCTCAAGGCGCAGACACTTGGCCGTGCCGACAAAACCGTTCAATGGACCACACCAGATCATCCTGTCATTCCAGCCCTGATAGGACACAATGCATTTCTTGACCTTGCCAAACCTGCTAGTGTTCAGCAGCCGCTGAGAAACATTCACGCGATGGCGTTGAAGGCCCAGTTCGTCAACAAGTTCCGTGTCCATGACCTTCGTCATGGAGTACTCGCTGATTTGGCGCACCTTGACGACCAAAGCAAGATCCGTGGACATGCTAGTATGGCATCTGCTGCTTCAGTTGGGCATAGAATGTCTACTTTCATGGCAGACACAACCGAGTCTTACATTGGTGGAAGCGATGCCTCGACGTGGACCTTACGTGCCGAATCGTCATGGACTGACTCGAGAAGACCAAAGATCAGCCAGGTGCCTTTCATATCTAGGCCAATTCCCCTAGATGAGGCGGTGAACTATTGCCAAAGTATGAAGTGGGATCATCTGGACAAAGCAAAGATCAAACGAGCGCGTTATGACTTGCGCGTCCGACAAGAGGAGGAATGGAGAGCCACGTGCCGCACTGATGCAGCACCCTTTGTGGCAGCACCCTCTGCAGCTTCGAATCCTGGTAAGACTACCCCTTCCTCAAAAGTACTTTCGGCTAAGATCATTGCCAGCCTTGCAACCCCTTGCTCCCAAAGACATCAACGCCAAAATCGCCACAAGAGCCTCTTCCGACGATGACAAGATCGACCCCTCCCTGCTTGCGCTGTCAGTCCCTGGAAAAGTACTTTTACAGTCGACGCCGTCCATCCCAGTCACCGAATCGGCAGCCCCGATCCTCGATGCCCTCTACCAGCCCTGGTCGGATCCCGACAAGGTCGAATCCGAAAAGGCCTTGAATGAAGAGGAGGCTGACAACGCTCAACACTTGATAGGCCTGATTCTTGGCTCCTCCGAGGATGGGCAGTCTGCGACGACAGAAGATCTTGCAACTGCTGAGGAGGCCGAAGAGGCCGAATTTCTTGACGCTCTTGAGGATTCCCCAGCACAATATGCCACGGACGATCCCATTCACGCCAACGCCGACGAGTTCATAAAGTACTTTTCAAGCATGAATGTTACCAAGCACACGGTTCTCTGGGGCTTGAGCGAGAGCAAGTTCAATGAAAAGGTCGAGCAATATCTCCCCTGCGGTAACAGCAGGGATCGGCCCACTCGCTTCGTCTTCTCATGCCCCAATCGTATATATGGTTGCCCTTACACTTCGTCGTATGGACTTCAAGTCGGTCGCCACCACGCTATCTGTACGAAAACATCGGCGGAGGTCACGCTGGCTTCGGAAAAACCAGCAACTCGTTCCTTCAAATGTAGAAAGGAAGGCTGCGCAGAGGAGTTCGCATCGGTAGCCATACGATACATTCACGAGCGAGAGCATAGTTGGACGAGGAAGCAATGCGATCTCGGCTGCACAGATGGTGCCTGGTTTGACCAATACGTCCAGTGGCAGAGGCACAGGGACCGCTATCATGATGATAGGTGGGATGTGACGACAACTTGTTCTTTTCCCGGCTGTACTCGGACTGACCCTTTCGCGGCCCAATCCGATTTGGTGAGTCATCTGAGATGGGTTCACAAGCTGGAAGTGACTGCGACGAAGCAGTATTTACCACCAAAGCCCTCGCTGCCAAAATGGGGAAAGAGGCCCTGTCCGTTCCCGGACTGTGTGCGGGCTGCCCCAGGAGCAGCTGAGTTCCCTAGTGTACAAATAATGAGCCATCTCATGGGAAGGAGGGGAAACTGTCACGGTATGTCCGAAGAGAGGGCTGCAGAGGTGGTCAAGGGCGTCATAATGGGAAAGAGTATCGAGGAAATTATCGAGGAAATGGACACTGTCGATTCTTGACTGGCTGGGAGATGCTAGTATGGGGTGTCGTTTATTGCTACTCACTGTTGCGACTGCTGCTTTGCCAAGATGAGCATCATTTGGAGGAAATGGACACCGTCGATTCTTGGCTGGCTGGGAGATGCTAATATGGGGTGTGTTTATTGCTACTCACTGTTGCGACTGCTACTTGGCCAAGATGAGCATCATTTGCTAGAAATTATGCGGCCCGTGTATTTCAATTGGAATTATGACCTGCTCTCATTCTCGAGGCATTCCAAAGAGGAGACTTTAATACTATTCCTGTTTCCAGACATGCGGCTTGCAAGGGTTCTCGGATGACTATCTTCAACGACCCAGGAAAAGGTTGCTTTGGAGAACGCTATTACACCGAGTCTGACGATTCTTCAAGGCTGCAAACCCTTCACCAACAAATTGAAACCGCAGCCGAACAAGCCCGCACGGCCAAAGAGCAAGAATGGCAAGAAAAGACCTTGGAGTAAGGACAATCTTTCCCTCAATTTCATTTATTCCTACTCCTGCTACACTATCCGAGGCTATATCATATGCATAACAGAGTCCATGATGGACTACCACATTGACTTTCAATGGCTTCGCCAGATCTCTCTCATCAGAGTCGATGATGAACTCAGACACTACGAGCACAGGAAATACTGACTTGAAAACCATTTTAGGTTTAAGAAACTCGTCCAAGAGGCATCCGAAGCCTCCTGTGTCATCATCACTAATGAATTCCTAGTCAAGACTCATGACGACAGACATTGCACAAAGTGTTACCTGGATCGCAAAGTTCGACGATTTAGAATGGACGCGCATGAACACCCATTGCCGGCAGATCCTATACACGCCAAAACGGTGGTATTTGAACTCAGCTGTCCTAATGCTTTCGCTGCATACCGGGACTGCTCTTGGCAGATAATCAGCAGTCTGGCGTTTCCAACAGCACAAGTACCGGCTTTCGAGCCTCGAGTTCTACTTGGAGATTATTCTGAGCTCAAACCCTACATACAGTCAAGGTATGCAAATATCTCTTTTACAGAGTATGATTGACATTGCATATCTAGCTTCGGCTATAGCAATTTGTGGACCATGGTCTGGCTTGGATTTTCAAAACCAAATGCCGGGCTTGATTATAAACATAGTTCCAATGTCTGGGATTGATTCTTGACATTTAAGTCTAACTTTATTGAGGCCTTCCAAGCTCTCTCTAGCGTCAACAACAAAATCGTTCTTGACAACACATTATGCAAGCCCCCGATTTCCCGTCGGTGTCGAAGACATTTGTCTCCCAAACGGCCTCAAACTTGGGTACTTTGATACGCGGCTGAAGATCTGGCCAGCTCGACTACCACAGACACAAAAAGCCACATTTGCGCACCACTGCCAGTTCGCCATGCCAGCAAATTCGCCATTCTCGTCTTTGAACATCTCAACCGACTTTGCTATGGATTTGAAGGGGCCTTCGTCGTACGAAATCGTTGCTAGCCAAAGCAGGTGTCCTTCTGGGCTCAACATCCATGAATACATGTCGTTTCAAACCCTTTTCTCTGGAAAATCTCGACGATGGCCTCAGATTTTGGTTGAACTTGGGTCTTCCAATCTGAACTTTAGTACGGAAGCGACGACGACGTTGATGACTTTCCTAGCACTACAAATAGGACCTGGAGATAAAGAGGATCCTCTTGGGGTTGTTCATGGAGTCTTCCGAGATGAGGCCTTTTGTAAGAGGCTTGTGGATCAGCTTGGCCAGCGCCTGGACGGGATCTCGTCCAACTGGCGCGAAACAAATTGCATGGAGACCTTGATCACTATTGCACATCGGCTGTTTGAGCTTGGCGATTCCGTTTCTGCGGATGCTGTCAAGCTGCTTGAAAAAGCCCGCGCAATCACCTCTAATTGGATTTCTGCGTTGCGATCGGAGATCCAGACTGCAACAGATGCAGAAACCTCCCGAAGATGCTCCCGGTATGCATTTTGGGCCGCTTTACTTTGCAGACGGACGTTTACCTTATACGGAGATCAGCCAAGATTGCCGCCCACAGCACTTCGGAGTTTCATTGAGTGCTCTGTCTCTTTGCAAGATAACATGGTCAGCAATCCTGCTATGCTACCTTTGGCTTTGAAAAACGCTTTGATCCGCGACTTCAAAATGGTCCACCAGATGAGATTCACCCTCAGGTATTCTCTTGAATCCAGTGAAGACAGCCTGATATCGTCGATCACTACTATCTGGCCAGATGTTGGAGGAATCCAATCAAGGAAGTTCTCTCGATTCGAATTTCTTCCAGATCCAGACCAATGGTGGGTCCAGGTCATTATTGACGCCACTTCCCAAACTACGCAGCAGACTGTGCATTTCCACCTACTGGAAGGACATCTGCTCGTCATGGGGAAACCTATTGGCAAATTACCACCAGAATGGAGAACAGCAGTGGTTCTACAGCAGCTCTTTGGCAATCAGGCCTTGCTGACATATCCTTCATCTCTCCCTGGCATGACCTACATGCTCGCCATCATGATGAACGGCCACCAGATTCATCTTGGATTCCGCAACGGGGAGGTATTTGTTAGGGCACGCGTGCATGATACTGTTTTAGAGCTGATCCCGCCACAAGTGTTTGGGACTCTGGATCATTTCGATTTACCTGCATCGTTAGTCGACAATTGTGTGCATTGGCTGGATCTAAGGACCCGAATTATTGAGATTAGGCAGCCACCAAACATATGGACGTCGAAGCAAAGCAACTGGCTCCTCAATTTTAGTGCTGGCTACGCAACGCGCCGCACTTCTACTCTAGTCGATCCGCACTCTCCGTTGTTCCAACGTATTGCACGCACTTTTGAGCACTTCGAAAGCCGTCGACACTTAACGGCATTCCAGCCAGGCCGGGGTAAATTGACTGTCGAGCTGCGGCGCTTAGAGCTCTCATTCTTTGTGAATGGAAAAAACCTGTTTGAGTCTCCTCAATTGAGATCCGAGATCGATCCCAACCAAGACGCTGGTACGTGGTACGGACTGAGTTCCAAGCTCGTCCTGAGAGAAGTGGCGAAAGTGCGTGATCCAGTCACCCATTACTTGTCTTCAGTTCCACAGCGTCAAAGGAGTATTTTGGTGCCTATGGGAGAAATCAGGTATGGTCGTAACGGTCAGCATATTTCACTCTTTGTTGCGAATGATGGCGATTATGCGAAATTCACGATCAATGATGTTCTTGGACGTCTTGATTGTCCAGCTGAACCCCGACTTCTGTACTTGAAAGCCATGTATCATGCGTACACGTCATTTGTGCTCCCAGATCCTCTAATAGGCCGTACTGGGACCGAAGAGGCTTTGCATTGCCTGAAATCGGGATACTGCCAGCCGTGGACTCCCGTCACGACTGGACCCTACCGAGGACTGCAATTGATTGCGAGGCTGACTCCTCGGCGAGAATACTACCCGAAGGATATGGAAGTAATGCAAACGACTTTCTGGGACCCTCATCTGACAACAGTTATCCAGCATGACGGATATCGGGCCATCGTGGATGCTATCCTAGAGAAGTCAAAACAGCTGTCTGTATTCTCTCTAGAAAAGATCCATCTGCCACCCCTGGAGCCCGTTGGTGAGACTCACCTGATTCTGCGGAGTCGTTTACGGCGCGAGTCCTACCAACGACAAAACTCTGACTCGGATGCACTACAACCAGCCGAAGATGAGCCATATGCTGCACGAGACCGTTGGCGGGTTAGCCAAGGCCGGACTAATGTCATTGAATGTACAAATCTCATTCGCGTGTGGCCTTCAGCACTCCCAACTACTCGAGACCTAGCTGGGATTTTGCAGAACTGGCCAACCATTGGAGGCTATAAGGGATGCTTTGGGAAAGTCCTACTCACGGACCTCCTCGATGTGCAATGGGCGACGGACTGGGGATCCCTGGTCAATCTTTGCCGAGAATCCAGCTCCAAAGATGCTTATCAGCTGATGTTCTTGTTTGCCATCATGTCCTTCCGTCATGACGTGGATATGGATGTACTAAGGACCTTGATTGCTTTCACTGTGTTGCAGGATTTGAAAGTACTCAGTCCGCCAAAGTGGCCAGCTTACAGTCAGTTTCGACAGAACCAAGTCCCTCGAATTGACTACCTCTTGCAATTGATGAAGTCTTGTCTCGTTCCATATAGGGGAGATCTACGATCTACTTTTGAGTTCAATCTCAATCCAAAGCAGCGTAGGAGGCTCGAGTCTGCTGAGTTAGCACATGAGGAGCAACAAGAGGCGGACTCAAAATCGCTAGCTGAGTTTCTTCTCAAGCAGTGGCCCTGCCCTGAGCCAACAATCGAGGGACTTCCCATGTCCACACCTCTCTTGGTTAATGTGGGGAAGGCTTTGGAAGTCATCCGACCCGAGTGGCTGCGTTTGTTCCAGAACTTGGAGCATTCCGACTATGTTTCCCAAGTACAACGTGTCCTGGATTGCCATCACGCCAATCTCCGCCGCCCAGAAGAACCACTGGTCCTTGGGTTTGGAGAGCAAGATATTTTTCAACGTTGCGACAGAGGTGGGACATTTCCAACATTACAAAAACTGCTTTCTAAGGCTATTGAAGTTAAGTCCGGATGTCTCACTTTATCTCACACATTCGAGTCGAACAGGACGAGGCCAATGCCGAACCCGAATCTGGACAATGGTAGACAACAGAAGCTTGCTCCAGCTCTGTCTCCTGAGATCCGGGAGCTTGAGACCATTATTGGGATTGTTGCCAAGTCCAGATCCGCAGTCCGGCGGCAGTATGGAGAGGATCTGTTTCAAAGTCTGAAAGCGTTACAACAGTTCAGGAGCGCTTCACAGGAGCAGCAACATAATTCAGTTAATGCAGCCAGACTAGCCGTAGAAACCTCCCAGGCTCGGTTGGACATTCAAAATCAACTGGATCGCCTTCGGAAGGCATTGGAGCGGGAAGAACCCGCTCATTGGCTGCAACAAGCTGGGCTCTGGCCGTCAATTACACCCGTCACACTCCTCGAAAACTTGCGCTCTACCTCGAGCTGCGAGTTCGGGTATGGAATAAAGAATGACCTTCTCTCCTACGCACAATCAATCACAGTATTGCAGCGACTCCTGCGGGTGGAAGATGCTCTCCAGAAGGGAAATATGCAACGGCTAATGGAAGAGCAAGAGAACCTTGGACATTCTAATTGGAAGCCACTGGATTACCCAGATTGGCTTCTCCTTGAGATTGACTCCAATATCCTGATCCGTCCTGGTCAGGTCGACGTTACTCTTGCAACGATATCCCCGGAGTCCGGGTCTAATTCAGTGTTACAGATGAACATGGGACAGGGTAGGTTCAAATCGTTCAGTTTTCCGCGCACAATGAGCGGAGCTAAAGCCTTTGTGTAGGTAAGACATCATGCATTATACCGATGGTTGCTGCAGTGCTTGCGGACGGTAGTAATCTTCTGAGGGTTGTTGTGCCCAAGCCCTTGCTTTTGCAGACTGCCCAATTACTGCATGCCCGCCTTGGCGGACTGCTAGGTAGAGAACTGAGGCATATTCCTTTCTCCCGCAAAACTCCGACCAGATCAGCAACAATTGAGGCGTTTCACAGAATTCATCGGGACATTCAAAAGTCGTCAGGCATTTTGCTGGCGCTACCGGAACATCTCTTATCGTTTATGCTGTCTGGCCTACAGCGACTGTCAGATGCCCGTATACCTGAGGCGGCATCAATGATCAAGGTACAAAATTGGCTCACCAGGCGGGCGCGAGACGTGTTAGATGAATGCGACAATATCCTGGCTTTGCGTACACAGTTGATCTATCCGTCTGGCTCCCAGAAGACCGTTGACGGGCATCCAATTCGGTGGGAGATTGCTGAGGCTCTACTCGGCCACATTGATGGCCACCTCCACAATCTACACAAGGGCTACCCTCACAGCATCGAGGTTGTTCGGCGGGAGCAAGGTAAGAGGATCTTCTTCTCAGAAGCTGTTTGTTTTTTTTTTCTTTCAAATGAGTCCCAATAACTGGTCATTTTGAGATATTCAACGCTGACTTTCAACGGGCGGATTCCCTGTTGTATTTTTCCTTCGCAAGGATGTCGAGGATGAGCTTATCTCCCGGCTGGTTGATGATATTTACCGTGGCCGAATATCCATCCTGCCAGAGTGCTCAAAATCCGATCGGCTGTCTATTAAAAAGTTCATCTCGGAGGCTAAAGTATCCCCTGAAGTAACGCATTCGATATCCAAGCTTTTCTCCGACAAGCCGGCTTTTAGGCAGGCTATCTATCTCCTCAGAGGGCTGCTTGTTCACCGAATTCTTCTGATGACGCTTAAGAAGCGTTGGAATGTTCAATATGGGCTGCATCCAACACGGGACCCGATCGCGGTTCCCTACCATGCTAAGGGAGCTCCTAGCGATCAAGCTGAGTGGGGACATCCAGACGTTGCAATTCTCTTCACCTGTCTCGCGTTTTACTACGACGGCCTAAACATCGCCCATCTGCGTCAGACTCTGGAGCATGTTCTTAAATCTGACGATCCTTCTCAAGTATACGACCGATTCTCACAGAACTCAAGTCTTCCAGACTCCTTGAGAGAATGGAATGCAATCAACGTCGATGATGAAGCCCAGCTAAAAGAGATATGGCAGCATGTCCGTTATAATGTCTTAGTGATCGATTACTTCTTGAACAACTTTGTTTTTCCGAGGCACGCTAGGCAATTCCAAGTCAAGTTGCAAGCTTCGGGTTGGGATATTCCGCTGTTCTCTACTAGTAATACACCTGTCAATGGAGATCCGAAACTCAAGCCTTCCATGGCGTCGACGACCGGATTCAGTGGGACGAATGACTGGAAAGGGATGCTACCTCTAACAATCAGTCAGCATGACCTTCCGGGATTGTCGCACACAAATGCCGAAGTTTTGACCTACCTGCTCCAACCTCGAAACCGCAAGTATGTCCTTGCCGCAAACTCCCGTGGGAGACATATATCCGAGCACGAGTTGCTCGGGAAAATCTACCGGGAAGGCATCCGAGTGCTGATCGACGCCGGGGCTCAGATCTTGGAGATGGACAATCTCAGCCTGGTAAAAGCCTGGCTTGAGATAGCCCACGAAGCTCCGGCTGCCATTTACTTCGACAAGAACAACAAGCCGCAAGTCTTGTACCGAAAGGGACATCAGATGCCTCTCGTGGCGTCCCCTTACGCTGACGACTTGGGCGAATGCCTGGTCTACCTTGACGAGGCGCATACTCGAGGCACGGACTTGAAGATGCCTACATATGCTCGCGGGGCTTTGACTCTTGGTCTTGGGCAGACAAAGGATCACACGGTCCAAGGTTTGTCAAGCCTCTTTTATTATCTCTCCCAATCCTGCTCCTTGCCATGAGCTAACGTAAAATAGCTGCTATGAGACTGCGGCAACTGGGAACCTCACAATCAATCACCTTCTTCGCCCCGCCAGAAGTGCATCAAAGTATTCTGGACCTCCGCAAGAAGGAGTCAAGTGACCCACTATGCTCTTACGACGTCATCTGCTGGCTCTTAGAGCAGACCTGTAGCGGCATCGAGCAACTCCAGCCGCTCTATTTCTCACAAGGTGCCGACTTCTGTCGCAGAGCGCAGGCGGCTTTGGATCATTCAGAATTTGTCGCTAATCCACAGCAACGTGAGGCTTACCTCACATCATTGCGACAGGTCGAACAGCAGACTCTAGAGCAATTATACGGGCATAACATGAAGGCAAAGTCCTCCACCCCATTTGGGAAGCTGTCTCCTAGGATATCTGTATTCATTAAGGAGCTTAATACCCGCCGCAAGGGCTTCCAGGATACGGGAAATGCGGTCCATGGATCTGCACTGCAAGAGGTTGAGCAGGAGAGGGAGGTAGCTTATGAAGGTTCGTCTTGATAATTTCTACTTTTCTTTTTGTCTGTAAAGTCCAGAGCTAATCAGGCATTCTTTGCAGTGGAAGCAGTCCGCGAAGTGCAGAAGCCGGTTCATTATCCGGCATTCACATTCCCTGGCCTGCACAGGAGCATTATCAGCTTTGCCAAGACCGGAAGACTTGCTGCCGATTCAGCTGCTTACGAGCAGGCTTTCTCAGCCTTGAGGCGCACTGCTGTTGGCAGAAAGTATGGCATTACTGGTGATGCCACATCTGGAAAGCTGTATGTTTCTACGGAGTTTACGAAGACTGTCAACGTCCCGTCAGGCCGGCCTTATGATCAGTTCCAGCGTCAAGTCAATTGGATCCTGTGGAGCACTGTCTCTGAAACAGCTCTGATCATTATTCCCGAAGAAGCCGAACATCTCCTCCAGCTTGTCAAGGAGTCCGCATCACCACCAACCCATATTCTCACATATGCTGCACCCGTAACGCGTAAGATGTTGCACTTCAACGATCTACAGTACTATGCCGTTCCAAGCCTGCCATCCGATTGGGAAGCTCCGTTATGGCTGCGAACTGAGCTGGGAATCTATTCCGGACGTCTGTATTTCGAGTACTCCGAATATAAGAGCTTATTAGAGTATCTCGGCGTCCGAGAAGAGACGGGCAGGATTGGGGAAGACGAAGTTGACGACGTGGGTCTACAAGTAGATAGGGTCGAGGAGGAGCCAGAAACGTCAACGGTGGAATTGGACATTGAACAGAAGGCGAAGGCCTTTACCCGCGAACCTTTAAACTTCCTACAAGAATGGCTGGCTGTTCGCCGCAAAGGTCAGGATTTCGCTCATACGCCAATGGGGTTTATCTGCCATGGAAAGCAGTTGCTAGAAAGTCACCCCTTCTTCTCACCGAATGACAGTGATCAGATTAGGAAGGAGGTCCAGATTAAGAAGGCAAGAACTACCAGTGGCGGCGAGGACGAGGCTGAAGGTGAGCTCTATGATGAGGAAGCCTATAGCGATAATGTCGGAGAGGATGTGGATGATTTTAATGACGCGGAGTTGCTGTATGAGGAAGTGGATGAGGGGAGTGAGTGATTGTGATGTTCGTTACGAAGATAACGGCATAAAGTATCGGGAATACAGGGCATTATTTTATGAAGGCCACTAAATGCCCTGTAAGGTCTTACTTAATCTCCCTGTAGCTTTCCTTATTCCCTGTAAGCCCCTATAAGCTTACTGAAAGTGCCCTGAAGGCTTAATATGGGCTTATGCAGCTTGATAGGTACTGAACGCCCCCAAACGCCCATAAATATAGGCGAGTCCACTAATTAGTAGCGAGTAAGGGGGGGATAATTAACCCTAATGCACACCTCTCCACACACACTTTGTTTTGATTGAGAAGGCTAATAAACAGAAGAGGGAAAAGGAGCAAAGGAAATGGCTAAGGGATTAGAAGAAGGCTCATGGAAGGGCCCCTGGAGGAGTACGAAAAGTGTGGAAGCATACCGAGAAAACTGGTGCTTTTGTTATGAAGAATGAACAAGGAGGGATCAAGTGGTATCGATACCAAAAGATGATTTTGATTAAGAAGCTCTTGCCATTCGTAAGGGAATACTAAAAGGATCGTCCCAATATCCTTATACAAGAGAATAATACAGGACCTCACAAGTTACATTACTAGGGAAAGGTTTATAATCTATGGAAGATTATAAAGATACTTTGGCCAGGAAACTTATCTAATCTCAATGCGATGAGAAAGCCTGGTTTTAAATAAAAAAGGAGACTATTAAGCAGAGACCTACTAGCGATAGGAAGAAGTTGAGAGTGAGGTGGGAGAAATGCTGGGAAGACCTTTCCCAGAGCAAGATTCAAGAGTGGATTGCAGTAATTCCTGATTATATAAAGGAGCTAATACGTTTGGAATGGGGGAATAAGTAGAAAGAAGGTAGAAAGAAGGGTCAAGAGAAGATGGCTATATATTAGATAGTTATTTTTATAGATAGAATCGAACTGATTAAAAAATAATCGAAATCGGAGGTTTAGCGAGGTAAGCCACATTTCAGGGGACCCTTACAGGGCTTACAGGGGACTAGGACTAGCTACAGGAAGATTAAAGTAAGACCTTACAGGGCATTTAGTGGCCTTCATAAAATATTGCCCTGTATTCCCGATACTTTATGCCGTTATCTTCGTATAGAGTTGGAGATTGTTGAGAGATGGGAATGTCGACGGCTACCTCGACTCACCTGAGGAAGAGCAAATTGACGTTAATCCACGGCCAGACTGGTGCTAAGAAAATGTGGTGTTACTCCAGAGGTGAGATTGACTAGGCATGCAATCTTGCGTCAGTCCTCCAGATTACAAGTGTGTGCGGTAAAAGGTCCAGATCATGGACAACCATTTTACAACAGTCATGCAATCCTTCCATCTCAAACAATGCGACTTGGCCTATAACACTGGAAACTGCGGTCTCTTGTGCTGGGTTAAAACCCCGTTCAAAACTCCCCCAAATCCCCTGCAATGGAGGGCAGCCACCGACAGCCACCGAGAGCCCCCGAAATAATTGGGATGCGGTATTGCAATACCAGCAACGGAGGTATACGGAACATGTTAATCCACGGGTTAATATGTTTTGTCGCCGCATACCACAAGAATTACCGGAGTTTAGAGCAGGTCAAGATCATCCACCGGTATTTGCCCGGCGAGGCGGGCGAGTTGTTCGTTTGGTATATGTGGTTGGTTTTGCCATTTTGGCAGCGTGTGCAAGTGGCCATCCGATGAGATTAGCCCATTTTTGTGGGCAGATGCCGTGGTTGGGACGAATGTGAAGCCAAAGGAGGGAGAAGATAAGGGGGGAGATGATGAGGCGAACTTTTGGAGAGGCTGTTCGTCAGACAATGGGACATTCAAGCTGATCAGTACTACTAAATCGTTCTGAAATATCATGGAACAATCAAACATGGCTGAGATCAAATGTCCTGAAGTCTGCGGTACATTCAAGTCCTTCGTTCTCTACAGGTGTTGCTTGCTTGCCTCAGAGAGTGCCTTCCCACTTCTCCGTTCGTCCTTCATTGCTCCTTCCCTACCAATTTCGGCCTCAAGTTCATCTTCGTCTTCGTCTCGCTATCACCTTCCATCTTTCACAACCATCAGTGAGCAACATCATTCTGGAACATTCAATATCCAATTCATTCGTGTTCCTTCTCATCAACACGAACAGGTATAGAATCCAGCTCATGTTTCAATGTACCGGACTGACTTGTACATTCAGTTCATTATACTCAATCGCTCCCGATCAAGCCGACAAGATGAACTTGAAAGACATTGTTGATAGCATGCCGGAACGGCAAACACAAGCACTGGCTCCACAGGCAACCTCCAATACGACGGCTCCGAATCCAACTCCATCTCAAGCACCCGCTGCTCCTGCCAGAATTGGCGCTCCGACGCAAGGTGCTGCGGATGCTGCTCAAGATCGCACACACGACCACAAAATGTGGGAATCGTCATTTGAAGATCTCACGACCCCGCAAACTTCATCAGTTCCTCAAAGTCCCGATTCTCAGACGTTGACATCTTCGCGGAAAGAATTCCTCCGGAACAACACACCGCAAGAGAATGAAAGCTCTCCTATTTCGCATGACAAAATCGCTAGCGCCATTGAACACATTCAGGAGGCAATATCAGCAGCTAGCGAACTATCCGCAAATGAAACAGGGTTTCTCGTTGAACAGAACCTTGACCTCGTCCAGCGGGTGAGTAGTCTGGCCGGTGTATTGAAGTCTGTTCGCCGCAGCCTCTGTTCCCCTAAGAAGAGAAAGTCCAGCGATCCTGATTTCGTACCGTCTGAAGACGGCTCCAAGTCGCCTCCAGGCTCCCCTACCAAAACATCGAAGAAAGGGAATTTCCGAGGCGGTTCAGGATTTTTTTTGGCATCGCAGAACTCGAACTCAGGAGACAAAGGAACGGCAAAGGGCTTCGGATACTTCCGTAAGCTGTGCGGCCTCGAAGAGGAAGAAAAAGCCGACGCCTTGGATATCGCCATTGATAAGACCGCATTTGCCTTGTACACAGCAATCCGCGACGATGATTTCTGCACCAACGTTCGGAAATATGCTGGTGAAAATGCCTGGTCATGCAAGAATAATATGCCGGACTTGGTTGCTCGTGGAGTGTCCATTGACAACAAAAACGATCGCAGGACAGCCACCAAGGAACTCGTGCGAAATATCCAAGCATACCAATGCAGCGAGGAATACCTGCCAGTTTTCTACGAGATGTGGGACAATTTGACCCTCGTGGAACTGGTTGAACCATACTGGAAGGATTACTGCTCCGAAACCAATAAAGCGAATGTGCCATTTGTACGGTGGGCATCCAACGCTGGTGGTGGATGGCAAAAGACCTGGAATTCAAAGGTGCGCGAAGACGATATGCCAAGGATGAAGGAAGAGGCTACTCTTGCGTGGGAGCACAAGTTGAAACGTGGTTGGTATTGGCAGAAGTGGTGCAAGTCTGTGTCAGACAATCAAAGCAGCATCTACCACCGTGGGGTACTCCTGCTTTTCTTAGCAGCAGCAGTGTCCGAAAAACTCAAAGATGGACAGCTCGAACGGCAACTCAACCGGGCACAGACATACATCCCGGAAGCTCATCATTGGATCTCGGAATATGCTGAAATTCTCAACCCTATAGCGCTTCGAATGTACCAGAATGGTCTTGATGAACAGGACTTGCAGCAATTGGAGGGAAGTCTTCGCAAAATTAAAGGAGAGATGGGATGGGATGCTTGACCAGTGTAGAACCGTGCATTTGAAGAGTGAGGAAGGAGTTGAGGAATGCTTACTTCTTCATTGTCCCGTCAGGCATCCAGACATAGGAAGAAGTCGAGAAATCGACCTCAGTATTATAGCGTTAACCACCTGCATTTACCAGATCATTGTCCCTTTGCTGCTGAAAACAATGACTCCAAGATCCCATTCTCAGGGTTCGTCACACTATCATGATCCGTCCCCTTGATCTGAACACACTCCACCTCAATGCCCCTTCCACACTTCTCCTGCTTCCAGCACTCTTTAAAATACTCCTTCCCCTTCTCACCAACCATCGCATCCTCTTGCGGAAGCACAATCCTAACCCTCAACTTCCCCGCCCCGTCATTCGCATCAATCCTATGCTCCCACGTGTCCTTGGTACTTTTAACAAACTCAGGATAATCCTCACAAGCAAGCCACCCACATCCTTCCGTCGATTTCAAACATAACCTCGCCTCATCATTCGCCCCCTTGGTATTCTCCTCAAACACATACCTAAACATCGTTTTCTCCACCTCCTTCCTCACCTCCCCAGTAATCCCAAACGCCTCTCTACACTTCCTCTCCTCCTCCTCCCCCCTCCTCCCCCTCTCAACCCCAGACGTCCTGAACCAGCCCGTCAAGGCCGAAAAAGCGCCAGAGCTCGTGCCGAGCGCAGGGCCGGCGCGGGTAACTCCGAACTTGATGATGGCGTCCCAGTAGTTCAAGAGCGGGTTCGGCAGGTGCGAGGCCGCGACCAGGGACAGGACCGCGGTGTGTGATTGGTGGACCCAGGGCGAGATCAGGGTTATGGTTGGGTGGGCTGGGGAGAGGAGGGCTGGGTGGGCAGCGAGGAGGTTGAGCGCGAAGAGCGTGCCGGAGCTGTGCGAGGCCAGGGAGATGTGTGGGATGTGCAGGTGGGCGAGCAGGGCTGGCACGGTTTCTAGGAAGATGGGGAGGCGTTGGTCGAGGGGGACTGGGGTTGAGGCGCCGAAGCTCGGTCTGTAGGTGTTAGCTTGATGAGATGGGGGGATAGGAATGGAAAGCGGTTGGGCGGGGGAGGTGTCACGTGAAATGGAGGGGGAAATCGTGAGACTAACTAACCTATCGATACAAAGTATCCGCACGCCCTCCTTTTGCGCTAAATGCTCGTTCCAAATATTGTACCACCTCGTGTGCGCCATTCCTCCCACATGTAAGATCGTTGGAACGTCGCCATCCTCAGGGCCGGCTATTGAGTACGAGACTTTCAATGGCCCGTGATTCTCGGTTGCGGGAAGGGTGAATAGACGATGGAACTTTATAGGCGAGATGATTTTGATGACTTCCTCTTCTCGAGGAGAGAGATTGGGCGACATCTTGCGACGGATGCGCATTGATTTGACGAAACAGGAAAGATGGTGGTGTTGTCAGCATATAAGGAAAAATAAAGTTTGATTAGTGCTGCCTTGAATTAGGGTGACATTGGCGTGAAGTTATTACGCGGTTGAGAGGTTTAGTGGGGTTGCATTACATTCGGGCAAGCCAATCACCTCCCCTACACGAAGCTTCAACGTTACATAAGCCTGCTTCAGTTCAGGGTAGTTGTTGATCTAGCTGATGTCCCTGCAAACCAGAAAAAGAGTGTGTGCTATGAAACCTTGCAAATGATATGACGAGACCTTGTCTCTGGATGAGTAAATGCAAATACAAGGCAAAGAAAGGTTCCTCGAAACAGGCATGTCATGGCTTGAAGGCTGCAGAACGAAAATGGCAAGTCTCATTTGCAGGCTTCCTATGCCGTTATGATAGAGCTCCATCCTCTAGAAATCAAATGGCCACCGCCGATTGCTTTTCTTACGTTCCATCTCCCAACGCCAAACACCATGCCATGCAATAAACTCTATGCGCAGGTTCGTAGAGCGATCAGACAAGGAGAACAGCATTGACGCAACCATCGTTCTCGCAGTTGTTAGTGATCTGGGCCCACCGCCCCCAGACCACTTTCCCACCGGCTGTTACGAGACCTAACTCAGAAACGTTCACCTATTGGGTCAGCATCTGCCTTGAAATTTTGAAGCAAAAACCCATTGCAGAGTGGAAAGGTGTCTCACCTCGATAATTGTTCCTTTCGTCAGAACGCCTAAACGGCGGGTTAGTATTGCTTCTAATGGATATGTTGGAGAGTTGAGACAGCGCCGTTGAGCAGTCTGCTCGTAAGACATAACATCAAGGGAGTAAACAGCTCGCAATACGTGCCCAAAAGGTAATAATGCTCGGAAAAATTGGGACTTACCGAGTTGCGTATACATCGGATTCTGTGGGTTCTTCTTGACGCTTATAATGGGTAATTGCACCGTTACTCCAAGTTCAGGGTGCGTGACGTTTGCCTAGCTATCGTTAGTTCTTGCCACCACTATATTGGAGAACTGCTCATACCTTCTTGTAACGTAATCCCATGGGTCGAATAAAGCGCTCGTACTTTACGGGCCGTCTTGTGAAATCGGGCCCCACAAACGTTGGCTTGGTGATCATTCTCTTCCATCCCTTCTTAGCAGTCTTCTTCCCGGTCTTCACCACCTTGAACATCTCCTCCTCGGCAATCCCGCGGACCTTAGGCAAAGGTACGCTAAACTTCGCTGCTTTCTCAGCTCTCTTATTCTTGATCGCAGAGGACAAGGCCTTCGCATTCGTGGGATTCGATCGATCGAGCAAGTATTGCGGGAGCGGGGTGGATGAGGGCTCGTTCGGGGCCGACGACTTGACATTTCTCTCTTCGTGCGCCTTGATCTGCTTCTTCATCTGTATCTTCTCATGATGGCGCTTCTTGGCGTAAAGCTTCGCGCGCAGGCCCGTCAACTTCTGTGCGTCCTCCGAAGCTTTGTGGCCTTCTCTCGCCGCCCTCTTCCGACTTCGTTCCTCATGGTCTAGACGCCTTCCGTGAAGCTTTCTCCACCTGTCCATATACTCATTTTGAGGCTGGAGGCCCCATTAGCTTAGCCATATTGAATATAAAGTCAAAACATACCATGATGGGCGATCGAGAGTCCGCAAGGGCTGGAGATGTGGTTGTTCGAAGCCCCCGCGATAAACGATAAAGATTTCGAGATTTCTTTCGCGCACGGCCCTTTTAATACTAGCGCCGCTTAGTCATCCAAAAAATATCCAGATCACCGCTCAGGAAACCTCAACATCACATCTCCAGCAATTGCTCAACGCCAAAGATGTCGACGCGCACAATGCTGAGCAGAAGCCTCCGACGGTCCATCCTGGACACCCGAATCCCATCCTCTGCACTCCCACCGACATTCCTCCTCCCCAGCCGCGCCCGATACTTCAACTCCACACCACAACACGTCGAGTCACCACCAGACAGCTTCTCTCCCTCCACACCCGCCTCGTCTCCCATCTCAGAAGCCCCGTCCCAATTACCAAAACACACGCAACTCAGGCTCTCCAAGATCCCGACTCCTCCCACACCACCCCCCAACCCGCTCGTCCTATCAGCCCCTCTCAAAGACCTACTGCCCCTCCTCGCCGTCCAGCCCTCGCACTACATCCGCGCCCACATCCACGGGAAACCGTACCTGGCGACCGTCGGCGACACCGTGCGGCTCCCGTTCCACATGCCGGGCGTGGTGCCGGGCGACGTGCTGCGGCTGAACCGCGCGTCGCTCCTCGGCTCGCGCGACTACACGCTCAAGGGCGCGCCGTGGGTGGATGAGCGGGTCTTCGAGTGTCGGGCTAGGGTCTTGGGTACCGAGGCTGAGCCGATGAGGTCCAAGGTGAAGACGAAGAGGAGGAATAGGAGGGTGAAGACGGTGCGGAGTAAGCATAAGTATACGATCTTGCGCGTGAGCGAGTTGAGGGTGAAGGGGTTGGAGGAGATTGAGGGGTGATTGTATGACCGGGCACGTTGCTGGGGATTGTAAAGGGGTGGGGTTGTATGATTGAGGGGATACCTGGGTGCGGTTTGGAGGGGTGTATTATATGGGGGACAACTAGATAAGATGACACGAATAGAGGGACATTGGCTTTGCACTGTACTGTACTTCTTACTGTGTTTCAAGGGGTGGTGTGAGTAAACTGGCAAATCCTCTCTTTCTGCTACAGTAGCCAGTACGGTCAAGTGACCCGCCTCCCCGTATTCTCCTTCTCCTGCCTTTTCACCTCTCAATAATTCTTCCTTCTTCCATGCCATCATCTCATCCATACATTCGGGACCTCTTCTCTTCATAAGTTCTGCTTGTGGATTTATTTTTATTTTTGTGGGAGGAAAGAAGCTCCTTTCGTTGCTGTGGAGCATAGTGAAAGGATAGCTGGGAGGTTAGGCGTTGAGGTGAGGGTATATGCGTACGATAAAGAAAGCGTGATCATCCAGATGTTGACATTAGCGCAAGAGAGATCAAAGAGGGACTGAAGTGTCTGTGCCTCATAGCGAAAAAGGTAGGAAAATAAGAGGGTCAAGGGAAACAAACAAATATGTCTGTGCGAGTTGGTCTTGGATGGTTGCTGTTGGATCGTGAAGGGCTGGAATCACACGTAAGTTGAAGATCATGAATTTTCGAACATCAAATAGATATCATTAATCAATAGAAGTAGGGATATATCCAATCTATATGCTCATCACCCAAATTTGGGTCCGACAAATGACCACCAACATCGAACCCAAACATCTCTAAGCGAACGAATTACAAAACATTATCTGGTATCATCTTCCAACGAAATCCCATCAAAATCTAGTTCACAACAGCCTTTTCATTGGAAATGTTATCAGAAGACGTATCCCGCAACTTGCCCTTGATATTCGAAGTACGCATGAAGTGGTTGTGGACTTCATCAGGGAATTGGAGGTCATCGGTATCCATGAGCCCGGCCTCATCCTTGCTCTTCTCCGCTTGGCGGTACTCCCACTCATTGCGGAGATCCTTGACCTGGTCGATGCGGTCCTGCTTAGGGTCGTAGTACTTGCCGGCGCCCCGCATGCGCTCCCACACAGACAGATGGCGAGGGTGCACGGCGATGCCGTGGTACTCGGATTCTCGGCCCTGGCGGAGGTACATCCAGCGGCGTTCTTGCTCCTTGAGATCGAGACCGGTGGTGTCTGGGAGGAAGAGCCAAGTGACGAGCATGCCTGCGAGACCGAACCAGGGCACGAAGTAGAACTTTTGCTGTGTGTCGATGTAGTTGTAAACCACTGTTGCGAGGAGGGCGCCGAGCTTGCCGCAGGCGGCGGAGAAGCCGTGGGCGGTGGCTCGAACGGAGGTCGGGAAAACTTCCGCGGCCACGAGGAAGGTGACTGCATTAGGACCAAACTGGTTGAAGAAGGAGGATAGGAAGTACATGGCCTGGAAGGCGTGGACGCCCTTGACGGATTTGTAGTAGTTGTAGTGGAACGCAGGGACGACGAAGAGGACGAAGTCCATGAGAAAACCGAGTTGCATCATTCGCTTTCGTCCGACCAACTTGTTGTCGATCAGGAAGGAGGCCAGGTAGTAACCGCAGAGGGAGACAGCGATGTTGACGAAGTTCCAGAGCCAGCTGGTCATGATGTTGCCGGTTTTAGCAACGGAAGGATCGATGGCAGCAATGAATGTGGATTGGAAGAGCTTGTTGCCATAGAAGAAAACGTCGTTGGCGAACCAGGATCCGGCAGTGGCAATGAGGCGGGGAGTGAAGTACTTGAATATCAGCTTCAAGGATTGGACATCATATCCAGTGACCTTGGCCCTCTTCTTCGCTGCATTTAGTTGCTTGGATGCGAGAGGCATCTTGTAGGCACGGTAGTAGACGAGCCAGAGAGTACCGATTGCTGGAATGGCGAAAGAGACACGGAATGTCCATTGAGCAGAGACCAGAGAATATGGCGGCTTCCCACTGTGGTGGAAGATGAGGAGAAGGACGATCAGGATGGCCTGGTTAAAGAATTGACCCCAACCTTGCATTAAGAAGGCCATGGTCACTTTACGTCCACGGTGGAGACGGTCCTCCCTCGTCGAGATTTTGCCAGATCCGGTGGCGTTCTCCATGGCGGCGGTAGCAGTCATGGGGTATTCTCCACCAACACCGATGCTGTAGAACATCAAGGAGAGAGTGTAGCAGATGACCCATCCGTTCAGGGAGACACCCCACGAAGCAGTGAGCATGAGAAGACCGCCAAACATAATCAAGGCGTCTTGAATTAGACCCCATCGACGACCGATCCTGTGGGAAGTTAGCTTACCCTTGCGTAGAGGAATGGGCTCCATACGAATCACCAATAAAACCAACGAGGACTTGACCAATGATGATACCAACGATTTCAAGGTAAGTGACCGCAAAGGTCCACTGCTTGTTGCAGACCTTGTAGGTCTTCCAGCATTGCGGCCAGACCGCAGAGAAAAGTGGCGTCAAGTTACCGATGGAGAAAAGAACGTATCTATGCGGAGAACATTAGCTGCTAGAACAGTTCAAATTAGGGAATTACATACCCCTCGAGACCCAAACCTGCCCCAGGCAGGACGGCGTTCTTAAAATACCAGGAAATTGGGCTCAATGGATCCTGCTTGATCATTGACCAGATGGTACCCAGTTCCTTCTTTGCTTCGGCATTATCGACGGCGGTGTTAAACTTCATCTGCTGGCCAAAGGGAAGATCGGCCCAGTAGACGCCCTCGGGGGTGTAGAGGTCGTCTGGGAATAGAATCTTGTCGAAGATTCGAGCCACCTCGCCCTCTGAGGGCCCCGCTGCAGGGAAGTCGGCAGGGAGGTGGGCGTGGTCATCTCCCGTTTCTGGGCCGTGAGGACTGCTCACCATGCCCAAGTTGGTTGGGTCATGGTGCTTGTGGTGCTCGAGGCCATCTGACATCTTGTCGACTGCTGAAGGAAATCTGCCGCAGCAGGTCTAGGGGATCTGGCGGAGGGGAGTGCTGATCTGAAGAAGCAAGACAGCAGGAGGGTTCCGAGAGCCTAGGTGAGGTCTCTATATAGCTGTACGTGGTGTGGGCACTAAGTCCATACTAGGACGGGGGGGTTGATACAAGGCAGCGTCTCTTCCGGGGCGGTCTCTTTGAGCTTGTGCAAAAAGTCAGTTATTTGTGGGCTGGCAAGACCAATGCACGCAGTTCCCAATGTGAGGGGTCCGCTCTATGTGGGGTAAGAAATGGGGAATGGATCTGGAAGTTGCATGCTCCCTCCACGCTGGGTTTCACACGAGTGGATGGCACTTACTGGTGGCCACGGGAGAGAATTGACGGGCAGCATGAAATTTTCGAGGCTTTTGAGTTTTGACACATAGTGGGGAGTTTTGGTGGATAACGGATCATACCACCGTAGGTTGAGGACGCTTGCCATATCTCTTGGCAGCGTGCATTTCTTGCACTTGCAGTCTTGCCCCCAGTAGGGCGGGCCCTGGTCGTGGACGTGTGGGCGCGGGACCGGGCTGGGTTGCTGCTTCTTGGCCGAATGTGGAAAGGTGGGGGCTGCATCAACCCTCTTAACCTCGATGCATGCACAGGGACAGCATCGATGCGAGTGACAACGGGCCCAGGACAGGGCCACAACTGCAGAGGCGCGGCAACCCTGCCGGGATCTGAATATCTGCTTCACGGGTGCTTTTTTTGGCCCAAAAAACAGCTCATCGTGGTGATCGCGTGCCCTCGCACCCGCTTCGGTTGTTTTAGCCGCTTCTCCTTGGCATCTGCTTGGCTCCTGCTGGGCTTCTTCTCTCCCGTCGCATTGCCGCGGTTCCGAGGTGCAAAAAAGGTTCGTGGACATACCTCTGTACTGGACAACGATACCACAGTATATCCCACGGCCACGAAAGCACCGGCGTCGAATGTGGCCATCATCCTCCCGGAGATGCGCGCAGCATGGCGTATATGGGACGGGAGCCAGGGAGCCCGCCCTCAGACTCGTAAAACCCCACTATCCAGCTCTGTAGCGGCGAGCCAGCGAAAAAGGGATAAGGGTTTGAAAGCGCTCCCGCGAGGCATACGAAAGTGCCACACCATATCGAATGTTGTCACCGTCGAGTGCGTGCTTCACTCTCTGCCGGAGAAGAGCATGCGCCTCCTTTGGTCCCTCGGACGACGCCACACCAGGACCAAGACGGACGTCCAATGCTGGCTCTTGAGATCATCCAGATAATGCAGCACCGCTCCGATTGCCAAGATCGGCTCCAAGTTCTCGGCGCGGGCTGAAGCTTTTTTCCAAGCCGCAGAAGCACGCCACGACGGCTGTCTGGCGAGGTTGGGCCGGCCGCGATAACGACATCAACCCGACGGTCCTGGTGGTCGTCCAAAGAACGAAGTTTGGATGTCGTCCAAGCAGCCAATCAGATCCTCAAGCGAGAGCACGTTTCGAGTTCTCTGGCTGCCACATCCCCCCGCGTCGTGTCAAGAATTTGCTCGGGAACTAACGGCCCCTGTCGTGACCGGCATCTGGACCCTTGCAAGCGCAGGGGCCTTGACCACACAGAGCGGGTCGTGCCCTCGCCGGAATGTTTTGCTTGAACGAGGAAACCCTCCAAACACCGTGAGATCACGACTCACAAGATGCGAGAGCCATCGCCAAGTTGTCTCTTGAGTCTTGATCAAGTGTGTCTGCCGGACGGGGTCGCCAAGAAACCAAGGTGTCGTTTCCCGCAGCCGCCTCAAAGCCTGGGTCGATGATTCAAAGCTTGTCTGAACCTCCAGAGTCCAGAGTCCAGCCTCTCTCCAAGCTGGAAAGGTTCAACGGTTCTCCTTCTGGTGCTTGACAGCTGGCTGTTGCTGCCTTACCAAGACCCTCTCTCCTAAGGCTCCAATGTCAACCCACGTGTTGTGTTCGCGGATGCCATACGTCGACGGATACATCACGGCTTTATACTGTATCGCAAATCTCCCCTCAAACAAACCCAATCCTCCCATTCCGGAGACATACTGGAATACCTCTAATCGACTTCCTCTCGGTCCCTCGGATCAAACGGCTCCATTATCGACGAATCAATAACGCGTTTCGCGTCCCAACAGCGGCAGCCCAGGCTTGCTGGTGGCACCTCTGGTGCATCTCTGGACCCACGACCAGGCTTTTGCATGGCGGACAAGGTAAAGTCAAGCAAGCCACCAGATCGCTGTGCATATGCCGGGCGATCCGCTTCCGCCACGAAAAAGCTTGGTTGCGGCGTTGGCGGACAGAAAAGACGCCAAGTTGTTCACCCACGTTCAGGTGTTCTTGGCGCTGAGTGGTTAAATGGACGACTTCAGAAGGTTTGAAGAATGCTTGTGCCCTTGACCATACCTTGGACCGACGCATCGGATGAGATCCGATGTGAGGTTCGTCCGATATAGAGGATGTGTTTAATTTGGTTATTTGCACTTTTCATTTGGGATGAATCGGATGATGCGTCGCTTGATTTGGCTGGGTGGGAGGCTGAGGATGGATCTGGAAGGGTTGCGGCGATGGGAGCTTCTACAAGTGGAAGGAATCTTCATCAATATTCAAGTGAATAGTTGTATTATCGATGCTTCCTACTACGGGGATAGTGCACTGGGTCCAGCCAGTGAGGCCAGGAACCAGAGATTCGGAGTTGACGATGCTTCACAAATGTTTGTTACTGTGATCCCAAGAAGAGAAGGAAAGCAGCATAGAAACTAGGAAGGTAAGATCAATGTGAAACCAAACTGTTTTGACGTCCTAAGCAATGGTTTCTCAATTTTTAGAAAAGGAGAGGAGTTCAGGCTGGGTCACATGACTGCAACTCACGGTGATTCCTGCTAGTGTTCATTAAAAAGAAAGGGTGGCTTCGCAGGGATAATCACACTTCTCGATATGTTCGGCTTCTAGGGAGCAATATACAGCTCTTAAAGACCAAAAAATTAAAAGTTCGTGTTTTCGAGGTTTTTGAGATCGATCATGTGACAGCGCGCGTCAAGGACTTTGCCGAGACTCGCGTCAAAAACCACGTCAACTGCGGCGTCCTCCTCCAACCTTACGGACACAACAATGTGGACAGCGCTTCTGCATCATTGAGCGGTTACTCCTTGTCCTACCTCGCCCTGCTGCCCGCTTGCGCAGATTCCGCTGCCATCAACTGCCCAGTTCTCGAATCAACCATCAAGGCAGCACCGAGGCAGCACTCCACCTTATCTCCCTCCTCGATGTCTGAGACACTCTCCGCTGCGATTGTGATTGGATGACTGCAATCATCTGCACCAGCAAGCAATGTTCCGCAACCCCCGCGAGAACGCCATCCCCTCCTCAAGTCCCGTTCCACCATCAACAGGCCGAGCCCCCACGCCACCGAACGGCACCTCTACCCCGCGGACCCTCCCACCCTCCACATCCGCAATGTCGACGAAACCTCTGACCCCTCGTCCGCACTCGAAGAGTAATGTGCCGGCTGTGAGTAGGAGTACTGGCGCGAAGAAGGCTGCATCTGCGAATACGAAGACTTCTGCAAAGACGCCAGCCAAGAACAATGCTAGTATCTTGAATTTCTTCAAGAAAGTCGATACGCCGGTAAAGGAGAAGGATGACTCGATCTTCATGTCTCAAAGTGGAGGGTCGGGAAACAATGGCTTCTTGCAACGACAAAAGGAAAGAGTGGAGAGCCCGGGCTTTGATGCGGGAGAGCTAGGGTTGGAAGAGGATTTGGATTTATATGGAGACGGGGTGGATGGCAGGTTCAATGAGAGTGCTGGGAGTGTGAAGCGGAGGAAGACGAGCACTTTGGATGATATGGAGATTGCGGATAGTGAGGCGGAGGAGAGTCAGTTGTCGATGTTTGGCCCGGAAGTGGAGGTTGTGGATATGACTGATGAGGCGGAGGAAGAACGGGCTTGCACGCCACCTCCACCTCCTCCGCAGCCACAGGTCAAGGTCAATACAAAGAAGAAACGGAGGACGGGTCCATTTCTATCGGATTCGGATTCGGACGATTACGTCGACTCGCAACCTGTTCAGCAAGAGGCTGTACTGGTAGAGAAAAGAGAGCTTAGAGCGAGGGTGTCGAAGCAGACTGAGGATGAGAATATGTTGATTGAAACGGAACCGATTGATCAAGAGGAGATACATGAGAATAAGCCTGTGGTTCCGGAGGTTGAGTCTGTGGTGCCGTTGGAGAAGATAGTGTGGAAACGACGGAAGAGGGTCCCTGTTGCTGAGGCGCAGGCGAAATGGGAGGCTCTTCAACCGAAGTCAAATTCGAATAGCAGTGCAGAGTCATCAGGCAACGAGGAGAAAGCTACACCACCTCCCGTTATTCCGGCCTTGAAGAAAGAGGACACGAGTGTCGATGAATGGGGCAAGTTTGAGGATATCGATGATTTCCCGGATGATATCGATGAATTTGAGGATGGAGAAGAAGGAATCGAGAGGAAATGGATGGAGGAGCAAGCCAGGCTGGAAGCTGCAGAAGCAGAGGATGGCGAGGCTTTCAATATGCTCGATAATGATCCTCAGCTGCAGCTTCCAGACGACGAAATGACTGCAACATGTCCTATCTGCAATGCCAGCCTCGATGGGGTCACTGCTGAGGACGCTACTCGACATGTCAACGGATGTCTAGATGGTAGCCCTATACCATTACCGACCCGTGTCAAGCCAGAGCCTGCAGAAAACAGGTTTATGCCTTCAGAAGCCAAAAACCGCTTTGCGCGGAAAGCTGCAATCGCCAGACCGGGCCAGGCAAACCCATTCCAGCTCGGATCTGCTGACGCTGCTCCCTCATCAGCGTTCTCCAAACTCATGTCTGGACATGCTGAAGACGCTGCGTGGGTGAGTGCTGCTGCTTCAGAGCAAGCATCAAGGGGAAAACCAGCATATCAGAGGACTTGTCCGTTCTACAAGATCATGCCTGGTTTCTTCATTTGCGTGGATGCATTCAGATATGGTGCTGTGCAAGGTTGCAATGCGTATTTCTTGAGCCACTTTCATAGTGATCACTATGTTGGGTTGACCGCTTCGTGGTGTCATGGTCCGATTTATTGCAGCAAGGTCACGGCGAATCTGGTTAAGCAGCAGCTACGAGTTGATCCGAAATATGTTGTCCCTCTGGAGTTCGAGGATCGATTCGAGGTGCCTGGAACTCAAGGAGTTGCGGTTACCATGATTCCCGCGAACCATTGTCCAGGCAGCTCTCTCTTCCTGTTTGAGAAAGTGGTGGGAAAGGGGGCGAGTCCGAGAATGCAAAGGGTGTTGCATTGTGGAGACTTCCGCGCATGTCCAGCGCATATCGCCCATCCTCTTCTCATGCCAGACATCGTATGCTCGATTACTGGCAAGACCAAACAGCAGAAAATCGACGTCTGCTACCTGGACACCACGTACCTAAACCCACGCTACGCCTTCCCCTCACAAGAAGAAGTCATTAAAGCCTGCGCAGACATGTGCGTGTCTCTCAAGAAAGAACGTGCAGAGGAAAGCGATGCCTGGGAGGTCATCAAGCGCGAGCGAGCGGGTCAAGGAATGACCAAGTTCGTCAACGCCGGTATCAAGCCCGAAGACGACAGTATCGCCATGTCTCTGTCTGCCACCGCAAAACGTCGCGGTCGCCTCCTCGTCGTCTGCGGAACGTACAGTATTGGGAAAGAGCGCATCTGTCTCGGCATTGCGCGAGCGCTGGACTGCAAGATCTGGGCGCCGCCAGGCAAGATGAGGATTTGCGCTGCATTGGAGGATGAGGAGCTAATGGGTCGCATGACGGATGATCCGAAGGAGGCGCAGATCCATATGCAGATGCTTATGGAGATCCGCGCTGAGACGCTGCAGGAGTATCTGGATAGTTACAAGCCGCACTTCTCGCGGATTGTGGGGTTTAGACCAAGTGGGTGGAATTATAAACCGCCCAACTCCAGGTATGTTCTCCCACTTCCCTCGCCCCATTCCTTCCCTAGGTTCAATCTCAGTTAACACGTACTATGTAGATTCACCGACTCCCCCTCCATCCAAACCATCCTCCACAGCGTGAACTGGAAATCCTCGTACTCAATGGCAGAGCTGGTTCCCCAGCGCGGCAGTACTCGCGAAGCATCCTGCTTCGGCGTCCCCTATTCAGAGCATTCGAGTTTCAGGGAACTGACCATGTTTGTCTGTGCGCTGCGGATCGAGAAGGTGGTGCCGACGGTCAATGTGGGGAGTGCGGCGACGAGGGCCAGGATGAAGAGTTGGATTGAGAGGTGGATGGCGGAACGGCGGAAGGGCGGTGTTGTTAGGGTTCATGATGGGCAGGGGGAGAGGGAGGAGGGGGTTGTTAGGTGGTAGGTTTGTATTTTGATAGGGATGGGATGTGTATGGTGTTTTGGAATCGCAGAGTTGCATTAGCTGAATTGGAGCATGGGAGCTATGAGTAACAATTTCTTGGGTTTCAATCCTCCGTCTTTTGGGTGGTTCATGAAGTTGTGCGTCTGCAACCGCTCTCTTTCTTACTATTGATTATAGCCTCGCTTTTCGTTGGAGGGTGATGTTTGAGGAGTTTTTAACTTGTTGGCCAAAACGTTTTGACTTCGGAGTTTGAGAGGCGCTACGGAGCTTGAGGATATCCTCAATATCTCCTCGCATAGTAGGTGTTCATCCTCCGAAATTGATTACCTTTGAAAAAGTGGATCATCCAGGATACTTGATGCTCGAAAATTGAGGGGACGAGTTAACTGTTCTCACGTGACCTACCACATTACCCCTAAATCGAAGTCAAACGGGCAAGGAGCTCTCAAAAGCGGCTCTCTGGGGATAGCTTAGCTGCTGCGATTTTCTTGGTGAATGGACTCTCTTTTCGGGTGCTGTGGTATGGGGAGCAATATTGGGATTCGGAGATGAAAGGATAAGCTTTCAGCTAGCTCTTCTTCGCTTTCCAACTCGCAACCCTCACCCTACTTATCCTATCATCATCCGTCTCCTTCCACCTTTATACCCGAATCAAAGGACGGAAATATTCTGATTCCTGAACTGATTTCACTTCTACGCAAATCTTTATTCCTCAGACACTTTCGCCCGCAAAATTACTTTAAGTGATGATGTATCACACGGCTTGTTGCAGATGTTGGAAATGTAATCAAGGGAGGGAATCAGTAAATTGTTCTGCCTGCTGTTTGATACAGCGCGGAATATCAGTTGTTAATCTCTCCTGGAATCCTGAGAATCAAACAGTCAGGAAGGAATTCTTCTAGAAATACAGAACGCGATTAAGGAAAACTCATCTCCAATGTCCTACCCCTACTCACAAAAAGGGGGGGAATGTAATTACTCAAACATCCGTGGATTCCAAAAATCATCTGTTTGACTCCAATTCCCGCGCAGCTTACACTTGTAAATAAACAGTTCAAAGGGAAGCCACCCTTTTGCCTTCTGCAAATACCGATCAATACTCGACTCATACCGCTCCTGATCCTCGTCCATACCCTCTACATCCAAATACCGCTTGCAGTACGCCGCGAAATCGCCGCAGTGGGTAGGCGCCGTGGTGGGGCGGGGATGGAAGCCGCGGCCCCGCTCGTGGAGATCCGCGATATAGCTGTAGACCAGCCTATCCTGCGCGTCTCGCGGCAAGCATGAGAGGCCGACCTGGTACGCACGGTGGAACGCGACGAAGGACCCGGGGAAGCCGCGGTCGCATGCTACCGCGAAGGAACGCAGGGCCGCGTCCTCGGTCCGCTCGTCGCGGAGTCGCTGGCTCGCGGTGCGGAACGGACGCCACCAGAGGGCGAGGCCGCTGAGGCCGTTGCTCGCGTTGACGTGCTTTTCGCGGGTTGGAGAGCACGGCAGCGAGGCGGTGTTGCAGAGGGTCGTGGAGTAGAGGGCGTGGGCTGTTTGCTTGTGGGTTGCGTCCTTGTGCGGCACGTCGATCAAGCACCGGAAATCATTCCCTACGAACAGCGCGAGCTCGCTGACCGGGCGGTCTTGGAGGCCCTTGAGGAGCGCCTCTTCGGGTTTCACCCATGCTGAGAACAGGAACGTGGTCTCCCCGATCGAGCGGAATGCCGCTGGGCTGTCGACCACCCGGCATCCGTGGTTCTCGAACATGGCTTTCCATTCGGGTAACATGTTGGGGTCCTGCACGACGATGTTGGCGAGGAGGGAGGGCGGGCGGTGGCTAGTTGAGCGCAGATCTGCGAGAAGGCGAGGAATTGTTGTAGGTCGCGCTGTTGGCCTTTCCCGGAGAAGCCTGGCTTGCCTGCGACGCCGAGAAGGACGGCGTTGCTGATAGGTGAGTCTTTGCGGTCTTCGATTATTCGTGCTACGATGCTGGCGAGCTGGGAGGGGTACCGGCTTGAGAGCCAGGCAGCCTTGTTGTCAAGGAGGAGTTGCTCTGTTTCAGGTAGTGCTTGCAATTCGAGGGTGGTGGTAGGACTGGGTGTTTTGGTCTCCAGGAAAGGATAGATTGTCAGCGGGGGGTTTTTCTGAGGCGAGGATTCCGCGGTTTTGTTGTTTGTGCCTTTTGATTGAGAAGCAATATCCGATTGCGTGCCAGGTGATTGAGTGTTGACCAATTGAATATCGTCCGAGTTCGATTGAGTACTGGAGGATCGAGCATTTTCCAATTGAGGAGGTTCCGATTGAGTATCATCTGACGGAAGGTCTCCCAATTGATCGTCTCTTCCAGGAACAGCCTCCTCTGCCCTTTTCCTTTTGGAATGTCGAATGATATAAAGTACGAGATAAGTGAGACCTTGAAACAAAATGTATAGATAAACGAACACCACAGCAATAGATACGACGCAATTGCAAGTCATGATTTAAAACAATGTAAAAGGTCGAACTATGTATAAATTTTCATTAATCAAGATGATGGCACTCGGTTTCGTCGTCGATTGTATTAAACGTATTGGATTTGAAAGAAAAGATTGACTTTGGAAATGAGAATGTTTGGCATTTGATTGTGCAGCTCTGCAATAGAAAGATTATTCAAGTGGAGTAACAAAGACTGGAAGTGGAGTGGCTGGATGCTTTTGGCCATCGCATCCTGATTCAGCTGAAGGCGGACACGACGGCTGTTCCACTTCAAAACTTCGAGACTTTCAGACACTGCCTGACTCCAAAGCGACAGAACTACGTGTGTAAGATTGCTTGCTGTTGAATCAAGAGTCATGTCAAATTGGAAGGGAGGTATGTTTTTGGGGGGAGGGGTTGTGTCTCGGAAGTGTTCGTGCTCTGGGGTTGAAAATTAAGCGAGGTTTCCCAATCCGGCTGGGTGGACAAAGGGGCTTTTGATGGTGATGGTACACAGGATAAAAAGTGCGAGAGCGGCGGGAGTATCGAACATGAAGATCCCGATCAGTTGATGAATAGCAGAGAAGAAGTGGAATGGAAAAATTGAGATAACGTTTGAATTTGTGCCGGTCCCCCTTTACTGTTAAACGTCAGCGTGGGCTGAATTGTCAGAGGTAAGCTTTCTTGGGGATTGAGAAAGTCTATACATACCTCCAAATTAATCTTGAGACAAATCCACTCATCTCGTGAAAGCCGGTGATCAATATTCAATATTTGAAAATGACCGAATCTGCTTTCGTGCCCAAGGGCGAGTCGAGGGCTCAACCCTGGAGACCGAGAAGCGAATATTTGAAAATCCCAGCCTTTACCCCTTCAGACAATAGTGAGGACAAATAGATTTCCATCTTTGGTCTTCTCAAATGGAATCCCAGAGCTTGCAGCATTTTCGCTGGTAGTTTGCAGTGCTTTCTCCAGTAGCTTTGTTCCTGCCGGACGAGTTTCAAACATTCCGCAGCGTCTGAATTCGCCAGTTCTTCGTCCAGTCTCCAGCAGCAGCAGCCCAGTATATTCCATTCGTTTGAGAAGCCAAGCTCGCGCCTCCAATAGAGACAATATAGGCTGTATTCCGAACAGAGGAAGACAGTAAACCTCCTCAAGCGGCAGTTCCTCGTCCGTGTCAAAGTATGCTGTTATTTTTATGGTGAACATGTCTCTAATCCGCCTGTCGTGTTGACTAATGCGACTCCGTTTAGGGTCGAATGGGACACCGAGAAGACCTTTCGTGATCTTACCCCGTACTTTGAGGAAACCGTCCGTGATCTGGCCAAGGGGCTCATGGGTCGGAGTTGTTCCGTAATCTAGAAGCTCAATAAGAGTCTCGCACCATTTTTTAAGTTTGGACATATAAGGATAGACGTCGTCGATCCGACTATGCGCTGATATCCACGATCAGCTAGGTGCCATGAAGCCCCCGTTTCTGTCACCATCTTCCACTTTTGCAGGCACTTTACAACGCCACAGAAGCTGAGACAGCAGGTCATCGCTCCAAAATCCAGCTACATATTCTTGATTCCCGAGGTGGCTTTGAACAGATCTTGCAATACCCGAAAGCGCAATAAGTCTGTCAGTCCCAATACTCAGATCCATGGTTGGGTAGTGTTTAATAATATTTGCCCAAAATTTCATGGTGGTAGGTGTCGAATGGGCGTCTAATCTTGCCCACGCCGCCTTGAGAGGATAGTGATAATAATCGTTGTAACCCAGGAGAAGGGCAGAACGTCTTGGCCACCTCTCAGAACACTGTGCCATGCAGCATTCAAATATTACCTGGTTGCGACAGAAGTGCAATGTTCGAGGAGACATGATTCGCTCTTGCAGAACCCATGCTCGTTTGTTAAGTGCCGCATTGGTGAGTTCAGTCCATTCTTCGAACCCTCGATGAATGCAATAAGCCTGGCTCTTGACAAGTGCTGGTGTTGCTTGACAAGCTTTCGCCGAAAGTAAAAGAGGTTTGACGGTAAGAGGGTCTCTGTCGACATACAAGCCGTCATAGCTCCCACCACTTGCTTGAGTCGCAGAAAGATTACAGTACGCAAACTTGTACACATCCCCCATCCGAGCGGATTCGGATCGCCAGTCTTGGGGCGAGTCTTGTATAATGCAGAGAGAATCTATCCAAAGATACCTGATACCTAGTCTCCGGGTGATTTCGATGGCATCTCTGAAGGTTTTGCTAAGATGTTGTAGCGGTATTTGTCGCGTCATTTCTCGAATGTTGAGTGTCGTTAAAGTAAAAAGAATCTGCGTCCCCCACCTGTGGCTGAGGGTCAAATAATTGATGGGATCCAGGCCGGATTCTGGTTGAAATAGTCTGACTCGTGACGACTTGCCAGATACGCCCACATCCACTAATCGGGTGGGATTCCAATTCGATCTTGACTCGTCCCATTTGTTGCAGGGAACATGGTACCGAGAGTTCGGTTTTTACACATTGTTATCCATGACTTCATTAATTGAACACAATTCTCGGAGTTTGTCGATGGCGAAACATCGTCGATGTTATATAACGCCGCCTCCATTTTTTTGACTATAGCGGACACTCGGGAAAAGTCAGTCACGATGTTCAAGCGCAGAGATCTGCCAACATTGGTGTGGTTGGGGAACCTTTTAAGGAGAAGCCGAGAATCACTTCCCGGACCCAGGGAATGGGAGTCCAGTAGAGTAACACTCGATGGACAAGCATCTTAAACCCCGATTAAACCGCAGCAACTCACCTTTGGTCAACCCAAACACAACCAAATCGTGGCCATATTTTGTTTTTTGTGTGTCCCACCAGTCTACTCCCGCCAATTGCCGTCACATATGATAAATGTTAACCTCTTTCCAGAATCCGGCAAATTACCACCACTTGGTCCCGCTCCGGACAGGAAACGAGTCTTTTCCCATCGCCATCTCACTTCAGCCCTCCCCAGATCATGGCGAACTTGCAGATGGCTTTCTGTCTGTCGCAAAAATTCAAAGTGGTCAGGCTTTGCTTCCCAAAGGAGGACGCATAGATGACATGGCAAGCTCTTCGAAGCAAAAAGAGAAGCAATACTATCGCTGTGAAGAGCCAGAGTCTCTGGGGGCATGCGGGAAGAAGGTGAGGCTAGCCTCCCCTTGATGGGCGTGGAGAAAATAGTCCGGCATTTCGAGCACAATGCATCCATGACCCACCAAGACTCAAAGGAAAAGGAATGAGTCCGAGGGGATAGCGCAAAGGGGAATGGAATGAATTGGAGGCAAGGCTTCCAAAAAGAGTGTCAAATTCAGGTGGTTGGAAGCCTTGATTGATTATCGATGGCTGGGAAGCCCCCTAATATAAGTACAAAATCCACTAGTCTCCCAGCCCCCTAGCTGCCTTAGGCACCATAAGCTTGGCACCTTTCAACAAAGAGCAAGATGGTTTCATAAAAACATTTCAGCCGCAAGTGGCGTGCATGACGGATATGCACAGCCACAGCCCACGCCACACAGCTCAGTCCAACATTGCTCTTGCCTGGACACTACTTATAATGATGTGTCTTTGGCAGCCGGAAAACTTGGCGAAAAGAGACGTAAACATTGCTTCAAGGTGAAAATATGGGGACTTTAATAACAGTGCGGCTACAAAATTTTGGACAACCAGCATTGTCGTATCGAATCACATGTCCTCGTAGGCATTGCATCACCACTTGTGAGCAAACTATGGGTATCCTCAATCAGGAGGTAAGTTCTCGCTTGAGAGCATCGTTGAGTCACCAAGTGAGAGAACAGCGCTTCGACGAGGAGTCAATACAGGTGGAGTTAAAAGTCACAGGTCACGTGTCGCATCACTACAGCCTTAAAAGCGGCGCCCCGCCCGAACTCGCTTACGCAAACCACACACAAGAAAGTCGATCGCGAACTTTTTCGAGTGCAAGACCAAGAACCTTCAACGTACGAAATCTACAACTTCAACTCAACGGAACTTGACGTTTCAGTCTCCGCCCAACTCGCGGTTAAATTGATTGATCCTCCTGTTCCCCAAAAACACAACCAACCAAAAGTGAGTTTCCCAAGCCTGCATCGTGTGTCAAGATTCAACAAGAGTTCCCGGGACGGCTGTACTGACAATCCTGCTTTGCAGCAATCAAAATGAAGCACCTCGCGGCATACCTTCTGCTCACCCTCGGCGGTAACTCTTCCCCTTCGGCAAAGGACATCAAGGGCGTGCTCGAGTCCGTCGGAATCGAAGCTGATGATGAGCGTCTCTCCACTCTGATCTCCGAGCTCAAGGGCAAGGACATCCAAGAGGTATGCGGATAGACACACAAGAGAGTAGGGGGTCAGGATGCTAATGCGCTGGATAGTTGATCACCGAGGGCTCAAGCAAGTTGGCATCCGTTCCTTCTGGTGGATCTGGTGGCGGTGCCGCAGCTGCGTCCGGCGGAGCTGCTACTGGTGGCGCCGCTGCTGAGGAAACAAAGGAAGAGCCTAAGGAAGAGGGTATGTTATCTACGATGATGGGACGTTACGAGGCGCTTTCTGATACAGTTTGCAGAGAAGGAAGAGTCCGACGAGGATATGGGTTTCGGTCTCTTCGACTAAGCGGTCAATTGACGTCGTCATGGATTCGTTGCTCACGATTTGCCAACACATACGATCAGGGCTTCTGGGAGGAGTTGTGCGGGCTTTGCCAATGGTTTGCATGTCATGGGGGTGAAAGGTCGAAATACACTGGTCTTCTCGTGAAGATATGTCAAACATGCAGATTAGGTGGTTTAATACAGACGTGCTTCTTCCACATTTCAGACTTCGTCTTGTAGTCCTGTGAACCAAAAATCCTGGAGATCTTCTCAATAAACTAGGAGCTGCGATATCAGGGAACAGCAGGGAGGGCCCATCAACCAATCACGTGACTATACAAAATGCCAGAAATTGGAAATCCCCCACGTCCATATACAGCGTTTCTGTGTAGGACTAGAAGAAATCCAACATCGCTGGGATCTAGATCCAAGGTCTTAGGGCCGCATTTCTGAGTGTCTCTCTTGCCATTAATTTTGCAGTTTCAAGCCCGGCCAAGAGGGCACAGAGCCCTACCCTCAAATTTTGCGCTAGTGACTAAGCAATCCAACGCCAAATCCAAAAGACCACAATCGGCATTTTGAACCTTCTGAACCAGCACCGACCTCACATTCGCCTTTCGACAAGCATCGAAAAGCGAATCCAAGCCAACCTACCGCAATCATGGCCGACGAATACGTAAGTATTAATTGACCTCCTCTTTCCCTGGTCTTCCTGCGATTAATGAGGGGCAAATTTGCTAACCAGCGACTTCAAAATTCTAGGACGCCGTCGAGGCTGCCGAAATCAAGAAGAAGAGAGCCTTCCGAAAGTTCTCCTACCGCGGAATCGACCTCGATCAGTACGCTGCCCTCCATACATACACACACAAGTCTTGAAGAATTCAAAGGGGAGCAAATAAGCTAACCCTATATTCCTCACCACAGACTCCTCGACCTGTCCTCCGACCAACTCCGTGATGTCGTCCACGCTCGTGCCCGTCGTCGGTTCAACCGCGGTCTCAAGCGCAAGCCCATGGGTTTGATCAAGAAGTTGCGCAAGGCCAAGCAGGAGGCGAAACCCAATGAGAAACCGGATCTCGTCAAGACGCATCTGCGAAACATGATCGTGGTCCCGGAGATGATTGGTAGCGTCATTGGTATCTACTCTGGCAAGGAGTTCAACCAGGTCGAAATCAAGCCTGAGATGGTTGGACACTACTTGGGAGAATTCTCGATCTCATAGTATGTATATCTGTTCCTAGGTTGTGCATATTGTTGCTAATGATTGTGCAGCCGACCTGTCAAGCACGGAAGACCTGGTATTGGTGCCACCCACTCGTCGCGTTTCATTCCTCTCAAGTAAATGCTGGTGTATACTGGGTTCTGATCAATGGCATTGGGGCATGGGGAGAGCATTGGGATTTGGCTTTGTGTGTAGCTGCAAGGAAATAACCTGCGGCAGATAACAATGAGATCTTTGCATCCTCCAACAGAAGGTTCTTTGCCGCGAGTGATATTACAAAGGATATCCAAATCTGGAAGATACAAAGGCGCGAGATTTCGGCCAAGTCGTTTCCAAGTGGGAGAATGATGTTACGGACAAATTGAAGAGCCGCGTGAAAGTTAAACATGGAGTCGAGGTACCACGCGATGCACAGCTTCAGACTCTACCTTCGATTGGGACTAATTTGAACATGGATGAAGATGGATTGAAGGCCCTCATGATGGGTCAGCTCTGGTGCTGGATAATATATGAAGGTAAGTTTTGCATGTGTTTTCTTTCCCGTACTGTAACCGAGGGCAATTTCCTTTGCAGTTGGTTCGAGCGCTCTCGCAAGAATTGTGATCTGCTTTGATGGCCATGCCAATGTCCCGGCTTCAGAAATAGAGTGGGTTGGTCAATACTTACTCTCATATGGATACGGTCGCCACTTTCTTCCCAGCAAAAGAGGAGAAGAGACTTACAAATTACGCTGTAGAAGATGGCACGCCAAGTATATCTGGTCGATTCGAAGCGGCAGAGGATGGGCAACCGGGCCAAGAGAACCACACGTATGCATCCCACAAGCCCCCATCAAAGACGGTTTTCAGCCCCGCAGATCTCAGGGATGAGATATATGATGGTATGCACAGAAGTAAATTACCCTTCTCTGACTATGCCACATCGTCATCGTGGGAGCTGGGTCCGGAACAATTACTAGGAGGAGTTTCTCAATGTACCATCTAGATTTGGAACAACTGGAAGTTGAATCTTCTTGAATGCATTGGGAGCAGCTGTAACAGTTTTCAATTGAATCCCTTCGTTAAACGTCTAACATTATGACCAGATCCAATGTTTCAAGAACGAAACGAGATTCAGTGCAACGATTGCCTCGACTGCATGGCTCGAGCTGTGCTGCACGCGGCTACACTTTTCTTAGATACGGAGCCCGATACATAACTTCCATCAATGGATCCGAGGATCTTTCAAATATTCGAGGAGAGAATCTGTGATCTTGTGAGATATATCCCCAGCCCGCTAATCAATGAACCGCATTTACTAACAAATGATAATCAGAGATGGAAGGCAGCCAACGCTTTCAAAAACCTCTGAAGGCTCGAACATGACCTAGCCCTCGGACAGCATGGAAAGGCTTCTCAGACGATTAAGGTCAAAGCCCTGGACAAGTTCAAAAATCTATTCCATCTTCTCGAGGTGCACGATGTAGGCGACGAGTTACACATTTTAATGAAACCTTTCAACCAACAGATCACGGTCATCAAAAAGATGATTCAAGGCAAAAAAAAGGTCGATCAACTGAATGAGGAGACGGACAAGCATAGACGGGCTATCTATTGGCTGGAACAAGCAGAGATGAAGGTAACTTCAGCATGAGTAAGTGCCCCGAAACCGAAAGCGGCGCGAAGGACGTTCTCAAACCAAGCCCTCATATGTCCCGCCCAATCCTGAGCGTTGTAGACAACATTCAGCACTTCCGTAAACACCGTTTTTGGACTTTTTCCATAATGTACACCCAATCGATTACCGTCACGTGACCGCACTAATACTCCGTATATCTTGTCACGAATATTCGTGCATTTCAGGGGATGAAACCTCTCGACCAACGTGCTCAGGGTACTTGCCCTCTTTTTCCATCGCGGGGTGTTTATCCCAGCGCCGTTTCTCTTGGACAATGACAGTTGCTTCGCTGTCAAGGACTTCGCGCCCCAAGGTGAAGTGTGTGAGCTAGCCGTGACGGTGGATCCATTTCAATGATTTGAAGATGGTGTCCAGGAACTCCATCCTAGTTGATTGAACAAGTTAATCTCTGCTTCATGCACATTTATGCTGGTAATGAGAAAGACAGCCCGAGTTTTGGGACAAGTGAAAAGGCGGGCTGGGCCGGGCTGTGTTTACTTGAAACTCTTTGGTCCATAGAATACCATAATACGTTTGCCAACCTTAAGCTCCTGTACGGTCCAGACTCGCATCCAGCATTCATTGCGGCAGAGGAGTCGGTACTGGCTCTACTGGCGCGGCGGTGCTGCACTGCTGTCTCTTCACCCCTGCCGGAAAAGGGTCCTTTTGTGAGTGTGGCTTTCCTGTTCCCTGCCCATCTGTGAGCATCACCAGGGTGGAAGGTCGAATGCCATCGCCAAATTTACGCCACGAAAACAGAAATCAGAAAAGCAAGCGTGACAAGCCAACATCCAAGATGCGCACCATTATATCAATCCCGGCACTCCCAGGCTTTCGATCTCTGTATACTTTGCACTACATATGTCGCCCCAAGCTTTCCATACTTGCTTCCTCAATACCCAAAAGACATGTCTCAGGAAAGGGCAACGGATCACCTCGAGGCTGCAGCCTCGCCCATGTTACCTCCTCCTCAGCGCAACGAAACAGTCCGTTACAGCCAGGAAGAATGGAATCGGCATCGACCCATTATCGAGGGCATGTATCCATTGAAGGGAATGTGCCTCAAAGCCATTATAGATTTCCTAAAGGAAGATCGGGGTTTCGTCATAAAGTAAAACGCCCTTTCTTGTCGATGCTAACATTGTCATGCAAGCAAGCGTTGATTGAATTAGTGAGAGACAACTGAAACGAAAAATCAAAGACTGGAAACTCGAGAAGAAGGTGAAAGGTGATGAGATGAAAATCATAGTTCAGAAGATGCAGCAGCGGGTTGGAAAGAATACGGCGTTTCGTGTGCGGGGTCAGGTCGTGGAACCAGCGAAGATCCAACGATGGCAAAAGAGGTCTGGAACTCTGGATACGCTTACGATGCCAAATTCTCTCCCCGGATCTTGTAAGTTCTGTGCCAACATAATCATTCCTAATGGCCTTATCTGACTTAGCTATAGCTGCTCCATCAACTCCTTCCGACATCAGTTACGATACGGTCCAAGAGATAAGGTCACCTTCACCGTACAAACGGAATATCGACTCACTCGGTGGTCTAATTTCCGAATTGGAGGGAAACCTACCTCCTTCATTTCCCCCACCACAGATTTTTGATCACATGCCTTCACCGCAAGGTGATCTCGGTACGGATATTGCCAGCATCTTGGTTGAGGATGGCAACGTATTTGAGGGGCAAACTCCAGCCCCTTTCACTGCTCCTCCTTCACCTGCGCCTTCCCAAATACATGAGGCCCATGGAGTCTCATCAGACTCCTCACAACATCCGATTCTGGGCGGGAATCTCGTTAGCAGCGAAAATGATATTCATGCACCGTTCAGTTCTAGCACTGCGGGTCTCGCAGGCCCCCAACCGATTAAGATACCCCAGAAGAAACACTACAAGCACAAGGAAGAGCTTGAGTTTACACGGAGATTGAATGACCTCCAATCGAATTACGGCTCAGATCATCCAGCCACGATAGATACCGCTTTGCGTCTAGCTCAAATATTTGAGCAACAAGGTAGATTACGATCTTCTGAAAGTCTCTGCAAGCTGTCCGCCGAACTCCTGCAAAAATCTGTCGGAGAGAACGATCCGAGGACTCTTTCGGCATTCAGCCAACTCGCGAGTATATTCATATTCCAAAGTCAATTCTCGAAGGCGAAAACGCTCCTCCAAGCTGTGCATTCGAGGGCATCCAAGGTTTTACATCCATCGCACCTAGTCATTTTATGCATTAAAACCACACTTGCAACGTGTCTTGGTACGATAGGCAACCACGTAGAAGCAGAGCAAATTGTCCGTGAGGTTATAGTACTTGGCAAAGAAACCCTACCTCCTGACCACGCTACTATGGTATCTGCCATGGGTACCCTTGAGAGACTACTAGAGGAGCAGGGCGAATATTTTGAAGCAGAGAAGATGCTAGTGGTACTTTACGAAACGCATGTACTAAATCGATATATTGAGGGTCAATTACAGACCCGCTCGAAGTTGAGCCTACTTTGGATATTAAAGGGAGAAGCCCAGAAAGGCATGGAAGCCTTGAGAGAGGTTCTTGCAGCACAGAAGCAACATTTCGGCCCAGAACATCAAGATACACTCTTAACGCAACAACGTTTTGCTGTAGCGCTACAGAGCATTGGTAGGTTCGTCGAGTCTGAAGAACTGTTTCGAGATATAGTCAATATATCTGCAAAAACAGTAGGCAGGAATCACTGGATGACCTTGGAGAATGAAGTGCGTTTGGCTGACTTGTTCAACATACGACGAAGATTCAGAGAAGCTGAGGAACTTCATAAGAAAGTGTTGAGAGTTTCTGAAAAGGTCTATGGCTGGGAATCCAGATTGACTTGCTTCTCTGCTTCCAGCCTCAGTGCCACGTACCATCGTCAAGGCCGTCTAGAAGAGGCTCATTCGACAAAAGAAAAGGCTTTCAGAGGCTACTTGCAAATACTTGGGCCCAACCACCGAAAAACCAGAGACTGTGAGCGGGGACTCATCTTACTAACTCAAGAAAGGGAACAGCTGCAAAGATCTCAAGACGGAGCGTCTATGAGCATGGATCCTCAATATGGAATCGTTGTCGAAGATGCTGGACTTGCCAGTTTTGGTATCTCGGGCAGCGGTTTGGGCGGAATTTTCCAACCTCGCGAAGGCTACGTGGGAATTCAGCATTAGATGCTTCCGTGTTTTCCGAGGTCGGGAAAGGATTTCAAAGGCTACGCAAAGTAGACGATACGATAGGTGTATGTTGTGACAGCTACCACGGACAACCATGCTGACAGAAGTAGCGGAGCATGACCTTCAGGGCGAGTCACTAGCTCGAGAAAATTACATCTACATGTCGCATCATTCCATCCTGTCCTCGGATCTTCACCCTCTCATGAAAACATCGAGAATTACTTCAGTACCAGTACAGATCACTTTCCTGAGCACTCGCTCTTCCCAGTGAACGGGCCGAGGAAGGATTGGTGCTTGGTTTCCTCAACAGTCTTTCGATTGCTCCATTTCCGGCTTGAAGTACGGTGGCTAAATTGTTGCTTGATTTGTGACGATGACAATGCAGGAGTACAATAACATCGGAGGGGCCTGACAATGGAACGGCTGACGGGGATTTCATTGGCGGAGCTTTTCAAGAAGTTGCGAGCTGCCACAAGCTGCCTGGTCAACTCTTTTAGCATTCAAACAACTTGTTTTCAATTCCAAGCAGTATTTCCACATTTGAAAAGACCACGCAAGCTCTCTGCGCTTCTGTGACACCATGGCAATAACCTCATCAAGCAGAGAAGCAGGAGGCGCATCCCTCCCCTCCGTTCCCTGCTTGATTTCTTGACTGCCCCTCCCTCTGTCTCTATTACGCAAATGCGATAATATTTCGCGATTGTCGCTCGACTTATGACTTGCGGAAGAAGGGAAGTGCCTGGACTACAAGATAAAAGGCCGTATTGGCTTTTGGGTAACACGCACAATAACTCTAAGCAATTTGAGATTCAGGGGCTTCATCCGCGGAAAAGGCGATGGGCGTGAAGGCTTACGAAAAACGAACAGCACACAATTATTTTATGAAGTCTTTATTGAACACACTAGAATCTATTAATACAATTCAGATTCCCACCACTCATCTCATCTCTCGATAATCGGGATCAGCGCCTCGCCATAACAGGCAGCAACCTCATGTCCCTCACTCCACCCAAACCAGTCAAGTTCGAACAACTCAACTCATCCTCACGTCCACTCCCGTCTCTGGCTCTAGGAAGCAGCGTAGACTGGAGTGAATATGCCATTTTTGTTTGTTGAAGAGAAAGGAAAAACATAGGAAAAGCAAAAGTACATGCAATGGGCAGAAGAGGAGCATTTTTTGTGAGGTGTAGTATAGCAGTAAGTCTTGGTGCGACTGGGGCCATATCGACCAGCACCGTCGAAGAATCGAAATCCCCGGCAAACTCCCAGTGGCTTTGTTGTTGGAAGCGCAGAATACGCAAAGAAACGAGTCTTGCATAAAAGCGGCCGAAGCAGAGCACTGCATATCAAACGCGACGACATCGAAACCCAAATATCCCTACACATCAAAACATCTTGTCCTTGATCGTCCCCCGTTGCGAGTCTCCTAACATGAAGGAATAAGGTTGTCGCGAAATGACTGAAGTGAAGACGAGGTGAGAAGACGACTGAATGAACCAATCTTCCTAATTGTCTCCGTAGTTGAGATTCTCAGTGTAGCCATTGTCATCACTCTTGAATTCGTTGTCATCATGGTATCTTGGTACACCGCCAACGAGTTGATCTGGCATCAAACCCTTCTCCTTGAGATACTTGATTGACTTCAAGATGGTCAAGTCATCCTTGGCGGTGTCGTTGAGAATGAGCCGTTGAGCGAGGGTCATCTTGCCACCATTGGCCTCCTTGTCTCTCAAGGCTTGATTGCGAACCTCCTGATCATGCACGAAGCGACACTTGCCCTTCTTACCACAAGTACCGCCAGTCGAGAAGTACTTGCAGTGTCGCTGAAGTTGTGCTTTTGGTGGAGGAGGCAGTCGGAGAGGAGCATGATTGCGAGACGACATTGCTTCGGGTTTGGAGCCTTCGGAGTCTGAGCCAGATGATTCGTCGGATTCTTCCTCGCTCACTTGACCACGTTCTTCGTCGCCCTCATCGCCATTCTCACGCTTGCGCTTGGAGCCTGACATGGCTTCTTGGACTTTTCGTTCTGCCTTCTCGAGCTCGAGTCTGAGCTTTTCGGCCTTGCGCTGCTGTCGCTCCAACTTGCTCTCGCCCTCTTCCTTCTTGATTAATTTGTCGCTTTGATCCTTCTTGGGCCGACCTTGCTCACGTCGTTGACGAAGCTCTTCCGCGGCAGCATCTCTACGAGCTTTCGTAGGGTAGCGACTTCTACGCTCTTGAAGCCAAGCATCCAAATCAGTTGGCAGCCTATCACATGTTAGCTAGAAGAACTAATCTCCCATTCTTGTCTGAACATACTGTGGGGTATCGGGACCAAGCAAAGTAACAAGACGAGCTTCTTCATCAACATCATCGATCTCATCTTCGCTGTCTTCGTGATCAACACCATTTGGTGTAAGACCGAGAGTGTTTGTGCGGCGCTTCTTCTTCTTTTTGCCACTTGATTCTGCACCTGCAGGCTTGTGGAAGTTTTCAGAAGAAGATCTCTGGCTGCCATTACTGTGCTGACGAGAATCGTTGCGACCACGAAACGAATTATTGTTGAAATCACCACGACCACCACCTCTGCCTCTGAAATTCATGTTTCCTCGACCCCTATGAGGGCCAGAGTTGTATGGATTGGGATCAAGTGGTGGACGCTGTCCGCCATTGAATGCCACTGGAGGGTAACCTTGATACGAAGGCTGAGTGAAGGGGGCAGGTGGGGTTTGATGGTTTGGATACTGTTGGGGATAGCCACTGCCCGCTTGAGCCATGTGACCACCGCCTCGATCGTTATCAAAACCCATACGAATTGGAGGACCCATGAGAGGTGCTTCATGACCGCCTCGGGCATTAGGAAAGCCACCACGACCCCGTGCATTATTATTGAAAGGTGGTCGATTCTGAGAAGGGCCTTGCCACTGTTGTGGAGGTCCACCCTGCGGCGGTTGCTGATGAGGGGGCACACTGTGTCCAAAAGAAGGTTGAGGAGTTTGGAACTGCTGCTGGGGTTGTTGCGGACCATACTGTGGCTGCTGACTGTATGCTTGCGGAGCGTAGTTGGGATGATAATTCTGCGCAGACAAAGGAGCGGGTTGAGCTGCATGCTGCATGGGAGGCTGTTGAGGGTGTTGCTGTTGAGGCGGACCATGATGTGGCGGGCCATGCTGCTGAAGGTGTTGACCGTTCTGCCATTGTGGACCGGAGTAGCCAGCACCTTGTTGACCTTGCGGGCCAGGGGCTTGAGGACCTATGTATGGTACAGAATTCTGCTGCCCATTAGGACCGTTGTAGACAGCGGGCGGACCCTGTTGCGGAGGACCTTGGTTATGCGGTGGGCCTTGAGGGTGTTGTGGATCGTAGCCGCCATTGGGTTGAGAAGGATTGTACGGTTGCTGGTAATCGGTACGACCTTGATTGCCACCGCGTCCGCCTCGGAGAGAACCACCACCGCGCTGAGCTTGCTGGTACTGTGGTTGCTGCTGCGTGTATCCGTACTGCGGATGTTGCTGTTGTTGGTTTGGAGGATTGCCGGGAGGCGGCGGTGGGGGAGGAGGGTAGTTGTACTGCTGGGTGCCCGCCATCGGACGAGCGACACCCTGCTCCTGCTGCTCCTGCTGCTGTCTCGGCTGTTGGGAAGGGGTAGGTTGGAGAGGGGGGTAGCCAGTGGTGAACTTTTGATGCAGATAGTAGCCTTTTGATGAGCAATGAGTGTTAATTGAAGCTTTGATGGAAATTCGAGCGCGAACACGAAGGAGAGAAGGAGGGAAAAGGTCAAGCTTGCCTTGCATATTGGGAACTAGCAACGTGCACGTTCCACCTTGCAGATACTAGAGCTTTTCAGGCCTAGACGCGTTGGTTCTGCCAATAGTTCTCTTTCTGTGATTCTCAAGGTTTGCAGAAGAAGTATCCACTTGGACGGTGGAGGGTGAGGTGTTCTAGTGTTGCAAAGCAATTGAGGTTGACGAGTATAAGATCGAAGAGTTTTCGAAATTCGAAAAGTGCGTCAAATTTATCGAAAGCACCAGATCATTGCAGGTGAATTCGAGTTCGAAGCGAAATCACGTGTAGGCACCTGCAGACACTTGTCGACGATACGGTTTCGCTTTTGAGGAGGTGTTGAGGTTGCAAGGAGAAGGAGAGAGGATATTTTGAAACGTCATCTCAGCTTGTTTTAGCTCGTCCCTGATCAGTCATCAAACGTCAGAACCAGAACCATCTCAAAGCCATTCTAGGGGCTTGCAACCGCAGAGTCATGTTTATCCTAGTAAGTCACGAGGAAATCGTCCTCTCTTCTTATGTCTGACAAACTACAGACCAGCATTGCGGACCTTGTCCAGATCCACCCAGAAGACTTCAACAAAGAAGCAAGCCAAGCAATAGAAGACAACATCAACGCCAAATACGCCAACAAAGTCATCCAGAAGATTGGCCTTTGTATCTGCCTCTACGACCTGCTCTCCGCATCCGAAGGGCTTATTGGACATGGGACTGGACTTGTTAATGTAAACGGTATGTCTGTAGCATGGTCCGGCATAGTTGAATCTGCAGCTGATCAGGTATGATAGTTGAATTCCGACTCATAGTCTTCCGACCTTTCAAGCATGAAGTAATGCTCGGCCGAATCAGCAGCGCCACAGAACACGGTATTCGAGTCCGCACCCAGTTCTTCGACCAGATCTTCATCCCATCCAGCAACTTGCCTGAAGGCTCAGAATTGTATGTCTTCTGGGCTGATCCTTTCTCTCTCGTCACATCATTCATTCCATCCTTTCCCACTCTCTCCTCACTCTATTTGATTTGCAAAGCCATGCTTACTGCTCTCCTCTCTTCAACCCCTGCCTTTCTTTCATCCCCGCTCTGCTTTCCCTTTACTTGTTTTCCCTCCACCTCCGTCCTGCTCCTTTTCTTTCTCCCATTCCTCCCCTCCCTTCCCCTCCCCCCCAAACCCACACCCCCCACTAACTCCCACAGTCTCCCAACAGAGCAAGTCTTCGTCTGGAACCTCGCCGACGGCCAAAGACTCTACTACGACAACCAAGAAACAGTGCGCTTCCGCATCGAAGAAGAGATCTGGACGGACCAATCACCGATGGGTCCCAAGGAGCGAGAAGACGCAGCGGGGACCGTGATGAGAGCTAGTGCGGGAAGTCCGTATGTGGTGAAGGGCAGCATGGCGGATGCGGGGCTGGGGCCTTGTTTGTGGTGGGATGGGGATGAGGAGTAGGTGTGCAGTATGACAGGAGCAGAGGGGAGGAAAGAGGAAGGGGAAGGATGGGAAGGAGAGGGAGTGGGAGTGCATTACTGGAGATTAGATGGATAATAGAATGGGTGGGCCCCATGCTGTGTCATTTCGCCATAGCAAAAGTCAGGTTTGGGTTACTGCCAAGGGATGAACAAAGGAACGAGTTCGTTCGAGTGTTTAAGAGGAGAGAGAGAGAGAGAGAGGGAGAGAGAACCCTCTAAAATCCATTGCTTCCCAAGAGCTCTACATTTGTGGTTTCTTGCTCCACAAAAGGTAGTAGGTATCCAATTCGCATACCCAATGCAAGAGGAACCCAGGAAATCATCTCTATGTGTCCCAAACCTATCGCCTTTCCCCCCAGAACACCGAGGAAATGCAACCCAACATGGCTCCTAGCCAAGATCATCCAGACCTATTTCCAAACCCCCAATCCAAATCCCTACGAAATCATGATAAGCGAGATCAGGAAATATACCCATTAGCAAACCCATTCAGCCCATGCGAGATTTTCGGGGATACGACCGCCTTCTCCAAAGCTTGCAGTACATCGGCCTTCAAATCTTCCGCATCCTCAATGCCGCAGCTAATCCGCACCAAATCATCAAAGACACCCACTGCCTCCCGCTGGTCCTTGGGAATACCTGCATGCGTCATGCTACTTGGGACCTCGACCAAGCTCTCTACACCACCCAGACTCTCCGCCAAGGTAAATATGGTGGTGGTCTGGCAGAATCGTTCAGCTGCGGCATGACCACCTTTGACGCGGAAAGAGAGCATGCCACCGCCCATACCATTTCTGTGTTGTTTTCTTGCGATACCTCTGTGTGGGTGGGAATCGAGACCAGGGTAGTTGACAGCAATGACATGCGGACTGCTTTCGAGTGCTTTTGCTACGGCTGTAGCATTAACTGTCGCCTCTTTCGCTCTCAAGTGCAGTGTCTTCAGGCCTCTATGCGCAAGCCAGCAATCGAACGGGCTGGGAATGGCACCAATTGCATTCTGCAGGAATCCCAATCTGTCCTTCATCGCATCTGAGTTGAAAGCCGCTACGCCCATCACCACATCTGAGTGGCCGTTGATGTATTTCGTAACCGAGTGGACGACGATATCGGCTCCGTGGTCGAGAGGGTTTTGCACATATGGAGACATGAAGGTGTTATCCACCACAACCAAAATACCGTGTTCATGTGCCTGCGTAGCTACAGCTCGGATATCCACAAGTCGTAAAGTCGGATTCGAAGGTGTCTCAATCCATACCAGCTTCGTCTCGGGCGTAATATGCTCTCTAATATCAACCTCGATTTCCGGTGTAAAAGTGACTTTCACCCCATGCGCCTTCGCCACCTGCGTGAAATACCGATGGGTCCCTCCATACACATCGCTCACGCTCACGACATGGCTTCCAGCCGCCAGGCTCTGCAGAATCACCGCCGTGGTGGCAGACCCAGATGCGAAGGAGAGAGCATACTTTGCATTTTCGAGTGCTGCAACTGCTCTCTCAAAGTTATCACGGTTCGGGTTCGAGGAGCGCGAGTATTCGTAGAGGCCTACGGGCTTTCCAACGGCGGTTTGTGCGAAGGTGGTCGAGAGGGAGATGGCTTCAATTACGGCACCGGTTGTGGGGTCATGAGGTGAGCCGGCGTGTACGGCAAGTGTGCCAAAGCCGTGGACGGGCGATGGAGCGCGGGGAGGGGTGTCAATTGGGTGGTCAGTGAGAGTCATTCTGAGGATATTAATGTGAGGAGGGGATGCGGGGTTGTGGCGGGCGAGGAGAGTTTGCTGAAAGTATCTCAATGGGGTTGGAAGTCGGGCGCAGGGCCGTAAACGCGGTTGAGGACAAATGGATATTAAAGAAGGCAGGAAAGGCGGGGTTGTAGGCTTTAAAGGATTGTATTGTGGTGTTGTCAAGAATAAGGTTCGGGCGATGATTGATAAGACATGGGCGGTGGTGACATGCAGGTTCGTTCTTTGCCAGCAACAAAGAAAAGCAAAGGCGAGCACGCAATCGGCAGAACTTTAAGGGCCCGTACCATACGAACAATTTAGTAATCGTATCTTTCCATGTTCCCAGGATGCAAAGTATGACTCCGTGATTCCTCACTGACAAATCCAAATCTGTGCCTCTCGTTCGTGTAACCTAAGTGAGTAAGACACGCAGATAGACGCTTTGCGAGATTCCCCCGGACCCGACGAAAATCACGTTAACGTTCTCACAACTTTATCCGAGGAATGCAGCCCCCCCCCAGACGCTCGCCAAGCAGCCCTTGGCGGTGAACAGAAAACATACTCCATACGACGCGAGCGGCATCGGATCTGAAACTGCCCGGCGCACTAGCCCCAATCAGGCCTGACATGGACCCTCATTGCCCCGACGTCAGAGCAACATTGAGAGAGGCTGTGAGAACCGCACATGGCCGGAGAGAATGGGAACTGTTCCTGGCGTATCTCGAGTATCACCATGCAGAACATGCTCCAGACACTGGCTCGTCCCATTCCTTGAGATCACTCGTTGCACGGCGACACAATGCCGCCCAGGAGGTCCCATAAGAAGAGCAAGGCAGGGTGTCAGCGCTGCAAGAACCGTACGTTGCCTGTTGCCTGTTGCCTGTTTCCTGTTTACTCACTCGGCTTTGCTGGACGAAGCACTTACTGACCCCTATTCTCCAGGAAAGATAAAGTGCGATGAAGGTTTATATCTCTGAACTTCCTCCGAGTTGGTTCAACCTGACTCCCTGCAGTACACCCTGTCTGCGGCAACTGCCATAAACATGGCGTTTCGTGCGACTTCGAAGGATCCCTCACTCCCTCAGAAAACACACCCGGTACACCTGGTGCCCCGACACCATCCTTTGTAAGGAACGATTCCGCCAGCCATGCCTCCTCCACTTCTACCCCACGATCCCCCTCCACCGCCCTTCCCTTCAACCAAAACCCCAGCCAAATGGTCCGAGCCAATTCCAACCACGCGTCCTCCCGGCTGCTTGAACTAAAGCTCATGCATCACTTCACAGCCATCACCTCGCAGACCTTCTCAGACACCCCAGAGCAAAAGTTGGCCTGGCAACTTGCCATCCCTTCCTTAGCCTACGACGAACAATGCCTCATGGATGCCATTCTCGCAGTCTCGGCTTTGCACCTGCGTGCCCTCCAGCCAGGCGATCAAGCCTTGATTCGCGCTTCACACGGATATATGGCCTCGGCATTAGCACAATACTCTTTACTCCTCAACAGAGGCGTCTCTGCCTTCAACGCTGAGGCTCTCTTCTCAACTTCTGCTCTGATAGCCTTCCAAGCATCTGCCTCGCGCCGCTTCGACGAAGACGGAGGCTACACCATCCCCCTGGCCTGGTTCCACTCCTTCCAAGGCGTAAAGACAGTAGTGATGGCAAGCTGGCAGTGGTTACGGACCTCAGATCGCATATACCCCATCATCAACAGCCAACCAGCCCTAGCACTCAACCTCGACCCGGAAAGAAAGTCCTTCTTTGCGCCACTATTGGAAGGAATGGAAGAACAGCTTGAAGCTTTGCCCGAGAGACAGAGAGCCGAGACCAGGCAAGCGTATGAGCACTCCGTGGCTTTCCTGAATTGGTCCCATCAACTTCCGGCCCGGAACCGCATCCTCGGTTTCGCAGCTACAGTCTCCCGACGATTCGTTGAGCTACTCGATCAACAAGATCCCCGGGCTCTAGTGATCGCTTCATGTTTCTTCGCCTTAACTAAAGTCGTCGACGACGTGTGGTGGCTGCAAGGTATCGCGAAGAAGGAAGTGAATGGGATTTGTAGTTTACTGCCGAGCTCGTGGTGGCCGAAGATGGAGTGGCCGCTGAGGATTGCGAATTTTGAGGGTCCGATGGATGAGCAGACTTGGGGAAAGAGCGGGGAGAGTGAGGTGGAGGTGAAGATTGAGCCGTGGATGGCGTGCGATGTGACGGATCATATTGATCTGCTGGCGCAGATTATGAATGAGCAAGTGCCTCCGGATTGAGGGGGCAGAACAGGGAGTACTTGAGATAATTGGGATAAAGGTCGGCGTTGAGGTTGATGAGCCGCGGCTCGATGGATCCCGTTAAGGAAAAAGAGTAATGAGGACAAGTGGGAACGGCGCGAAAGGAAAAGCTGGTCTGTAGAGGCTTGCAGTTTCAGGTACTAGGTTTTACCATTCTGCCAATGTGTTATATGTATGGGAGAGTGTTACGCAGGGGACGAGAAGTATCTCGTAGGTGCGGATACGATACGATATTTAAATTTATAACCTATATACCTCTCCTGCTTCAATATCACTCAGCACTAGAGCATCAATTTTGCTTCCGCACTCTTTCCGATATTTGCTCTTCCATTGGAAACCGTCATGGTTCGTTAACCTCAGATCTTTTAGAAGCAATTCAAGAGTATCATATCCTTCAACCCACGGTGTGCTCTGCTTCCGTGGTTCAAGGTCGCGGCAACTAGTCTAGTGGCCAACGGCTCCAACCGTCAAGTCCCATATCAAAGTCCAATTTCATCATATTGAAACATGAGAGCACGTCAAAAAATAAAGATTCCTTTTACTCAGTCAAAAAGGTAGCGAACTGGGACCGTAGTCTTCGGTCCCAACTCCAGCACCACTACCAAGCCGTACTCCCACTCCCTCTATAAAACCCTCCGGAATTCTTTCCTCTTACCTCCTTCTCTCCTTTCACAAATCGTCAAACCTTCAATCTCGTCAACCATCAAGATGAAGTTCTCCCTCTTTGCTCTAGCAGCAACTGCTGCAACCACCGTCTCCGCAGGCCGCGTCGGCAAAGCGACCTTCTTCTGGCAGAACGGCAACTATGGGTATTGCGGCGCCGTGAACCCTGTACGTCCTTGCTCCTAATTATTCCACTTCCAATTCCACCTTTTTTTTTTCAAGTTCAATAATGGAGCAATTGGCTGATAAATATCGCCTACGCAGGACTCTGCCTACCTCATCGCCGCCTCCCCCCACGCGGGCCTCACCTGCGGCCACACGGTGCAAATCACCAATGTCGGGGGCGGGATCAACAACCTCGGTGTGGGCAACTCTATTACTGCGACGGTGGTTGATAGGTAACATACGTCCATGCGTAAACCCAACCCTGCATTTGTTTCTCTTGCTGTCTTGCTAATCTTTTTGCTTGTTGGATAGATGTCCGCCGGAGGAGTGCCATCCTAATCATTTGGACCTGAGTGTTGGTGCGTTCCAGACGCTGACGAACGGGCAGCTGGATCCACCGGGGAGTGTTGAGATTGAGTGGCAGGTTTTGGGGGGTGGTGGGAGAGGGATTTATTGAGTGAAGGTTTGCAAGTTTCGAATCATTGGTCTTACAACCGTCGTCACTTAGACTTGAGAATTTTGTAACCTGTGGTTTGAATGAATCGTTGTAAGATGCAATCAAGGAGTCGTTGCCTCATCTTCTCTTCTCGTGGCTTTCCCTTCACTCACCCCACATCTCACTTAGTTTCTCAAACCGGGAAATCAGGGGTAGGAAAGGGAATGTGTGAAGTCATCCACTCTTCGTGTGTCAACTGCTGCACCTTCCTGCGCGATATGTCAGGAATTGCCTTGATTCTTACTATGCTTTATGCGTTCCTCTCTCGTTCCTCTTCGCTGGATGGACTTTGAAGCCAGGAAGAGGATTATGAAGCATCAGCTACATTAGAAGAGGAGAGTGTTGAGGTGTCGTGTGAGTAGCGCCCGGAACAAAGTGTGACGGGTGAGAATGAGAGGAGGAAGAGCGGATTGAGGGAGAGAGAGGTTCCTGCGTGAAGGTGGATGGAGTGTAGGCATAGGAGGGCATGGATGGCCTTGATGAATCACATCGTGCAAAAGCTTAAGCTGAACGGGTGTGGCGTCCTTTTGTGAATCGGTAAATATTCTAGAATTGCTTCGAGACAGGAGTGAGTGTATAAATGCCCCTCTCCTCTCCTACTCTACCCTCCCCGTTCTCTCCCTCAGCCAAACATCTTCCTCTACTGAAACATTTCGGAACAAACACAACTAAGAACAAAGCAATCCACAAACCAGACGCAAAACAGACAGACAAGAATGTGTTACTATTTCATAGTCTACTGCAAGGAGTGCAGAGAGAACATTCGACAATACAACGATAATTGCAACCTCTCCCATCACATTAACCATGCCCTTGAGATTCGGAAGAAGTATGTTGAGCGGGAGTGCCCAAGGCAGGATTGTCCGAAGTACAAGGAACGTCGGGAGTGACAAGGTGGGGATGAGGTCGTGGGGTTATGGGGACATGATGGGCACCAGAAGTAGGAGTGACTTGCTGGTTGGGGAAGGTGGAGGTGGATGAACGCTAGGAGACGTAGATAGGGGAATATATTCGTTGATTCTAACTCCGTGGGGTGAGAGGGATGGGGTAATGTGATTCATGCAAACTTGAACTGGGATATCTTCGTCATTCAGCACTTTCACCAGTGTGCGTGGTTTGACGACATCACGAGAGTTGAACGTGTCTTGAGCAAAGAATTGGGTTCTACTCGAAGGAAGCATGTAAATGAGAGCTGGATTTAGGTATATAAGATATATATTAGAAGATAAACCATTATCTTGTAATCTTCGGCTCGAGCTTAGGAATTATGTGTGATGTGGGGAGCCGGAGTATGGATCCGGATTTTGTGAATACCTCCTTGGACTTGACATAGAAAGTGTAAAATTCTGGCATACAAGCAGATTATTCTTGAGAGCAAGACATACCTGTGAATCAGTAAGATGAATGCAAGGGGTCCAGAGGCTATAAATGCCCCTTCTTCCGCAATTACTCTACTTATTGAACTTTGCAACTCTTTAGCTGCACTTCCGAACCCAGCAAAAGCCAAAACAGTAAAATACGGGGAGCCAGTAGCTGAACCATAGTATCGCTTAAGTTGAACCATATTATCAGTAGCGAGAATACCCTTGTATTTTCCATAATATGGTTCAACTTCCCTCACCAAAAACCACACTGTACTCACTATCTTTAATGATATATAGATACCAGTCCTCGTTCACACCCTCCATCCAACTCCGACCTCCTCCCGACGGCCCGCCAGGCATACTCCTAGCATATACTTTACTTTACTACTAAGAAGCAGTATATAAGTAAGTTAGAACACATCTTGCTTTATTATTATTATTACTCAAGCATATGCTCGGCAAATTAAACCCATATGCTTAGCATATACTTTACTTTACTACTAAGAAGCATACAAGCAAGCTAGAAATCACCCTACTTTATTACTATCCGTAATATATGCTCGGCATATGGAATCCATATGCCTAGCATATGCTAACCCTAACCCGTAGAGCCTTTACGCTTTAATATATCCCAATGCTGGGGGCTCTCACCGCCCCCCAACCCCCGGACTAACCCAGACCCTAACCCCTGACCCTAAGCCCCCTCGCAAGCTCGGGAGTAACCCGAACCTTCCTAGCCCGTATAGCTTATAGCCTATATATATGCAGAGCATAAGGAGAGCATATGCAGAGTATAAGGAAAGCATATGCCTAAAATATAATGGCCACAAAACCTATTCATTTGCTCGGCTAGCTGTCTCGCTTCCTTAAGCGATACTATGGTTCAGCTAAATAAACGAGCATATGCAGAGTTTGATAATATAGTTCAACTAAAACCCCAAATACGGGACAACAGAGATCAATATCCACAGAAAGCGAGGCAATGTGTTACTTGGTAGAAGTGTACTGCAAAATATGGAGTACCGACTCTTGCTTGAGCGTTGCGCACACCTCATATTGTAGAGGAATGCGACCTGTCCGGTCTTACTAGCCACGAATTGAAGAGGGAAGGAGTGTGTCGGGATGTGTGAGAAGTGTCTCCGGCCGGCAAAGCTTTCCGCGGAAGCACTCGAATTAAGGGAAGAGGGATTGTGGAATGATAAGACTTCATACCCTTTAGTATTGGGTAGAACTCCGGGATAGGAAGATAAATTGCTTAATCGATGAGCTTTTACAAATACCACTCCTGCCCCCTCGTTGATGTGATTCAAGAAAGTGAAAAGTGTTATATCATGTTATTTTACTCTCTCCTCCAAGTCCCCTTGTCCCGTCCGCGAAATCCCCCTCCACTTTGTTTTGGAAGAATATATGAGTCAAAGGATATGCTTTTGTGAATGACTTACCAGTGATATCCAAAAAAAAAAAACAAAAAAACAACAACAACAAGTGTATAAAATCCTCTCGCTTCTTTTGGCCTTCCCACGCACTCAGCTAGCCAACTTCATCCCTTGAACATTTAACAAACGCAAAAACCCAAGTAAGCCAGAGTAGATTCAAAGTCAAGTCCACCAGACAACAAGACCGCCATCTACCCACACAGCGGAGGAAAGAATATGTGTCGACGTCATATGCATTGCAAGGCGGAGGATGAGTGGGCTCGTGAATACCACGCAGAGTCTTTTGCATTGCCCTCGTATCCTCGGAGCCATCCTCCTCCAGAAGAACTTATACATGAGGAGCGAGTGTATGGGTTAAGAAGTGTGGAAATCGTTTGAAGGATCTGGAATCGTCGAAACGCCTTGAGTGGTGCGGGAAGTGTGAGAAGCCTCCGATTCATGGCCCAGTTCGGCAGTTAATTAACCACTGAAGCAGTGGCGATCCTGAGCTGAATCCTGAAAGAATACGACAGGAACTACCTACTGTGCGGGAAAGAGGAGTAACGGTGGAGAGGGGTGGATGTGGAGACAAGTAGAGAGGTTGAGATAAGGCGTTGATCTCAAGTTGTCTCTTCATTGGCGTGATTGGAGGGAAGTGAGACCGCGATACATGGAAATGTAATCTGGGATATCACTGCGTTCCAATACTTTTACCATCTTCCTCCAGGACCTTCTTGTCCTCCTGGCCCCCCTGGTCCGCCTCGTCCACGAAATCCCCCTCCACCTTGATTGCCTCCGGGTCCTCCACCTCCAGGGCCCTCAAAGCTACCTTGTGGGCCACCGAATCCACCCCCGCCATGATGCTCTCCAGGTCCTCCAAATCCACCTTGTTGACCTCCAAAGCCCCCGCCTCCATAATGTCTTTGTTCACCACCTGGCCCCCCAAATCCGCCACTGAATCCACCCCCACCTGGTCCACCATAATGTTGAGGTCCCCCTGGTCCGCCGAAACCTCCCTGGTGATGCTGCTGTTGATTTTCATGGTGTTGTAATTTGCCTAATAGACCGCGGAATCCGGGGTTTGAGGAGTTGTGTTGCTGTTGTGGAGGGCCATTCTAATGAATATTAGCAAGGAGAAAAGGCCGAGGGGGGACAAGAAAGACGTACATAATTCTGCTAAGGTGGGCCGTAATTTTGTTGTCTATAACCTTGTTGGTCATAGTTCTGCTGTTCGTAGCCCTGTTGTCCTTGGCCAGAATGGGTTTTCTTCTCGACTTGCTCTTCCACTTTGTGGATGATTTTGTCGATGAGCGTCATCTTGGCTCTCTGATCTGATGATATATGATAAAGGAACCGACGAAACCAAGATGAAAAGATTGGATAGGATAGAGAGTTGAAGTGATGATGCGTATTGATGAGATGTGCAAACCGGAAAAATAGAAAAGTCCTTGGATCTTCATCAACCTTTATGCATCCTCTGCCAAGGTGAATCGCAAATCTGGGAGGATGACCATGCCATTGCCCTACGTCAGGAGCCGCAATCCTCAGCCCTTGCCACGCAATGTCGTCGCGTTGCCAAGAGAAACTTAGATCTCGGTCCCGGTTCCTGGATCAAGAGCTATTTTCAGCGTCCACTTCGCTCCATTCTTCCCAAAATTGCATCTTAAGCGAACGGAAATAACAGAGTCAAATCCGCGATATAGACTCCACCACCCAATTCTTAATTATATCGTTAGATTTCCAGTTTAATTGATATGACAAATTGGGCTATTAGTTTGGCCCATATAGATCGCATGTTAGATATGGGTTGATTTTGAGCAACGATTGCCGGCCAGCAGACGAAAAAAAAACGCATATAAGTCGGGCGTACTTGGAGAACTCACTGCAATTTTAGCACCGTCAAGGCGATTGCCACTTCTCGCTAAACTTTCCCCTTTCGCCTCCACATCCTTGAAATTTCAACCTCACGTGCACTCTCCATCACCAACTCAACCCCAAAATCCAACATGTCAACATTCAGCTTCTCCTTCTCAGGAGATGACATAGAAGAAGACTCCCCAAATCCCACTGCCGAGATCGAGGAAAGAAAGCATGTCGCTGAGTCGGGCACCCTCCAACGCCCCTCGCCTTCAGTCTCATCAGCGTTCCCCATTTCCGGGCAGCCACTGCTACCACCCAAGTTATGCTCTCCCACCGATCTCTTAGCAACGCTACCGTCGAAAATTGCGTACAGTACGCTGAGAATTAAGCTCGATGACGGAAGCGAGGTGAAGATTCCCAGGAGGGAACTGTGGGATGTTAGGGTACAGCTTATGGCGGAAGATGAGGGCAGCGGGGAGGGCATGGTGGGGCTAGGCAAAGATGATGTGAAGACTGGAGTGTATGAAGGTGGGTTCAAGAGCTGGGAGAGTAGTGTCGATGTTGTGAGGGTTTTGGCTTCCCGGCCGGAGCATTGGGCGTTCGGAGGAAAGGTGTTGGAGCTCGGATGTGGGACTGCTTTGCCGACACTTGCAGTTTTGCAGTGGGTGTTGAAGATCAGAGATGAAGGTGCAGAGGGGAAAGGATTGAGTTTGGGACTGGCGGATTATAACTCGAGTGTGTTGCAGCTTGTTACGTTACCGAATTTGATGTTGTCTTGGGCACAAGTCACGAGGACGGAGGGATGGGAGGAGGAAGGGGAGCTGGAGATTGATGAGGATCTTATAGATGCTTTCCTGGCATCTCTAAGGAATGTGAACCTTACGCTGTCTTTCTTCTCTGGAGCTTGGGGCCCGGAGCTTGTCAGGTTGGTAGGAGAAAATATGAGGTCAGTCTCCAGCCAGATTACGATCATTGGCGCGGAAACGATATACTCACCGTTCGCTCTGAAATCCTTCGCGGAAACTCTTCTGGGTCTGATGGCTTCGATGGATGGGGAAAAAAAGACAGCCTTAGTGGCAGCAAAGAAGGTCTACTTTGGAGTTGGTGGATCGATGGAGGACTTCTGCGAGATGGTCAGAGCTAAAGGTGCTCTTGTTGGACAGATCAGAGAAGAATCTGATGGAGTGAGGAGAGCGGTGGTCGAGGTGAAAATGACTGGATCTTGAGGGTCTCGGATCAACCAATGGATGAAGTCGTATGCAAGGGGCTCCGACGGATATGCAAGAACATGCAAGGCTGTCAACGAGGCTTGAACAGAAGGCTGCAGATGCTTGTCGACGCCCGAAAGCCATGAGAGAAATTACAATTGTTGAGCAGACCACCGATACAGCTCAAGAAACGATCGTACTTGGTTTCAATCACCTCGATCACGGAAATGTCCTCGAGCACAGCCTCGCTCTGAACATGACGCAAGGCTGCCTTTCCCATCAACCAAAACACCAATAACAGTCCCTTTGTTTAGCCAGGGATCCTAGGAATTAAACGTGTTGGGCGTGCCAATCTTGGAGATGAGTGGCGGTTGTGCAATCTGGATGCTAAATGCAGTGTCGACTCTGAATCCTTTTTTAAGGTGAAGCACGTGGCCTTCTACGGCAAGCAGTTCAACACCTCTAGAAACTTAAAATTTCTCGTTACGAAATTATTCTTCACACCAAGGTTTCCAAGAAGACAGTGGGAACCCCAAAGAGGATGGTGAGTACAAATGCATCACGGTGTGTTCTCGCGAGTACACCCATCGCGTCAATTCAGCCCAATTACTTCTTCTCAAAATAAACTTTCACAAACTCTATCGTCTCCTAAAGACTTTCACAGACTAAGATGTCAAGCTTTCAAGAATATAACGATTATCAAATTCAATGTGCTAATTGGACGGCGCTTGAAGTGGCGGGACAACAATCGATCTATGCCGTCTGACCAAGCACTGTTTCGTCCAGTTACATTCTTCCCTTCTCTGGCAAGGATATCAATTATTAGTGACGATGGAAAGTTGTTGCCAATATGTGCTTCTCCTTTACTGCCTATGAATCAACTTTATTCTTCTTCCCCTTGGCCGGTTCTTTGGTAAAAGAGGTAGTCCCCCCTGAAGACCTGGTCTGAAAAGGGCAAGCTGACTAGCAAGGTCTGTTTCCCTATTTCGGCAGGAATTGCAGTCAGTATCATAATGTAACAATTAGCTTTGATACTAATTATAATTTTCAAGGAACTTTAGCACGGAAAATGGCTTATAAAAGGGAGAGTGACTCGTGAGCTTTGCGTTTTTGTTCCACGCTGTGCCTTTGCGCTGCTCGGTTTTCACTTTCAAAGCCTCCTTCGGCTCACCTTTGAAAGCCCTTCTTAATTTTCGTTGCACATCGCACAATGGCGACAAGCCAGCTCGGACCACAACCTCCCCCGGCTCACCTTTGAAAGTCTTTTTCAGTTCAGCTTTCATTGCACATTGCACCCCTGAAATCAGCCTTGGGACATTGAGTTTGGCCAATGTCGAGTCAATTTCACTTTCATCCTCAAGTGAATGGTTGTTTTCAACCTTTTGTTGCACATGGTCTCAATGTTCCAGAGTCTCCTGGTACAATGAGCTCTCATTTGAAATTTTCGCAGGCAATCCGGTTGCACATCGTGTACAGTTCATTGTACCAAATTCCTTTCGGAGATTGAGATTCATTCATTTCCATTTCCGCAATGCCAGAGATGAGCCTTATTCCAGCCCAGTCACGCCACGCTCATCACTTCGCCTTCTTCCCACCAGCTTTCTTCCACTCACTACCACGCTTGGCACCTCTTGTCCTCGGCTTTCCCTTCTTCTTTCCGCCGCCACTGCCACCTAACTTTAGATCTCGCGGTTTGCCACTCTTAGAGCTAGCCCTATATCCCTCGAACACGATGCTTTCTGGAGTTCTCATTGCACCGGCAGCTCCTTTCGCTCCTTCCACTTTTCTACCCTCGCTAGTTCCCCGTTCTTCCCCCCCGTCACCCCGTTTTCCAATTGTAGTCCCGTTCGCTCCACTCTTGAATTGCGCAGCTGCCGCTTTGCCAAGCAATTTGCTCGCACGACCTTTGAAAGAAGAGACCTCAGGGGCCACTCTCGGGTTGTAGCCACCGAGTTGAGTCTTCTGACCTGGCTTGGCGTTCTTCGAAGGACCCGTGCGTGATGCAGATGCGAGGGCAGTCTTACGGACTGCTTTGGCGCGGACAACACGCAAGACGCGGGGAAGCATGGGTGGGTACTTCTTCTCGTTGAAGAGGAGCGCTGCTTCTACCGCGTTTGGATCCTACATTTTGTTAGCTTGACAAGCATGTTTGATATCGAGGGAACTGACCTCGAACTGCACATAAGCAAATCCTTTTCCGACCCTCGTCTTTTCGTCTCGGACTACACGCACACTTTCAACAACCCCAGCTTTGCTGAATTGTCGCCACAGGCCTTCTTCGATATCTGAAGGGATCTTGGAGCGCTTCCGCTCATTTTCACCGCCTTGATCGAGAAGACTTTCATCATCTACGAACCCAAGATTTCCGACGAAGACACAGCGTCTGTGATCTGTTTTGGCGGGATGGGCCACCTCGTCAACACGTAGGTGTCGGTCCAGAACTACGGTTCCATTGAGGCGTTTGGCTGCTTCTCGTGCGGCATAAGCGGTGGAATAAACAACGTAGGCATTTGTGCTTTTCGTAGTTGCTGCCATGAGATCCTTCTTTGCGAAGGCGGCTTTCTTTGGGAGGGCAGTAGCGTATGCTGTTGAGCGGAAACGGAGCGACTCGACTTTGTGTGGGGGTTTGCCTTCTGGAGGCGCAGGAAGAGAGGGAAGGAATGAGGCCATATGCGCGAGGAGCGTCTTTTTCGCGGATTTGGAGGAGATAGCGAGAGTTGAAACGTTGGCTAGAAAGACAGTTCGGTTTGCCTTCTCGACCTCGACGGCGTCTTTGCTTGGAGCCAGAGACTCGTGCAGAGGGACATCCAGTGGCGGTTCTCTTCCCGAGATGGGCCCCTTTTCTAATTCCCCTTCGTCGAGATCTTCCGATTCCTCTGACATATCCGGGTCTTGTTCGGCCATCAATCTCTGACGCTTCAGCCTCCTCTCAGTTCGACGTTCCTCTTCTTCTTTCTCATCCTCCTCTGCCAACTTCTGCATGTATTTCCCCTCCAAATCGTCCTCGACTGCCTTTCTCTTTCGTTTCCGTTCCGGCATTGAAGCTTCAATAATCTTGTCCAACGCTGGCTCCTCGTCCGAGTCGTTGGAGTCCTGCTCCGGCTCTTCATTTTCTGATAGATCTGCAATATCCACATCCTCTAAGTCCTCATCCACACTACTCAATTCAACATCGTCTCCCGCATCGGAGCCAACACCCTCCTCAGATTCATCATCCGATTCTTCTCGAGGAAGTTCCTTCTTTGTAGGCGGAGGAGGGGCTTCGTATCGAGCCTTCGATGGTGCTTTTACTGGTCCAGCCTAGAGCAGCTATCAGCTTGTTTTCCAAATGGCTAATAGTAATATTTGCTGGAGGGGTACTTGCGCTCGAGGAAAAGAGCAGAGCTAGAGATGGATCAACAGCCTCTTCGTCTACCAAAATTAGCGTCTTGGCCTCCCCATTGCCATTGAGCGTCTGTTCTTCGTTCCTTGAGACTTTGCGACTTCGTTTTCCCATTGTGAAAGGTGTTTGGGGAATAAACGTGGTCGGCTGCTTCCTCGTGTTGATTTTGTGAGCGAGTTTGAAAATCGATTTATTTTTAGCGCACGGACGGCGCAGTGGCAGAATCTTCACCGCCCTCGGTCGGGGAAGAGTGGAAAGCCAGCCTTTGGGTGAGGTTTGGTCACCAGGGATCTGGGGCAGCTTTGCTTCACCCACACAATCGCCCATCACTCTTACGATCCACCACCACGCTCGACTTCCTCTCAAAACTGCCTCACCAGCTTCTCTATGTGCCAGAGCATACTGCCAATCGAACGAGTTTGCTCTGACAACTGTTTTCCACCCACAAACCCCCATCGCGCACATCCCCCTCGTGACATAATTCGAACCTCTACACCGACACAGGGTTATGTGAGCACCACGGCAGATCCACACACGTTTGGGCTAGGATATCATTGAGTGCATGATGAGCGTTGAAATGGACCAAGCAGCAGACGCTATACTGCAGGCTGCCCGCGAGTCGGCTTCCTTGGACGAACTGAGCGATGTCGAGGTCGACGTGGACGGAGACGGATCAAGCAGCCTGAGCGACATTGAAGACAAAGATCCCGAACAGGATGAGGACGCAGAGGCATCCGAAGATCTCAGCAACCTTTCCGACGAGGAGAACGATTCCGAGGCAGAAACAGAACGCCTCGAAGAATCGCCGAACAAATTTCGACCTCAGCAAGATGTTATTTTGAGCTCGCACAGCAACAATCAAATCTACGACCGAAGCCCAAGCAAGCTTCACAACCAAATAATACCCAACCACCAAGATGACGAGGAGGACGACGATCCATTGTCCGACGACGATATTTCCATCAACGAATCCCCCGAATCGCCCAAAAGCTCCCCTCATGATGACCCCGAACCCGAACCTCCGACCGCGCCCACATCCTTGGAAGACTCTTCTGGAGATAACAAGAAGCTGCTATCCGTTATCGAAGCAGATACAAGAAAGCGCAAACGGTCAATCATGGCGGGCAGTGGGTTCGACGAAGATCTTGGAGAACCTTTGCGCAAGCGAACTGGCTCCGTCATGACCCCCGCAGACGAGGACGCGATTGAGGACGATATCAATCACGACGAGGAAGTAGACACGTCGAATCCGATCAGCGGAAATATATCTGGTGACGAAGGTGGGGCAGCTCACGAAGACGACCCCCCAGAAGAAGTTGAAGAACCCGTCGCAAATGACGAAAACGCCGCCGAAACACCTGATATTCCCGTATCGCCAATGAAGAGAGGCCGTAAGAAGAAAAAGAGTATCGCGAACGGCGTAGACATTCATGACAGGGATCCAGATGCCGCCGCTGGCGAGACTGCCGTCAATGGAGAGGACGAGGTTAGAAATGGCGAGGAAGACAATGCAGACAACGAGGGCGATGATGAGGCAGAAGCTGCTTTGAAGAATGAAGAAGAGCGTGAGTTTTTACTGCTGGGCTGAGTTTCTTGATCTCGTGTCGCTGACAGAAATTTACAGTTGAGAAGAAGAGAATTGCGCTGGAGCAATTGAGCGCCATAGAGAAGCAGTTTTCAACATTCAGAGACAGGTCAGTTTAGTCTTATGTTATAGTAGGCGCCACTAATCCTCTGGCAGGCTCTATGAGGAACGACTCGAGTCATTGAACCGCGAAGAAGCTATGCTTCGAGAAGAAAACCCTACACACCCCGAATATCTCGCAATGATGCAATGTATCGAGGCACGGAGAGAAGAGAGAATCCGGATAGCTAAAAAGATACGCGAGTATGAGATGCAAGCCTTGAAGAATTTCGCTGTGGCGCGAAGAAGCCAAATACTTGTCCAATTTCAACAAGAAGTGCGGGACATCCGGGAAAAGAATCTTGAACAGCTTGGAAAACAGTGGTATGAGATACAACACGACCGGAGGAGCTACGCAGGCAGTGTTCCAGACTATGCGTTGAAGTTCCCAACGCGACGGTCGCAGCAAATACAGAACCAGGTCGCATACAGCCACGAAGTTTCAATCCTTTCTGGCATTGCCAAGTACGTCGGATTTCCAGCAGCTCCACCAATGGCCCAGGCGACAGCCGCAGAGCTCGAGGAAGACTTTGAGAAGATGGGAGTAAGTCAAGTGTTGATTTCGATCCTGTGAACATAAGCTGACCTGCAATAGCGAACCAAACAAGCACAATTACAGCCGGCAGCGCTACCTCTTCAAGAGCTTGCTGCTCTTCGCTCTGCAGGTTCGACATCACGCTTTAAGCCGGCCGAGGAACAATTCATTGAGCAGACGCCTTGGGCAAACCCTCAACATCCTTCTCACGCACATCTGCTTCAACGGCAGACCTCGGCTCAGCAGACACCCCGAACGACCAGCCCCTTTTCTCAGGTTCAAGTTCAGCCTAGACGGCATTCACATCAACACGGTTCTGGTGTGCCAATATCAGGCACATTTTCCAATACTTCTTCAGCTTTACTCCACCATTCCAATGGCGTTACAATGTCGGGCGGTCGCATTTCCCCACACAATCAGAATCCCTTCGGAAACTCCACTCTCTCTCACACCATCGCGCCCTCTCCGTTAGGCAGCCGACAGACATCATTATCTCCTCAACAGAACCGAATTCCACCGCCGCTACCTGACCAAGCACCAAAGAGCAACGGGAATCAGCACTCGCCTCCTCTTGGAATGTCAGAAATTCCTCGTGACTTTCCACACGAGGTGAGGCGTGAGCAGCCAGCAGCAATGATGACTCGATTTTGACGAAGTTTATACGATCACGACGGCGAACATATGGTGAAGGCGTTTATGACTGACGGCATCTGCATTGTCTGGAGTAATAAAGGATGGGATTTTATGGCCTTCTGTACAGACAGATGCATCCCATTGAGGGAGGTTTTTCCGGCGCAGATTTGCAATTCCACCTGGAACTGTATACTATGTAGAGTCTACAATCGAAGACCATACTCCAATATCATTGCTCGCCTTGTGATAAACGCCTCTTCCATGCTAACGTTGATGTGGAATGTACACAGTGCCTTTAGCTCATACATATTCTTCCTTGTGAAGAATCCACTCATTTTACCTCCCCCGAATCATACAACCACTCATCATTCTATTTCATTGCCGCTGAACTCGCGATTGTGCTTGCTCCTGGCTGTGGTGATTGTACCGGAGCATCGGGGACTTTGACGTCTTCGAAATCATCTTGAGAAACCGCTCTGATTGTGAACCAATCTACCAAAACGAATTAGTATTGTAGTTGGTCGAAGATCGTTATTTTACGCACAAACCCCTATGCAGAATCCGAAGAGACCAAGGCCAGTTGCGGCGTTCTTGATGAGATATGGTCTTCGAGCTCGGATGAGGGCTGCGGACTGCTTGTAATGCTTGTCATAATACGATGATCGCGGTATGCTGTTGGTCTCATCAGCAAGGCAATTGATTGGAACAACGGCTGCACGAAACTTACACCGGCATCTTGATTGCTGTGGAAATTATTCAGAGAAGTTCGTTGCATTCACCCGCCACATTTGGAAAGCTCATCAATGTTGCCGCCTCATACTTCAGGCACTCTAGCATAAACTCTAAATCCTGGCTGCCTTCAAGTTGACCTCACTTTCGCGATAGAAAGCAAGTCGCGTCAAAGGGAAACTCTATCAAAGACACCCACCTACTTTCCTTCACCCAACTTCTACAACAACAGGATGAGCAGAAGCCTTCGGCCTTGAATTCCGAAAGATCTGCGACCAGATAATTAATTCCATTGCCTCTCACATGCAGCTCCAGCAGGTCCTCGTAGAGCTCCCCATCCGTCGCAGCTTCTGTTGAACCTTGAAAAAGCCACCCACAATGACTTCGCCTGCGCTCTCGGTCGAGCAACAGATAAAGCAACTCGACGATGCGAGGAAGCTGGTCCTGAGTGATGCAAACTACTACCCGCAAATCATACAAGGCATTCTGCCGATTGTAGCTCCGCCTGCGAGAGTCGAGCTCAGGAGATGGGTTGCGGAGTTCCTGGCCGAGACGTTTGCCAGTCCGAGTATTGCGCTGAGTCAGAAGGAGACACTGAGCTTGATTGTTTTGGAGACACTCAGGGCTTTGATTGAGAATCCGAGCGAGGATGCGGCGGTTGTGAAGAGTGTGGTGCAGACGGCGGCCAGTGTATATCCCTTGGTCTTTAGGTGGATGTAAGTTATCCCTATTCCTCTGCTACATGCCATCTAGCCTTGAGCCCATCTATGATATCTATTTCCGAGATGCGATTAGAGTGCTTGGGATTACTGGCTGGTTGTGATGGTGGGTATCAAATGGGATCTGACATGCATGCGTGAATAGTATCAACAACCCATATGATACCCTGACCTGGGAACGGATGCTTGCGATCAAGTCGAGGATATTTCGGATATGGGATAGTGCTGCTCCTGGTGTACGAATATGCTGCATCAAGTTTGCCCAGCGGGTTGTGTTAGTCCAAACGAAAGGCCCTGATTCTGATCCAAGGGTAAGGTATTCTCTGAATGCGGCTTGATATTAGTACTGACGGGCACTTTTGCAGCGCGGTGATCCACTCGAGGTTTCTCTCTCTATGGTACCACCAGATCACAAACTTATACCCCCGAAGAGCCTTGAAGCAGAAGCCTCGGGATTACTGGACAGAATGTTGGCAGTCTTTCAAGAAAACATCAGGTTCGTACCATATTGCTCCTTCTGTTACAACTAACTAACAGGACTAGCGATGCTGTGCTTGTTGATGCCACTTTAAACTCCCTCTCCATTCTAATCCGTGCCCGGCCCCATATTGCCAACAAGATCTTGAATGTTATCATGAATTTCAACCCCTTGAAGCAAGCCAACTCCCCCATGACACCCAAACTTCGCGTGATGGTCAAATCTATGGAAAAGACTACGCGATCATTGCTTGTACACATCTTGAAGCGGTTTGTCTGTCCCAATTCATGTAACAATGAAGTGCTGACCGATTTAGGGACCCACAAAACCCCCTGGGACCACGCATCCAACAGTACGTCGAACGAATGATGAGATCAAGAGCAGATATCTTTGATGAAGCAAGTCGAAAACGGGGACCTCCAGAGCCTACAGATGGTCTGGATCCGGCGAAACGACAAAAGCTTGGAGCCCAAGTGGCAAATGCAGCACCGAAGTTCTACGTTCCTCCTATGACGCCGGGCCCTCATTCTATTGCGGAGCTCTTTACTGTAACGGGCGACGAAGCACTGAAGGCCTTTGATGTATCAATGTTGTCAGAAAACTTGGTTGTCAAGATTGGCATCACGATCTTGCAAAGAATAGATGCGGATACTCTGAATCAAGCAATTGATGTGTGTATTGCTAGGCCCCTCTGGATGTATGAAGCTAATTTTGCGCAGGGCATACGTCAACGATACAAATCATTAGGGGCTTCGCAGCCAGAACTCCTGAATCCTGAAACTGCACCTCTAGGTGTGGACGAGGACGATGATGATTACGAACCTGATTTCTCCACGGCAGAAACCGAGGAGCAAATCCTGAACAAACTTGACCTCATTTCTCCTGAAGTGGAGAAGGTATCTGCTCCAAATATGGCATTAGGGCACTTCACCCTCCCACAACCGCCACCCTTAACCAACTCACAAGCCGCCGAAGTTGGGCAAGGAACAGTATCAAGAGTATTCGGTGTTATGCAAACATTGGAAGAGAAGATCAAGAAGACAAAAGGAGGCATTAACAGGTTGGCAGCCAGCTCGTTTGACAGAGATGCCTGGATCACCATCCTCACCCGACTAGCAACACGTACCTGCACCGGCCTTGAAGGCGCAGAGGAGGAGATCAAAGCTGAACCGAGCGAATCAGAGCAACAGTCTCTCGCCAACATGATCCGCGAATCACTTTTCCTGTACATCCTAGAAGATTTCCGAAAACGGATCGATATTGCCATTGCATGGCTGTGCGAGGAATGGTATAACGACAAAGTCCAAATGAAAGTCAGCGGAAATGTCGTCTTGCATTATGAGAAATGGGTTCTCAAGATCATGGATGGCATGCTACCATATCTCGATGCGTCGGACAGGAATGTCTTGGTGAGATTCGTTAGCGAGATTCCTGGTTTGAGCCCGGAAGTTCTGGGGAGGTTGAAGGGACTGTGCAGAGACCCGGCTACCGTTACGATCGCGTTAACGAGTCTTCTATTTCTGACAATGCAGAAGCCGCCGGCGAAGAAAATGGTGTTGGGTGTGGTGGAGGAGATTTGGGATACTTGTAAGCTCATCCCCACTTCTCTTCTTGATCGGGTACTGATAACGTAAAGATGAGGATGCGAGGCCCTTCACATTGAAGCTCTTCGTGAAATATATTCCAGGGTTAGGAGAAAGGGGAAAAGTTGAAGATGACGAGAAGAGGACCAATGGCATGGAGGCTATTGCTGCATGAGCTTGACAATGCGATTCAGTTCTGGGGATGGATATGATAAACTTGATGTGTACTTTAGCTTGGAAGCATGAGCATTCATTGGGTGGCGCATTGGGGTTTATCATGGTGCTTATGCGGGCAGGCAAAAGTTCTTTTGATGCTTGGTGGCTGCATTGGCTGGAGAGACGATACGATTTGTATTAGTGGACGAAAGAGATGCATCAAGACACCAGCAGGAATAAACGAGAACATTCTTGCGAATCAGCTAAGCTCTGCAATGGCGTGGAGACTAAAAAACTCCTTCAGAAAAGATGCAAACTGTGGATCTACTCCTGTTTTTTTCTACGACCCAGATACAAGAATCACGTGATACCAAAATGAAAAGGGGTTGGCTAGCGGGGATTCCCCAAGTATCACCATGTCTTGATCGCCAGGAAGCATGGAGGAGTTCATGCATCGATATGACCAAGCTTAAGGTTTTCTAATCTCCCCGGCTTCATGGATCACCAGGCCTGTGAGAGTGCCTCCCATTGCTTCGGACCGATCTTCAGCTGGGAAATACCCGTCTGCCGTCCTGCTCTCAGGAAGGAGGGGACTTGTTGCAAAACTACCCTTAACTTTAAAAAGGATGTGTAGACACTTCCCTCATTGGACTAGAAACTGTGAGGAGGTCTGGTCCTGTTGTAAGTTCTCTTATTCTCCAATGGGTGTTGTGATTGGTGTAGCACGGGGAAGGATGCCCTGAAGAAAAACCCAATTGGTGGAAAGGCAGCAAATAACAATAGCGATGTGACTTTATGGAAATAAAGGACTCGATGACAGCAAAAGCAAATCTTAAAAGCACTCGAGCTGATTCGATCAAAAGTAGCTCAACAATCCCAACTTTGAGAGGCCTAATATCTGACACAAGGAATGGGCCTGAAGAAGTGGCCTTTCCAATCATCGGAAGCTTGCAGCAGCGAATAAGGCTGGATGGAAACGAAACAGAGGTTTGCGGTTTCATGATGATCTGATGCTTTGCATCAGTGGGAAGCCGTGTGCCCCTGCATGAAGGGGATTTTGCCATTCTGCAGGGGCTCGCGAGTTACAGGACAGGCTTTCTGCCGGCTACCTTAGCCTCGTTGATTGGGGGACGCCGCTCCCGCCTTCAGCAGACGCGACCAGTGTGGATGCGGACCTCGACATCTAAAACATACAGAATACTCGAAGTACCTGCTACGCAACCACCAAGCAGAGTTATCACCTGGCTTACTTGCGGGCTCCGCTATTGACGACTTGCTTACCACCTAGGGCTTATTGATCCAACAACAGTTGCCATTCTGGAAACACCAGCGGTGGATATCATCTTGCATTGATTACTTTGAAGGGAGACAACATTGCGGTTACGGATACTCCGGGGGACAACAATGAGCGATGACCGCTCGAGATCCTCGCCCTCTACCGGATACATCATTGCAGCGGGACATCCGGATTCTCGCTGACTCTGCTGGTAAATTATCCCCCTTCCTTTGTCCCATGTTCCGTCACTCGGTTATTGTGAGATTTGACGCATCACCATGGCACAAGGTAGCAGAGGTTATGTGTTGCGGACACTGACTCCTTACTTCCTCTCACATATCCCCAGATATCTTGTTTCAAAGTGGGAATGGGCAATGACTGACATGATCTACGAACCCCAGATTTCCCATCTCACGAACCTCTTAATATTGATACAATCAATGCGTCTGCGCCCACACGGACCCTCTCTCCTGTCTCTTCGCACGCCATGAACACCTTGAACGGCGGCGCAAATCCGAGCAACCAGAGCAGTCCTTCCAATAATTCCCCATCCTTCTCGAAGACTCCAAACGGCTCTATCAGATCAGTGCCGGTAGATACCCTGCACAACGACACACCCACCACTGCCTCGACGCCGGACGAAGCCACAAGGCGAGTGCAGAGCAAGAGCGACCAAACCGCGATGCCTCACTCCACGAAGACCCTCATATCAACCTCACAACCGCCGCTCACACGCCAGAACTCCAACCTTGTCGTTGGCAACGGGCTGATAAGGAAGCTGTCAGCCGAGTTTGGGCCGACTCGAACAATACCAATCAGCATCAACACTCCTTCCAATCTGAATTCAAGTAATTCGAACTCGAACTTCCCGCACGCGCCGTCAGAGGAGGCCAACGGGACCACGAGCACTGGTCCGGGAGGATCTACACAATGGAGCTCTGCAGTCGGACGGGCAAATCTTGGAAAGTCGGGCCGAGTGATCGAGCGCCTGATGGGCGAAAACGACATGTTGAAGCGGGATCTCAATATCGAGCGTTTAAGGGCGGAGGAGTCGCGGCAGGCGGTCAAGATGGCGGAGGGGAAGATGGAGGCCCTGACCGCGGAGTACGATGGGAAGTTGCATGATGCCGCTATCAATAAGACGCTGTTGAAGAGGAGGGAAAGGCAGCTCACTGATTTGAAGGCGCAGATTGAGGGGGAGAGGCAGAGGGCTGATACGGCAGTGGACAGGGAAAGGACATGGAGGGATGAGTTGGAACGGGTGCAGGAGGAGTGTAAAGAGAAAGTGGAAGAGGCGCAGACGTTTTCTATGTTGATGGAGGGGAGGAATAAAGCAATGACAAGCCATTGGAAAGATCAGGGCGTGGAAGTCGATAGCACGGTCACCAAGCTCAGCAAAGAAATCGCGAGTATTGTCGAGGAGAGGCGGAACGATGATCGCAAGATGAACATGCTGCAAGGATTGTGCGATCAACAGGCCAAGTTACTGGGCTCGTTAGAAAGGGAGAAGCAGGACATTCAGATGGCGTTTGAGAGTTATAAGAGGGAGCAAGAGGAGTCGTTACAGGGGATCAAAGAGCGTGCGAGGCAGCAGGAGGACGCGAATGAGGCGGCGCTGCTGGAGACGCAGAGAGTGCTGGGAGAGTTGAAATGGGCGCTCGCTGTGAAGAAGAATGTCAAGGGCGCGCAATAATACCGGCTTTGACTACTCAAGTCCAACACAACCGCCCCGGCCTGCTCCGTCGACTTGAATCCAAGGACAAGGATCCAACCGAAGACTCCGGGGCGAGATCAAAATGGTAGAAAGAAAGAAGCACACACCGATGTGTATAATGGAAATTAAGAAAGGCACCGTTCCGAGAAACCAGCACCGGCTCCATAGATGGAAAACAGCCACCTTACATTACGACGCTCAGCAGAGCATTCACTTTTTATGACACACTTACGATTCAATTTGATACAGTTTAGTACAGGTTTGTACACACAAGCAAGATTTCGAATGGCGAGCGACGGCATGGCGATGCATTGGATAGGTTCTGTTCCGATTTTTTGATTGCATGCAAAGGAAGCATGGCTGGTGTATGGAGTTCAATTCTTTGTGGCTGATTGGGGGAGTTGATTAAGGGAGTGTATGCTGTTGCACAGAAGAAGTATAGATCTTGCCAGCGTTGCATGAGGGAGGCGCTTTATGATGATGACTGTTTGATTGGCAGAGGGGATTTTGTACATTCTGGTGAAAGAAAGAACAGCTCTTTAGAGGGGGCTTGATTTGTCAGAATCGTCTTGAGACATTCTCTAAATCCATTGAATGTTTGAATGTTCGACAGTTGTGAAATGAATGCCCCTTTTTCTCACCGCCTTCCTGTCCGGCCCAAGTCTGCCCCGGTCACTAGACCCGGAACACATGTAATTCAACTCCGAGATGAGCTCAAGCTACCTCGTGAACATCGCGTGCTGTGTTCTTGTAAATAACTCCCAACTGCACTTCCACACCTCGTGAATCATTCATGGTGCACACGATGACGATAAATACTTGTCTTCCGACTGGTTAAGGGGGAGAGCTACAAATACCTTGCAGCTACGCCAACTACCCATCCCGATTCGGTCGGCCAAGACTTGCAGTTAAGGGGAAGCGCGAGCCCGTGTTGACATATATTAGTAGTGAACCCGGTTGGCTTGGAGATGGTGTTAATGGAGAGTCAGGTGGTGGCAGTAGCCATTGGAGAAAGGATGTTGTTGTCAAGACAGAGTTTGCTGTCAAATTGCGGGGAATGGGCGGACTGTTGAAATTGGTACGCTACCATAGCTAGCTTACCAGTCCTTCCAGCACCAGGTTCAACCACTAATTTAGGGTTCTCCACTCTCATTTGTCATGCGTCACTCGCCGAGCTTACCAAGCTTACTAGTATATCGTCATTTTGATTACCTTTGGTTTATCAGCTGATTGATAATGTATCGGAGAAAGCGGGTTCGGTATCACCGGTATCGCCGAAGGGTAATGGGAATAAATCCCTTACTTTGGACATTTTTCCTCTGTTTCCAGAACTCACTCTTCTGTATCTAGTCATTCTGCAGTGTGTCAACCTTTAATAAATCGATTACTTTCCAATACGGACGAAAGCTGGATGCAGGGTGTGGTGGGACGAACGACTGTGTGTGAAGAAAGGGGAATTGCTACGTCTGCTTAATGCCACTATTGATCCCGCAAACAGCGAGTGACCAGAGCTTCCAGTGTTGATACATCTCATCTAACAAGCTTACAGAATATGTCATGATCGAGGCCTGCGAGTGATATTTCCAGGCCTGGTGGCAATGCAGAAGCTGATGACAGAAAAGAAGTGGAGACGGATGATGGGAGATGAAAGAAAGAAGGGGGTTCTTCTCTTTGATAGCTGAGTTGGGATTAAAGCTGCAAAGGGGGCTTTAGGGGAGCGCCTCGCATCTAAACTCCGATATAGCATGCCAGCCAACCGTCAACGTGGACAAACTCCAGTTTCGCTCAAGGATGAGCAGGCTTTCGTCTTTTCAGCTTGCTTGGGATTTTAGACGAAAGCTAGAGAGAAGGGAAGCTAGATTGGTTGTGGTCCCGGAGCAGACTTCTGCACTGAGGTTTCGAGTGTTGACAGAGACCTCCGCTCGGCAATGGCAATGTTTATGGGATTGGTAGACACTGGAACTTCAAATCACTGTTACTGGCATTGAGAGTGGTCGAGATGTTGGGGGAGAAGAGGAGTATGGCATCGGGAGCAGCCGAGTACTCAAGGAGGAATATGGCTGACCTGCCACTGCTGTCGAGTCATCTCGGCAGAGTGGATGAAGAAGGAAACACCTTGAGGCATGCGGCCGTGGTATAGATGAACTCTCAGTCTTTGTCTCATTGGATATGTTGCGCTTCCAGAAAAAAGTTGGACAGGCAAATTGTGGTCTTGTGTCTTTGATGCGCTTCTTCTCTCGCCCAAGGGAGCCTGGGCAGCCATGAAACAAGAAAGCAGCCATTTTAACTCCTTTGGGGGGGGGGCTGGTTGATTTTGTCTGATGTCTTGAAACCGCGTCGCATTCTTTGGATGAAGTTGAATGATATGTTCCAGTACAACAGAGGGAGTTCGGATGCTTTTGGGTGTCAAGGGCGGCTTCCATGACTATCTTGACCCTAGTCATGACCCCATGGCTGTCTCGTCTGAGGATGACTTCCCTATCGATCATGTAGTTCGTGTCTGGGGGTATCTGAAAGAAATCCTAGAATGTCACAGAGGGTCAGCACAGGGTCAAAACACATAAGGGTTGAACTTTTGAAAGAACGGAGCCAGTAGCCACCTTCCATGTTGCCATCACTAGGAGCTTTTGCGTGGGCACCATTGATGAGTTTCAGTGAGTAACCCAGACCAAATTCCTGTTTGGGCATATCTTGACAAAGGAATTAGAAACAGTGCGGCTGTATGGTATGGCATATTCCGCTTGCAGGAGGAGTTTCTGTTCGCATCCAGGGCTGCATTATTGTGTAGACTCGAGCGAAACGTCAACCTGGGTCGAGTTCAGTCAGTTGCTGGAACCTTAGAAGAGCACGCAATTGATTGAGGTTAAATCAATAAGGACTTACAGTGCAGAGATGCTGCAAGTCAAACTTGCCTGGAGAGTTCCTTCCCTCTAACGGCAATGTGCCTGGGCATCTCCTTTTGCAAGGCAGCAGAGAATTCGGCCCCATTGCATATTCTTTCAACACAGCTACTCGTGAGAACGGCTTTGTCGTTTTCAGAATCGAAGACCGCTGTAATGTTGCAGCCAATAATGGAAATGGAGGGAAATTTTCCTCGAAAGTGTTGCAGTTCTTGTTAAGAACGTTGATTTGAGCAAGAGAGAGCTAAGTCATGATACTCGCAAGAGAAATCCCGTTGCCTATGCCAAGGTGTGTTCTAGAGGCCATGCCATCTCAGATATTTACTTGAAGCTTGCTTCGAGAAAGCTGGCGTGTTGCGCCAATGTCTCGGCTACAAGGCTGAAGGCACTTTGTTGATTTTGGAAGGCTCAGTTCCTCGCTTTTCTCCTCCACAACACCAACTTTTTCGAGAACCTCGAGCTCTCCTCTTCCAGTCAACACCGCACACTCATCGCAAGTCTTCTCGGCCCATCTTCGGATCGCTCCTGACTTCACTCCTGCGCGTTCGTCTCCCTCAAATCGAGGCTCTTGCGTTTATGTGGGAGGCCTTCACTCCTTCCTCCTCCCGAACGCAACCTCTCCTCCGAGCCCGAATTCGACCTTTGAACCTCAACAATACTCCTGGATCGTTCAATTCTCCAGCTCCACCGCGCTTGGCACCTTCTGCGATATTTCGCGGTCTCCGTTTTCGCAAGCGCTCTTCTCCGCAAGGTAAACACAGCGAAAACTCGCAATATCACGACCCGGTCCACCACCTCAAGTCCATCAAGATTTAAACGCCAGCTACTACTGGGTCATACCATTGTGGCTTTGTAATATCGATCTGGATCCCGGGTATTTCCAACAAGGATAAATCCTCATGACACGTTCTTTGCGGTGCAAAGCTGACTACGATGTCACGGCAGTCACCCAAAAACCAGTGTACACCCAACGTTTCAACCTCCTGGGCAGATCCAAAGTTAGTAACCCTGCAGCTACCCTTCTTCGTCATACCACTGGCCTAGGACGTGACTGTCTCTAAGAAGGCAGAATTTGGTAAGGCGTTCTTTGCAGTGCAAAGCTGATTGCGATATCATTGAAGCCATTGACGTCTGTCCTGCAAAATCCGTTAACTTACTGTTGACCACAGGTCGAAAGGCGCTTTCAGCCTAACGTCGGTCTTTGATCTGTTGAGGTAAGACATTAGACGACACTCTCTATAGCTTTCCGCTGATCATCTACTTTAACAATCTAGATACAGTCGCTTTACGTCTCGGAGTACCCACCATTTGCATTTGACAAAAACATTGAAACCGCTTTCGTCGAATCTCGGGCCCTTGAAAGTCAAAGTAAATTGACAACGACACGCTCTCCGCTGATCTTGCACCTTGATAATTTTAATAGGTTCCGCCACTTCGAAGAAAAGCATCTTCAATTTCCTACATCTCCTCGAGAATCAGTATGACGCCGAATCCACCAGGTAGGATTCGTTCCGGCCTTTATCCGCCATCATCCACATCGGCAGTTACGGTACAATATTTGAATGACCGGGCCCTTACATTTGCATCTGAGTGGTATTTCAAACCCGAGGGTGTCAAGCTGGTGAAGGAGAGATTTGAGGGGGAATTGGGAAAGCGAAGAATCGTAAGTCCAATGATTTTCTTGCACTTTTAGTGTTCTTGGATTGTTTATTTTGAACCTCCTCGACATAATGGCATCAAGTACGACTTCTTGTGGTCACCAATTTCTCCGTTTGATATCCTCCAAGTTTCCCTTGTGCCAATTACTCTTCATCTCGATTCTATGTCGAGTTCATGTTAGGTCGAGACAACTATGATGCATGGTGGTAGGTCTTGAGGGGAACCTCGTCTGCATGTTGTTTCGTTGGACACGGAATTAATTCATCCTGTTCCAGTCAATCATTAAAAATTTTATTCAGTCGATTAATTAATCAATTCTAAAAAATTCTTAGGATGCTGTTCATGGATGGAACGACGAAGACCAAACTTTCATCATCCGTTGCCATCCGAAAGATGTCAATCGTGTTTGGCCGTTGTTCTACATGGTAGTAGCCACGATCATCAAAGATGAAACTGGCGAAGAGGAAGACGATGATAACAGCCAGGCATCGTGGACTGCGGCCTACGAGGAAGATCCACCTGTATGTTGGTCAACCCTTGCGCGAAGCATCGCCCTAACCGTTTCCAGCTCCAGAGTGCTTTGATTGAGCGGCTCCAAGATTATCGCAAGAGAACCGGACAGGATGAGACGTTAAACGAAAACGACACACAACCACATCCATCAGAAGCTGAGACTGATCCGAACGGTCTCTCCCCAGAAGAGATTAGGTACTTCCAGTCGAAAACCATCTGGCCGCAGAACATGGACCCGGACTTGACCTTGACATTGAATCTGGAAGAGGTTGTATCGAGCAATGACATCAAGGAGATCGAGACTCTGACTGGCTGTCGATTAGTCAAGGTCTTAAATGAGCGCAAGATTTACATTGGGGGCCATTCCAAAAAGAAATGCACTCTGGCGCTTGGTAAGCTGGATATCCTTCACAAGTATCAAGTAAGTGCGGCCATTTTGGTGGATGAAACGGGGCTAAAGCATTTCTTCGCAGTTGATGGCGCCATACAAGAAGCACATCTTCTACAGCGAAGGCAAGGAAGACTTCAAACTCATCCTTAGGCCAATCGTGGACGTCCAAAAGTTTTACTTCCAGACAACCTTACTTGAGCTTCTGCAAATCAGTCCCAAATGCAACTATCGAAATCTCCCCGAAGTCACCACGGTTCGCATCGCACCTTATAATCATGCAAGATGCTTATATGCTTCGAGTAAAACAGTGAAGGTCACTGCTGCAGTCAAGCCCGAGAGTAAGGACCGTGGCCTTGTAGAATGGATCGACTTCAAGTACAGTGGAAAGGACGCACCGCCAGAGTACCTTCGGGATCTGGGTTCAGTCATACAAACGCAGGCAGGTCTTCCAGTGCCAATGCAGAGTGCCCCAGCAGTGCAGCGCGCCCCTGTACAATCGATCGTTATCAGGGATTACAAAGATGCCGTTATCGAACAATGGACCAAGGATGTTTCTTCGTCAACCATTCAGCCAGGGATTGGCCGTTCCGGTGCATTTGCTGCCAACTCTGGATCTAGAAACAGTAAGCTCTCTCCTGATCTGCTGGGACGTTGAGATGCTAACCTCAATCTTTATACAATGAGACCAAGCCAACCTGGGATATCTACAAGCCCTTTGGCGACACCCCCGTTTTACGAAGTGAAGCCAAAGTTAAACAGGTCGGCAACGGATTGGCGAAAGGTCTGGCCAACATGAGAATGGCCATATCTGCTCGAGATTCGGCAGCACTACCTTCAAGTACTGCACAATCGTTGGTGCCACAACAGTTTGTTCAGAGTCGGCGATCTACTCCTCCCGCGAACAGCCCACCCTGGACCGCTTCTCAGCAGACTAGACAACAAACGACCATTACCTCTACCGCACAGCCAGTCACTAACCAATCGCCTACACAAAGCTTCGTGTCACCAACCAGGGCAGTTTCGCCGGCAGAATCTTCCAATGGACTTCCAGCGTCTCCAAATGTCCAGCCTGCTGCGGCGAGGCCTGTATCTCGGGCATCTGTACACAACAATGCTGATATTGACAGCTTTTGCTACCGACAGCCGGAACACAGTCTCCTTGATGATGAAATCTCCGTGACAGACTTCACAGATCCTATCATGCAGCCATTGGGGTGGGAAGGTCATACAACAGAATCACAACATGCTCCTCATTCTCGAGTGGAGAGTTTACAGCTTTTGAGCGAGGTTGAGACACGCACATTCCACAACGCCATGAACCAACGAGCTCCGAAGCCGAAGTCGAACCCATACACCGGAAGACTACCAGGACCAGACCCTGTGAAGGCAGCTCCGTCTACTGCGAACGGCATATCGGTGATCGATCCCCTTCCAGCGTTTGTCCAAGAACTCGAGGAAAGCTTTCAAGATATGATGAAGCCTACCCAGGGTTTCAGAGGAAAATTACAAGTGCAGGCCGAATTTGGTCGCATTTTGTTGAACTCGATTCACAAGAAACACGTCACGTCAAAAGACTCCACCGACAATCTTAAAGGCTCCGAGTCACTTCAGAAGCTATTGGACAGTGCGGACTTCACGACCTTCACGAATGTCCTGACCACTTCTCCTGGAGAAATGCCTTTCATACTGAACCTGAGCGATTGCAACGGCAAGGAGCGTTGGGACAAGGGTAGCAAAGATTGGGCCGCAGAGTACGAGTTTTGTTTTATTGACAATCTTGCTGCTGCTCACCAGAACCCACGTTTCAGAGTTGTAATCGATGCCGAAACCTTCGTTACGCAAATCAAGAGATACCGCCCACTCGGCAGCATCTATGTTCACGGAGTTACTAGACATTGGGACTTTCAACTCACTGCTACTGGCGTCGAGAGTGGTCGCGGTCTTAGAGAGAAATATGGCGAACTCGCCACTGCTGTTGAGTCATCCCTGCATATTCCGTAAGTTTTCTGGCTATTGCCTCATGTAACCATCCCTGACCATTTGACAGTGGAGAATCCACAACACCAATCCTTTTCTTCAAGCTAGATGAACCAATGTCAAAGCGTTTCGAGCTTGCCGCAGTTCGAGTTTATCGCATTCGCCGCTACAAGAGCAATGACTCAAGGTCCATTTTGAAGGTCGCAGAGCTGCACTCACTCGATGTTCACATGACGTTTGATCCCAAGAAGTCGTCGACGTTTTTCAAATTGTCGCCAAGCCCATCAGACCGCAAGCCTTGTGAGAAGCCAGGATTGGGACATTGGTACGAGGTCAGCATCTCCAGTGCTCAACTCGATAGCCTATTGGAGCAGAATGAGAACCTCGAATTTGGTGAAGAGGGTCGATGGACTCCCGAAGGACTTTCCAGGCTCGGGTACGCAAAGTCAATCTATCTTCCTGCCCTTGATATGCTCAAGAAGATGGATGGTATTGGCCAGTACAACAACAACGGTGTCAATGTTAGATCTGGTACCAGTACAACGGCAAGTCAGGCCACTCAAAAGCCAAAGGACGAATTCTGGTAGACTTTACGTGCTCATCCAAGCTAGCTGCTGAATCCGAGCGGGAAACGAATTTGGTTCGATGTTGCTTTCAAATTATTCCACATCTTCGTGGATATTGTTAGATTATGAGGAGCCCAAATGTTCCTAGCATTGTTGGACATTGTCAGATTATGACAATTCGAGGGTGTTCAGCTGGGAGATTCTCTTACTCCTAAGAATTGCCACGATTTATATCTCTGTCTCCGTTCTCCGTTTCCGGACGCCGAGACTCTTGTAAAGTAGCAAATTGATCTTACTGTAGGAATCTCCCTTGGTTTGAGCACATGTGGTGATCCAGCATGTTGTAGAAGCTGCCGACAGGTAAGTGCCACCACGGGAGGCGAGAGTATCATCTGGTCTTCTATTCCCGTCGGTCTTTCTGAAGTAGCAAGTGTCTTCTGAAGTATTCGACGTCTCACAATCATCTGGTACATCGTCATCGATGAACCCAGTTTCATAGCCGACGTGTATCCTAAGTAGGGGGAGAGACAGAAGTTAGAACTGCTGTCAGAAGCTTACAAGGAAGCAGCCCTCCCTGAGCCAGAACTGGGGAAATAAGACAGATGAACCTTGTAGTTTCGCCCATCAAGAGGGCGGTGGGATGGGCGATTTCATTGAAATGAGGCAACTCGAGCCGGGGCGAGTGAGAGTTAGACTCCGTCACCGATGACTGCGAACGTCTTTCCAGTCCAAAAAGCCCCAATGTAAGGCACCGGCGACAGTTATTGTTTCTACAGACCGTCAATACAACAAAATACCAATGCAAAACCGCTTGCCGGCTTCCACTCGTCTTGCCGAACACTGAAACTCGAGGGCAAACGATCAGGGACACCCTTCCAAGTCCCGAAAAAGCAACAATTATACTCGCCTCTCTCGCAAAATACCGTCCACCAAGTAGGCAGACTTATAATTAATAAAGCTCTACATGGCGATACCCGATCATCCATCTCACATTCTGACCGTAATTACTTAGCACTGTCACACAAACATGCTACTCGAGTTCTTGCTTAAATGCAATGCCCGCTTATATGCAATGCCCGCTTATATGCAATGCCCGCTTATATGCAATGCCTTAGCAAGAATACTTAAAATTTAATTATTAAATAACTACAAGTTATAATAATAAGAAGTAAGCTATTATAAAGTTACTAGATAATATAAAATTTGACCTTACTTAAAGTATATATTAAGTTATTATTATTATTAAAAATATTTTAGATTTTATTAATTTTATTAAATATATTAAAAGGCTTAATAATTATATTTATAATAATTGTCACGATTCCACGCTCCACCAAGCCTGGCATCTGGCATCTGGGGTCACATAATAGTTGTACATAACGAAGCTAGGGAAAGCTATACTCCAGGAAATTTAGGACGCTAAGCCCCATTAGGCCAAGCCACAAGCGAAGAACTGTAAATACTTAAGGGACCTCAGCTCGAGACTCCCTTTCCTCCTTAGCTTAGTTTTCTCGATAAATAGTTCTCCTACAAGTGCCTTATCTGTAGGCTCCCTTTATAGGTCTGTAACATTAAACTAAGCTTATTCTTTCTGCCTGGGAAAGCTCTAGAATATCCCCCTTAAGACGATTATTTACTTCCAAAGAACGACTCCCTATATACGAATCATATATACCTAATACCTTTAATATGGCCTCTCGCACTAATAGCCCTTCTAAGGGTCTTCACCCATATCCTGCAATCCCACCTCTTATGTCCAGTACTAAGAATGCCTCTGGAACAGGACCTTCCGCCCCGAGAGGATTACCCACCCTGTCCAATATCCATTCTAATATACTCGCATTATAATAAGCCCAAGTCAAGATCCAGATAGACGCCCAGACCGACCGTACGACCCTGAATAGCTTGGCTACCAGTCTAGCTCGCTTGCTTAACGCAGAGGAGCTTCCCCGAGAACGTTCTATTAGCAGAGATTACGCTCCGGGTAATATCCGCTCCTAATCTGAATACCATAATACAGTACCTAACTTCCTAGTTCCTTCTATTAAATAAGTACGTCCGGCCAGGGAAGTTCCTAAGTATAGCAAGTTCTACTCTATAAAGGTTCCGGATCCTTTAAAGCTTAGTAACGGCGAAAACCTAATCTATAACTATTGGCAAGTCCAGGTTATTAGTAAATTCAAAGTTAATACAGACTATTATATAAATGAGAATGCCTATATATACTATATCTTTAACTATATAAAAGGCAATACCCAATACTACTTATATGCTTAATATAAGCCTAATACTACTAATCCTTTCGAGATAGCTATAGAAATAATTAATTACCTCGGTAAATACTTTATTAATTCTTATTATATATATAAAGCTAGATATAAATACAAGAAGCTATAAATAAACGAGATTCAGACCTTCTACGAGTTCAAGACCAAGTTTATCTATTTAGTAAACGAAGCTTAGATCTATTTATAGGACCGTCTTAATAAGCTATATAATAAGCTAATACTCTCTTTTTAAGAATAACTTATAAGCCAGTACTACTTTATTTATATACTCTATAACCTATATTATATAGCCTTATTAGTTAATTCCGAGATAAAGGTATTATAGACTTATAAGAGCCTTAGAGAATATATTAAGGCTCAAGCTACTATTACTCTTCTAACCTTTATTACTCCTAATACCTCTATATTTACTACTCCCAAGCTTTATATAATAACTTCTTGTACTTTTATACTAACCCGAATACTCTCGACTATTAGTAAGCTAGCTATTAAGAGAGAAAGCATTTCTGCTTTAATCTTAACCTGCTTTAACTATTTTTAGACTAGTTATATGGCCTATAACTATCTAGTACTAAAGTATATTACTAATATTAAGGAACTAGAGAATAATAATAAGTTTATAGAGGCTAATATAAATAATATACTAGGAAATAAGGATATTTAGGAAAAGACTTCTTCTTAGGTAAACTTGGGATTAATCTTATAAAAATTAACCTAAACTAGTTAATAAAAGAACCATACTTAACTATATCCTATAGCTTATCTTATAATAGATATTTAGTTAATATTTCCTCTCTTATTAACTCTAGAGTAAATAGTTTTATATTTATTAATACTTTCCTTACTATAAATATTATTACCTTTTTTAATCTCAAGTTCTAGTATTTACTTAAGCCTATTAGTATTAAGGAATATAATAGCAAGCTAGGAACCCGTATTACTTACTTTTTAAGAATATATCTTATTATTAACTAGAGATAATAATATAATATTCTTTTACTAATCCTTGAACTTGAATCCTATAACCTTATTCTCGGCCGCAAGTAGCTAAAATACTTTAAACTATTTCTCAATATCCGAAACTAATATTTAATATAGCCCAAGCTTCTTTCTCTATTACTTTCGGTTATATGAGAAATTCCTATATCTCGAGAAGCTCTACTTCCTGCCCCGAGATATACTTCTTATTTTAACTATTAAGTAAATATTAAAGCCAGAGACTATATATTTAATAAGAAGAACTAATAATAAGCTATTAGGAAACAAGCTTTTATTAAAAACTATAATATAAAAAACGACTTTATTACTAACTTCTTTCTATATACTAGTTCTACTAATAATACTACCTCCAAGTATGATTTTACTAATTCCGAATCAGATCCGGATAAAGAGCTTAAGCTAGTACTAGTTGCCCCTATTTTATAAAAGCTAAAGATTAAATACTCTTATAAGTAGGATATTTAGGATAGCTATTACTAAATAAAAAACTTTCTAGCTAGTATTATTTGCCCTATAAATACCCTATATTAGAAAAGAATATATATAGAAAGAAAGTTAATAGAAGCTCCTACTATTAAGATTACTAGTATTAATTTTATAGGCATATATTATAACCTTTAATAATCCGAGAATAAAGCCTTTACTATAAGCCTCTATAAGATTAATAGCCTCTTTAAATAATAAAGAGAGCCTCCTCCGGAAGCTAATATAGAAGACCCTATTATTTCCGGATAATATATTAAGTTTAATAGGGCCTTTTCTAAGAAAGCCTCTAATATTTTTTTTTTATTAGTTATATAATTACAAGATATAATTAGAAAAGAAAGTAGAGAAATATCTGGGATATAGCCCTTTATATAAGATAATAATAGCCGAATTAGAGGCTACTAAGAAATATCTCCTAGAGAACCTTAATAAGGATTTTATTACTCCTAGTTAATTACTATTTGCGGCTCCCGTTCTTTTTATAAGAAAGTCTAATAGAAGCCTATAATTCTATATTAATTACTAGAAGCTTAACTAGATTACTTATAAGAACTATTACTTTTTCTCTCTTATTAATAAGACCTTAACTAGAATTAGTAGAACCAAAATCTTTATAAAGCTTAATATTTATTAGGCTTTTTATTAAATCTATATAGACCCCGAATTAGAGGAATTAATAATATTTTATATATACTATAGGATATATAAATATAAGGTTTTACTTTTCGGATTAACTAATAGGCTAGCCACTTACTAGTACTATATAAATAATATCCTATTTAATTATTTAGATAACTTTTATATAACTTATCTAGATAATATCCTTATTTATTCTAATAATAAGTTAGAATATGAACTTTATATAAAGAAAGTCCTTTAGCGGCTCTAGGATATAGGCTTATAAATAGATATTAAGAAATACGAATTTCATATTATATATATGAAATACCTTAGCTTTATTATCTCTATAAAGGGTATTAAAGTCAATCCTGAAAAGGTTATAATTATAAAGAATTAGGAAGCTCCTCGGACTATAAGGAGAGTATAAGCCTTTCTGGGGTTCTATAACTTCTATAGGAGATTTACCCGTAATTATAGCAAGATTATTAAGCCTTTATTAAACCTTATATATATAGATATTTCCTTCTTATTTAATAAGGTTTATTAGGACGCTTTTAAGAAGCTTAAAGCCTATCTTATATTATTAGCCTTACTTTATTACTATAACCTAGAGTAATAATTAATAATCGAAACTAATACTTTGGATAGTATTATTACTAGTATTTTCTCTTAATAATATAATAACGAGTAATATCCTATAGTATTCTTTTTAAAGATAATAGTACCTATAGAATATAATTACGAGATATATAATAAAGAGATACTTGCTATTATATAGTCTTTAGATTAATAATACCCGGAACTTTAAGGAACTACCTATTAAATCTAGATCTATATAAACTATTACTTATTAGAGTACTTTATAATAATAAAGAAGCTTATAAGTAAATAAGCTAGATAGGCTAAAGCCTTAGCCAAGTACTACTTTATTATCTAATATAGATCCGGTAAATAGAATATAAAGGCTAATATTCTAATATACTAAGATAATGAGATTACCTAGTAAGATAAAATAAAAGAGGAATATTATACTAAGGCCTTTTTCTCTCAAAACTAAATTAATTCAAAGATATTTCAGGATTTTAGTATTAAAGTTAATTCTCTTTCTATTTTTTAAAATAATAATAATAACCTTAATAAAATAAATAATTTAGTTAAACGGATCCTATAGGATAACTATAAAGCCCCCTCTTTATAAGCCCTTTATAAGCAGGCCAAATAGGACAATACTAACTTTACTATAAAAAATAAGTTATTATTTTATTATAGATAACTTATAGTACCGGAAGAATAATTATATATAGATTTAATTTGCAAGGCTTATAATTAAGTCTTTATAGTATACCCTAGTAAAAACAAAACCTATAAGCTATTATAGCTATAATATTACTAGAAAAATATATAATATAATATTACTTAATATATTTATAATTACTAATTATATAAACGGGCAAATATCTCAAGAAATAAGACTCCTAGTTTACTTTACTCTTTACTAGTTCCGGACTACTTATAGTAATATATTATAATAGATTTCAAGTTAATATCTGGCTTAAAATCCGGCTATAATATAGTATATATTATAATTAACTAATTAAGTAAGTAAGCTATCTCTATATCTTACTATAAGATAACTATAGTAGAGAATATAGTAAAGATATATCTTCGAACCATTTACTATTACTATAGCTCTCTAGCCTCTATTATTTCTAATTATAGTCCGTAATTTATATTAGTATTCTAAAAGAAATTTAATAGAATCCTGGATATAAAATTAAAGCTATTAATAATATATTACTTATAAACTAATAAATAGATAGAAATTATAAACTAATATATTAATTAATAATTATACTCATATATTATATATTACTAAGATAACTAAAATAAGTACTTACTAATAATTAATTATACTTAACTTACCCTCTTATATAGCTCTATTAGTATATCCCTATATAAACTCCTTAATAGCAGGCTTCTATAAACCTCCTTTAACTAGTCGACCCTAATAACCATATCCTAAGATAAGCTAAGTAATATAAAGGCTTAATAGATTACTAGATAAATAGAGGATACTATAAAGAGGAGTAAGAAGAATATGAAATAGGTATAAAAGAGAATAGAGAAATATACTAATACCAAATATTACCCTATAGATTTTAAAGTAGGAGATAAGATATATGTATTAACGAAGAAGTAGAAGATATAATACCCTAGCTATAAACTAGACTACTAAATAACTAGGCCTTACCTAATCTTATATTAAGTTAGTAACTTCTATAAGGTCAAATTACCCGAGAGTATTAAAATTCATAATATATTCTCCCTAGACCGTCTATATAAGGCTACCAACGATTTATTATCTGGCCAGAAGAACGAATTATCTCTACTAATTTAAGTAATAATAGACCGAGAGTATAAAGTATAGGATATCCTAGTATTAAGGGCAAAGCGGGGAAAGCTCCTATATAGGGTCAGTTAGGTTGGGTATAATAAAGACCTTAACTAATATCCGGCCTCCGATCTGAAATACTTTCCCTATAAGCTACGAGGCTACTACTTGGCCAATTAATAATAGCCAGGCCTACTAAAGAAGCTAGTCGACTGGGTACGAGCCTGGGAAGACGAGACGGAGGACTATAATAATTTGGATAATGATTCTATAATGTCTACCCGCTTGAGGACAAGCTTTTTCTAAGGAGGGGGGTAATATTATGATTCTATACTCTACTAAGCCTGGTATCTGGTATTTGGCATCTGAGCCTGGTATCTGGTATCTGGGGTCACATGACAGTTGCACGTAACGAAGCTAGGGAAAGCTGTACTCCAGGAAATTTAGGACGCTAAGCCCCATTAGGCCAAGCCACAAGCGAAGAACTGTAAATACTTAAGGGACCTTAGCTCGAGACTCCCTTTCCTCCTTAGCTTAGTTTTCTCAATAAACAGTTCTCCTACAAGTGCCTTATCCGTGGGCTCCCTTTATAGGTCTGTAACAATAATAAGCCTTTGCTTTCCCTGGCCAAAATATAATTATTAATTCAAATTGTATTATAATTAGTTAAATTCTTATATAATAATAGTTTTATATTAATACTCTTCTTATTTAATAAGAGTTAATATAATAGCTATTTCTTATATTATACATACTTATATAAAACTCAATAATATTACTTTTCTTGAGTATATTCAGATTATAAATATATAAGATAATTATTATAGTAATTACAAGTAGCCAGATTATATTATAAGCTATTACTAGAGAGGAAATAATAATATTAATAATAGTAATAAAGAGATTAGTATAAGAGATTATAAAGGATATAATAAAAGTACTAAATATAATAAAAATAATAAAGGTAATTATATAAAGCAAAGACAAATTATATAATATAATATAATAAGAAAGACTTCTTATAGTAATAAAATTACTTATAATAGTACTATAACTTAATAAAGGCTTTTCTTGTTTCTTATAAAGGTTATATAATGGTTTTTAGCCTCTTAATAATATAGTTAATGGAAGCCTTTGCAAAATAATAAGGATATACAGGGATTAGCTTACTTAGAAATAATTGGATTATTCCAATACTGCCTGTTCCTGACTAATACTGACCCCTGGAACGAATTGGAACGAATTGATTGATACGGAACATTGCCAAGCCTGAGCTAGAGAGCATGCCTGATATCGAGAGGGCATACTTACATGCCGATTATGAGACTACCCATAAGCCGGAGCATGCATACAAGAAGAACATCTAACGGGTGAAGCTTGATTTGTTAGATATTATGAGTCGGATCCTGTCTTTAGTGCAAGGATCAACAGCCGGATCATGATTGATGCCAAGTTGCCAACTTCTGGAAGATGGATCCAATTATTCCAGACCACGTAGAAATGTGGTATATGATCTCTCTCTTATCAATTTTGCCCATTCACCTTGACATCCTGTGTTGAACTCCCGGAATCAGGGGCATGTCTCCGAATGAACCCCCCAACGCAGTGATTCCTCCCCTTCTCTTGAGTCTGTCCCAGCGCCGTCCCGTTGAGTGGCTCACTCTCTTTGAATCCGCGTCAACCGGTGCCAAAAGACCCCCACACCTACCAGTATAAGAATTGTGATAGGAATCGTGATTGCAAAGTACACCCATATTATTTTCTCCACATCCCATTGCAACTGAATCAAGGAGAGAAAAGCCTAAGATAGTAAGTATTTGATGGACTGCTACTCATTGACCTTACCGCTATAATACCAGCCGGCAGGAAAGCAGCTCCTACCCAGGCGATAATCTTCATGGCAGCACCGTCCCTGCGAGTCGCATCTGCTATTGCTTTCGAGTCCTTAGCAACCTGAAATGAGAGGGTAACGTCTTGCTGAGCGAGGAGATTTGTGGCGATTGTGTTTTGACATGTGAGTCTTGCTGATAGATTGATTACATCAGCCGACATGTACTCCAGCGAGCTCCGTATGAGTTTAATTCGTTCATGGAGGCGTGCGGAAATTTGGGGGCCGGGCCTGGCTTCTGCGGTTTCTGCCACAAATTTCATGATAAGCTTGGCCCTCTCGATCATCGTTTGGGTTCTCCCAAGGGGCCTGGCGCTTTGACTCAACTGAATGATGAGTGAGCGGCAATCTCCCTGTGTTAGTTCCTCCGACCCAGGTTCTCTGTTTCGTTCCTCTATTATTTCGACGAGCCTTTCGACTCTCTTGAGAGTAACAATAACCTCTCCTCGCTCCGTACGTAACTTATCTATCAAAATTGAGGCAATAAGAACGAGAATCGCTAGAGGATTGAAATCGGAATTGGGAGATAGACAAAATGATCGTTCATCACACTGAATATTTCTCCCTAATATTATGCAACCAGTCGTGATAGCCGAGTTCTTGTCATGAGAAATGATGGCCCCGATGGAGTAGGTGGCTACACCGCCGCCGATAAAGAAGTCTGATATAGCTGTCAGCATCAACGGTTTCGAGAGCACTAGACAACTCAAAGAAAGCAGTGCAAGGCGGTGTTAAGAGGGAGATAAAAAGTTATAAGAACGATCAGGTCGTACTTCTGCGGCCATTAGCCTCAGCCTCAAATACTGCGTGTCCACCTGCATGGATGGCAAGTGAGAGCTCGTTCAGACAAGGAAATCCTTGTACTCCGAGCATTTCTTCGAAGTCGTTTTTGTTCATCGGGAATCTTAGATGTGGGTGTTCCGTCCGGTTCTTTATTATCAGCAGACGATGCGATCCTGGAGCTGCGCCTTCCATCTGGTGGATTTCGTTAAACCAATCGGAGACATTGAAGGTTTGAATTGTTGGTGCCTCTTCATTCGGTATTTGGGGTCCATTCTGGATTGTGTACCAGCTCGCACGTTCTTCCTCATCAAATTCGAGGGTATCCTGATCAGTAACAGGATAATTCAACTGGACATTCATGTTGTAAACAAAGGCTATGGAGTGACGGACCTGAGAATAAAATAAACTGGAAACTGGAAACTGGAAAATAGGAGGAAGTTTGAAAATTGAGAAGTGAGAGAGGCGGGAAGGTCTATTTTGTATGTTCCCAACCGCCTGAGCTTTTAATGAGGCTGAGCTGCAGACCATGAAACATGCAAATGGAATTCCAGGCAGGCTATCTGTTACCTGGCGCCCAGGCCACCCGAGCCTTGCTCTGACCTCAACCTGTCCTCAGTATAATTCGGCACCAGCTTCTTTCCATTCACATCCACGAGAATAGATGATCAGTGCCGGAGCAGAAGACTGAAACAGAGGGGGCACGAAGAACCGAGCATTGCTTTGAATCGGAGTGTCGGGTTTATAATTCGGCCATTGGAAAGGGGGAACGCCGCTAAAAGCAAAGCGAAAAGAGCGTTAAAAAAAAGGTCGATATTCAGCCGATGACTTCGGACGTAATTGAAGCGGCATGGCCCGTTCATCACCAGGTATTGTCACGGGGCCATCACGGTACAGTCAACTATGATCGGGAAGGATCCTGTAGGATCCTTCCTTTAGGACGGGATTGGTCGGCAAATGCCGTCACACGAAGGACCTAGAGGTCGGCGTCGGCGTCGGGCGTTCTCAGAAAAGATGAGTGAGGCATTTTTGCGAAAGGAAGTGGGTTGATCAGACCCAGCTGGAGAGCAATTCTCTGGTTGAAAGGGCTGGAATCACGGGAAAGACTAGGACGACCCCCCACCAATAATATTACTAATCGACACCCCTAATTAATACCCCAAATTAATACCCTGGAAGGTATCGCTTTATATTTACCCGTTTTATAAGAGGTTAAGAAGAAATAAGCATTGCTCTATACCTATAAGACCCTTATTTTTTTGACTAATTGCGATGTAACCAAATTTGTTTGGAAACGACGACGACGGCGTGCTATTCAGAGAATGCGATATGCGCACTGGGTGCCAATATACATTGATCTGCATACATTGGTGCATACAAAGTAATGTAGACGGGCACCTGCCACCGCCCGCTGATTTCGGTTAGTGTGGCCCCCATCGACACCGGGGCGGGGGGTCGTTTTAGTCTTTCCCGGAATCACTCGCGCACAAGTCGCGAACTTCTCGACCGAGCTAGCTCTAGGCAACATCAATTACCACGTACTTAGTAAGCATAGCCTCTTCGAATTTACAGGGTCCTCAATTCTCGTCACCATTTTCGTTGTTCGAGACAATAAAATTGTACCATTCCTGAGACGACTTCCGATCTCTATCACGTTTAATACAACGTTGATCCTCCTTATCCTCACTTGCTCTACTTTATCTACAGTCTTTTTCCTCGAAGTACAACCGAAGAACATCTGATATGTCTGGACCAGAGTCTATTTCTACAATGGTTGATGGGGATGATCGAACTTGTTTTGTTCCAAAACATCAAGGACTTAATGTTTTGCCTAACTCTCCTCTCTTCAGCCGGATTTTGAGGCTCGCTCATCAAAGCGAAAGAATCGCGATCAAAGATCCCACTGCCGGGTTCGCCGCGAGCTATATTCAACTGCTAACGGACGTGCTCCACCTTCGGAATCACCTTGAGAAATCGCTAGACTACTCAATACTAGAGCACCTGGGAAAGGGTGAAGAAGTTTTCGTAACTATTTTAGGAGAAGGTGGATATGAATTCACAGTGGCTTTCTTTGCTATTATGGCTGTTGGTGCGGTCGTTGTTCCCCTATGTAAGTTGAATTCCATGTTTGGTGGATGTTCGCAATGATGCATATAAATATTAACCAATTATAAGCTCCTAGCCTGTCGTTGGAAGAATTGCGCAATAGAGTCAAAAGATGTCGCTCGGTTGCGACCCTCACGACGTCCACCCGTACTGCCTTGGGAAGAGAATTGGAGGAATACATCGCAATATCTTCTACTTCAACTTTCCGCTGCATCGATATAGGGCCACATATAAACAGACCACCACTGTTGCCGCGTGAGATTATCATCTCCTCCGATCTCCAGCTAGACAGCAATGGCTCTTCCTTTGTTATCTTCACGTCCGGGACCACTGGTCAGCCAAAAGGGGTAGTAAAACGCCGAGCTGCTGTTTACAACGCAGCTCTTGCCGTAGCTGATAACTATCAGCTGGGTGAGAACGACACGGTCCTGCATATCACGCCTATAAACCATGCATCCGGCATTGGATTGGCTCTATTACCGTTTTTGCTCTCCGGCGGTTGTGTTGAATTTCAAATTGAGTGTTCCGAAGCTTTCGACGCTGGACGACTCTGGGAGCGTTGGCGGGAGGGTGGACTCACGTTCTTCTCTGGAGTGCCAAACATCTATAATACCATGATGGAGTATTTTGAGAAGCACATCAGCAGTCTTCCCGCAGAGCAGCTCAAGGGCTACATTGCAGCGGCCAATCAATTCAGAGGGATGCTCTGCGGGACTTCCGCATTAGCACAACAATTGCAGCAGAAGTGGACAGAGCTAAGAGGCGGTAGGATGCTACTCACAAGATATGGCGGAACTGAATCTAGCGCTGTTTTCAAGGTTCCATTGCATGCCGCAGACGTGCCGGAGGTAAAGTACTTCACGGTCAGAAATTCCCGAAGCCAGCTAAGTCAAATTCAAGGGCTCAGTAGGTGAGATTGTGCCTGGAGTAGACGTGAAATTGTCCGACGGTGACAAGGGTGAGGTGTTCATCAAAAGTCCAAACATGTTCTCAAAGTAAGGCACTGAAACCTGTACTGATATTGTTCCTTCGCTTACCTTCTATCATTGTGCCAGATATCTATTTGATCCAGAAGCTACTGCGAACGCCCACGACAAGTACGGCTATTTTAAAACTGGAGATCTCGCACGTCGCGAAGGAAAATATTATTTTATCTTAGGGCGCGCAGACGTGGACAGTACGTTGTTTCCGTTTCCAAAGGACTATTATATTGATGCAATCTCTAGTCATAAAGTCTGGCGGCCATATAATATATACATTAGATATCGAGAAAGAGATATTGGGCTTGGATTACGTTTCTGAAGTCATGGTTGTAGGTGTTGAGAACGGAGAATTGGGTCAGAGAGTTGCTGCGGCAGTGGTTTTGACGGGGGTGAGTCTTTATCCTGTTGAACCCGTCTCTTATTTTCGAGTAACATCGCTAATTCTTTACAGAACACTACGTCTCTTACACTTGCGAACCTCCGGAAAGATTTGAGCCCAATTCTTCCAGACTATAAATTGCCAACGTATCTTCGGATTGTGGGGAAGGGGGAGCTTCGTAAGACTGCAATGGGCAAGGTATTGAAGAAAGCCCTAGCAGGAGAGCTTTTCCCGCCACATGGACACTCCGATATACAGATATAGAAATCTTGTGGCGGGCATCTCCGGACTTCCGAGGATGGCAGAGTAGCGGAATAATGGCATCATTCTTAGTGGCAGTCCAAACCTTTGTGTTTTGTGCATGAAACCGACCATGTGAGCACTTAAATGTATAGTCAATTTGCAATACTCTTAGATTTGTCTAAAGTACTAGAATACATAGATATTGAGGATACATATAATCAGAGAAATGCGAGTACGAGAGCTAAAGGACCCGAACTGTGGTCGGCATCGATATCGATTATGAACACACTCCTGGAGGATATGCCAGGTTCTTAGTGTGGCGCGCTGGAAAGGAGAAAGGGGTGACAAAGGCTATCTTGTCGGATCCAAACACAGTAAATTGCCCATCTGTGCAACTTTATGATTCTAACGAGTAGTAAATAGAAATTTCGGAACGATGATGGAAAAGAGGCCAGTGGGGTTAACCTACGGCTATTCTTGACAGACTTCGTGTGTCCAAAAATCGCAGAATCCTTTGCTGGTTAGGTGAAACCAGTCATGTAACAGCCACCCCCCTTATAACCCTAGCCAGCGCCGTTACATTACTTTTATTATTTACTTTTTTCAGCTCTTTATTTTCTTTTTATATAAATACCTTATCCTTAAAGATAAGTATATTATTTATTTATATACCTATAATCTTAAATGCGTCTTTTAAAGTTATAATAAGGAAATATAAATTATATAATAAAGTTATTATATAAAGTTTCTTTTTATAATACTAGTAATATATTATTTATTAATATATCCCTGCTTCTAGGACCCTATATAATAGTAAAAGGATAATTATAATTATCTTTAGAAAATAGTTCTCTTCTATTACTTTTAAAAGTCGGTAAATAATTATATAATTCAGTTTCGTTTTTAATTAAATATATACTTAAATAATATCTTAAAGAATTATATAAATATATATCTTTATAAGTAATACTATAATTATAAGTAGTATTTATTAAGATAATTATTAGATTATTAGAGATTAAATTAGGATTTCCTTCTTTCCTATATTATTATATATTTATATAACTAGCCTTAACTTTTTATATAGTATATTAGTTATTTTCCCTTTTACTTTATTTATAAGCCGGGACTTAAAAATTCTTTTTTAATACTTATTTAAGTTATATTTCTCGAATATAAAAGTATCTTATATAATAAGATTATCTATCTCTATATACTTTAATAGCTTAAAGAGGTATTTTAGAGTTATAATCTTTTTTTTTTATAGCTTAATTATAAAGTCCTAATTATTTTCTTCTTTTTATATAAAGAAGGTTTCTTTATTTATATTATTTTGTCTTTATATAGGAATTTTAATAACTAGCTTTAATTATTAAAGCTTAAACTCTTTATATAACTTTAATTATATAAGGATTTCTATAACTAGTTTTAATCTTCGAGGCTCGAGCTCTATATTTATATAAAGTAGCTTCTTTTATACTTCTTTTTTCTTTTCTTTTTAAAGAAATAGCTTTATAATTATAGCCTGGAAGTTAGATAAGCTATTTAGGAATTATATAGTATAAATAGTTCCGTTAAATAGAATTAGAATAAGGCTATCTAGTCTACTTATATTATTTATAGCCTTTATTACTATTTATAGTATTTCGTTTTTTAAAAGGCCTTTATCTTTAAAGTCTTCTTATATAATATTATATATTCTTTATAAAAATATATAATATCTCTCTACTTTTTTTATACTATTATAGGCTTTAGTTAGTATTTCTTTTATAGCTATTTCTATTACTTATATATTTTACTAAAATTCTATTATTATAAAGTTTATTCTTATATTATATATAATAATATTTAGAGGTTTAAGGTAAATATTAATCTAGTACTTTTATATAATATTTTATATAATTCTTATTAATATATTCTTTAAAAATAATATTATAGAGAATACTATAGCTTTATTAATTATATAAAATACTATTTTATTATTAATCTATATAATATTAATAATAATTATATAATTGAATTCGTAATTTTTCTTTAAAGTAAACTTAAATTGCCTTAATACTAGTAAATAGAGCTAATATTATTTATAGAATTTTATTAGTTTTTTAATTATATAATAATTAATATTATTATATCTTGCCTTTTCTAAAACTCGAGTTAGCTTTTATATAAATAGATATTTAAACCTTTAGTATAGCTACTAGAGTTCTACTTTTATTAAATAGTAGTATATTATAGACTTATTATATTTATTAAGTAGTATAAAAGGATATTCTTATTTTTATATAATTAAAATAACTCTATTTTTTTGGATTAAAGTATTTCTTAAATTATTAAGTTTTATTTTTATATAATCTATATCTTAAAAATATAAGAGAAAAAATATCTTTATAAATAAAATATAAAAGTTAATCCTATTAAATAGTATATTAACTTCTATTATTCCTAATAAAGTCGCTTTACTTTTCTTAAACTTAATTATTTATTCTCTTACTTTTATATAATTAAATTTTATTTAGGAATTAAGCTTTTAAAATACTCGGAATTAAAGTTCTCTTATAATAAATACTCTTAAAGTTCTATTATTTAATATAATGCCTTAAAACATTTTTAAGATATAGTAATCTTTAAATATAAATATTTTAAACTCGGGATCTTCTATTATAATTATATAATTAAAAGGGTCTATTTTAGTAATTATATATTTATATAATTAGTTTTATAATATATTAATTATTTATTAGCTATTAATTTCGCCGGCTTTTATAAATATATATTTTTTATTATATAAACTATTATTGTCTTTTTTTCTTTTATTTATATTTTTCGTATTCTTAATATTATTTTTATTTCCTTAAGCTTTATTTTTATTTTTATTATTATTAGGGATTCTTTTAATTTTAATAATAAATACTTTAATTATCTTTTCTTTTTCTTCTTTTATATAATAAATTAATTAGTATTCCTCTTTTCTATATATTAAGTATATTTTGTTTTTTTTTAATAAAATTTCTTTAAAATTATATAATAATTAATTTCTTAAACTTTTATAAAGTTTTATAAATTTAAAAATATTTATATTAATCTTTATAATCTTTTAAATATTTATTCTTTTTATTTTTAAAGTTTATTAATTAAATTTTATTAATCTTTCTTTTATATATAATATTTTTTTTTTATTTTTTTTTATTTTAATAAAAATATTATTTATTAATTTATAATATATAAATCTTTTTTTCTTATTATAAATAATTTATTAAACTTATAAATAAGTTATAATTAATAAAATATAAAAGTTATTATTATATTTTTTTTAAAAAAAAAACCTTTTTTTATTTTAAAAATTTAATAATTATATAAAATAAACTTTTATAATAAAAACTTTATAAAAAAATCTTTTAATATATTTTTTCTTTTTAATTTTATATTAATATTTTAAAATATTATAAGAAAAACAAAAGTAATATAAAATAAAATAATTTATCTTTTTAAATTATTAAAAGAAATATTTAAAGTTATACTTATTATAAAATAAAAAGAATTTATATTAAAAACAAAAGTTTAAAAAAATAATTATAAAATATATAATAAGTTTAAAAATATAAATATTAAGTTAAAAAGATTTATAAATATCTTTTTTAATAATAATAATAAAAATTTATATTTTAAAATTTTAACTTTATTAATATTTTATTTATTTAAAATATTAATTTTTACTTTTTTATAATTATTTTTTAAAACTTTATTTATAAATTTCAAGTCTTTTTTACTTTTATTATAAGCTTATTTATAACCTTTATATAAATTATTTATAATTTATTAATATTATTTAAACTAGTTATTTATATTTTTATAAACTTATTAAAATAATTAAAAATTATTTAATATATATAAATAAATATATATCTTTAACTATTTTTTTAAAGTTATATATTAATATTTATATTAAGTTAATAAATAATCTTTATTTTAAATATTATATTATATAATAAATAATTAATTTCAATTTTAATATTTAAAAAAGTTATAATTTTAAACTTTTTTAATTAAATAAAATATTTAAAAATTTTAAAAATAATATATTTATTTTTTTATTTATTTATTAATATAATATTAATTTAAATAATAATTATTAAAGTTTTTTTTTTAAAAAAAACTTTTAATTTAATATTAATTTAAACTTTTTAAAGTTTAAAAAATAATATTAAAAGTTATTTTATAAATAAAAAAATATTAATATTTAATATATTTTATAATATCTTTTTTAAAAAGTTATATAATTATTTCAAACTTTTAAAAACTTATTATAAAGTTTTTTATATAACTTTTTTTTCTTTAATAACTTATTTATATTTTTTTATTATTATAAATTATTAAAATTATAAAACTTTTTAAAGTTTAATAATTATTTTAAATCTTTATATAAAAAGAATTATTAAGATAAGAAATAATATAAATATATCTTTATTTATTAATTTATTAATTATTTATTTTTAAAAAATAAAATTAAAAGCTCTTTTTCTTTTAATAATATTTATCTTTTTATTTTTTTTAATTTTTTTTTAAAGTTTTTATATAACTTATTTTTATATAAATTATAACTTTTTTTTTAATTTTTTTTTAAATATTATTACTTTAAAGTTAATTTTTATATATTTATTATTTAAATATACCTTTTTTAATATTTACCCGGATCTATTACTAGCTTCTAGGTATTAAATAAAATAATTAATATACTTTATTTAGAACCTTTTATAGTTCCTTATATAGTACTATAATAATAGATATAATAGGGCAAATAAAATAGGGCTAGTATTTCTTATTCTTAATTAAGAATATGAATTTATTAATAACTAGAACCTAAGAATATATATAGCTATAAGTAAATAGTAAATTAAATATATAAATATAGCTATAATTACTATTAATATATTATTAAACTATATTATAATAAATATAACTCAAATAGTAATAAATAAACCAAACTAATAATTATTAATTATATAATTAATTAATATTAATATAAATAATTTGAGTATTAATATAAATAATAATATATCTAATAAATATATTATTAATAGTTATATAGCTACTAGGCTATTATTTGACCTCGATTTACTTATTATAGATTTCATTTATTTATTAATAGAGTTTTTATAATATTATATAATAAATTATAAAAGATTAATATTATTAACTTTAATTCAAATAGTTAAAACAAGACTATTTATAA